CTGTCAAGTGTCTACTCTAGAAGTAGCAATGTGGGGTGATAGTAATTAATGGGGTTGAAGGTTCTAAATGCCACTGGGAAATTTCACACAGTGGGCATGTCTCCAAATATGAGGTAATCTGTGATCTTTAGACTTAAATATCTAAACTGGAGCTAGAGCTGGACCCATGCAGGCCTGCAGGAAAATGGTTTCCCAGAGACATTTTGTCCAACAGGAAGCCCTGAAATTCCTTATACTTGTACTTGCTGTCCTGCTGCCCTTTCTAACATAAATATTATAAATATTTATCCATATTCCTCACTAAACTCTGGGCTCCTCAAGAGTTATATGGCATAATTTTCATGTTTGATTTCCTGATGCTTATAAAACTACCAATCAATTATCCAATTAATTTTAGGTTAAAAAGAACGCTGTACTTTATAACCTTCAATTAGACCAAAGTCAAGATGCTAATGGGGTTTTAGGGATTCCTCCAGAGCAGATTAAAAGTGCTATCTTCCTTTCATTTGACTTATTTGCTGGGATCATTCACAGATGGATCAGGAATGTTGGTCCCACCCTAACTATAAAATAAAAGGCTCTGATGTAGATCCCTGGAAGAGCACTCGGGTCTAGTGAAATTTTTACCACCCACTTCCAGATGGCATGAACTCCCTCCAAACCTGGAGGGACTGCTTGTAACTTATTGCATCACGCTCATTTAGCAAAGAGGAAAATTGCTTCTATAGTTCACATGGAAATACAAGGGACCCAGAATAGTCAACACAATCTTGAAAAACAAGAACAAATTTGGGGAGTTCATACTTCCCAATTTTAAAACCTACTGACAAAGGTCAAGATAGTGTGACACTGGAATGAGAATAGACATATATAGTTGTAGACTAGAATTGAGAGTCCAGAAATAAACCTGTAAATATATGGCCAACTGATTTCTGACAAGAGTAAAAAAAAAAACCATTTGATGGAGAAGAAAGTTTCAACAACTGGTGCTTTGTGCAAAAGAATGAATTTGGACTTGTAGTTCATACCATATACAAAACCCAACTAAAAAAGAAGCAAAGACCTAAATATGAAAGCTAAAACTATACAACTCTTAAGAGGAAATATAGGTAGGGCCTCCCCAGTGGCGCAGAGGTTGAGCGCTGAGCTGTGAGGCTGCCTGTAGCCTCCACAGCGCCGGTTCGATTCCCTGCCGCCTGCGAGGGTCCCACATGGCGCGCAGACCTCTCCTGCTGCACCCCTCAGCAGTGTCCTCTGTCTGTCTGCCTGTTCTGCTCCCCTCTCTGGCTCTGGTGAATTCTCTCACCCTCCCGCGCTTCTGACTGTACCCAGTGCTTGTATAAATAAATAAATAAATTTTTTTTTTTAAAAAAAGAGGAAATATAGGTGTAAATTTTCACAAGTTTGGATTAGGTATAGGCAATAATTTCTTAGGTATAACCACAAAAACAAAAGCTGCAACAGAAAAAATAGATAAGTTGGACTTGATCAAAATTTAAAAGTTTGTGTATGAAAAGGACATCAACAAAGTGAAAAGACAACTCACAGAACTGGAGATATATATATATATATATATATATATATATAAATATAAATCATATATCTGGGATATACTTCATAGGTTTCTGCTTTATGGAATAAAATCTGAGCAAAAGAATTTAATTCCGGGCCTCCCCGGTGGCGCAGTGTTGAGCCCTTGGTTGTGAAGCTGCCCGCAGCCTCTGCAGTGCTGGTTCGATCCCGGCTGCTCCCCTGCCACCGGAGGAGGGTCCCACATGGCGCGCAGACCTCTCCTGCCGCCCGCTGCTCCCCTCAGCAGTGTACTTCGGTCCTTCTGCCTGCTCTGCTTCCCGCTCTGGCTCTGGTGAATTCTCTCACCCTCCCGCGCTTCTGACTGTACCCAGTGCTTGTATAAAATAAATAAATAAATAAATCTTAAAAAAAAAAAGAATTTAATTCCTACTATACAACTAAGCAGATGTAAATGTTCTAACTTTGGAGATTACAGCAAATTTTTGAGGCCTCATTATTAGGTTGAAAATCAATTTATCATAACATATAGATCATAACTCAGTGACAAACGGCACGATAATCAAGTGACTTCAAGCCTGGGAGTCAAATGATCAGAACTGCTGTCCTGGTCATGTCACTTGGGTTGTTTCTACTTCATCTGTGATTAAGGTTGTTGAAATGGAGGTTCCAGCCAGCTTTAAAATTCTGAATTTATTTGATTTTATTGTGTCTTTATAGTCGAAGGAGTTTCGAAACTGATTTACTTGCTTGTTATGCATTCTAAACTGTATGCACATTCTAAACTGTAGTAAGCTGTTATTGTCATAACTTATTATTGGGCCACAAAATTTGTAAAGGATTAAGCTCAATTTTTCTTAAACTGAACCAATTTAGTTTATTCTATGAATTAGTCTGAAGCAATATCACCACCTGGTGGCTTCTCTTCCAAAAAACTAAACTTCTTGAGGTTACTTTGGCCTCTCCTGTCAAATTAGAACAGGTGGTTCCAATATGCCTGTTTTAGTATATGATTTTAATAATATCCCACAAAATATGTCATTATCCTCAAAAAATTTTTATAATTCAAAAATTCTCTGAAATGTTTAGTGTTCAAGAGCAAGAACAAAATAGAGAACAAAATAAACAATATGTATTTACATTCATAGATGTTACATTCAGTGACAGAACGTAGACAATGAATAAAAAGCATTATAAGTAAGTAAATTATGTTTAGTGGTACATTTGAAAGCCAGAATAAGAGGGATGAGGGATAGGTAGCAATTTTAAACAGGATGGTATTTAGGCAAAGACTTGGATGAGGTAAAATTTCTCCTCTTTGGCTGAAGGACATAATTCCATAGATTTACAGTCTAAATATTTAGCTTTAATTCTGGCTTTATGCTATAATGCTGCCTCTTCAAGTATTTCTTTTTTTTTTAAGATTTATTTATCTATTTATACAAGCACTGGGACCAATCACAAGCGTGGGAGGGTGAGAGGATTCACCAGAGCCAGAGCGGGAGCAGAGAAGGCAGAAGGACGAAATACACTGCTGAGGGGAGCAGCGGGCAGCAGGAGAGGCCTGCGCGCCATGTGGGACCCTTGCCTGGCTGGCGGCTGGGGATTGAACAGGCGCTGCAGAGGTTGCGGGCAGCTTCGCAACCCAGCGCTCAACCACTGCGCTACCGGGGAGGCCCTTCAAGTATTTCTTTTTAGTGAGCAGGAAATGTAACACCAAATCAGTATTTATGGGAATGACTGCATTTTGAAAAGCCTATGTTGCCCTTGAGATGATGTATCCTTCTTCTGTAAGGAGAAATGACTGTTTTAGTACAGAAAAGATACAAGAAATGGTTATCTGGCCTTGTTTTTCACTTTAATGTGACCATCATATAATGCAAATTGAAATTTCCTGTAATAGTAGTACCTGCTCTAGCCTCAGGAATTGGCAAAGGGCATGGTGAAGATGGGCTATCATCATTAATAAAGATTAGCTAAGTTTCCACAGCCAATTTAGGGCTTTATTTATATATCTATTGCAATACTTTTTAAAGCCATTTAAGATTTCTATTTTAATAGCCTTAAGGAGTGCTTCTAAAAGCTAGAAAGGAATAATATAAGGCCTTGAGCATAGTAAGTGGCCAGCAGAAAATCATTTTGTCTTAAAGACACTTTAGTAAAATTTAAAAAAATAACACCTTGTCTTAAAACTTGGGCATTTTTTTTTTTTTAGATTTAAAGGTTTCTGTAAATGGAGTTTTTGTTTTGTTCATGATACACCAAGGAAATTAGACCAGATATTCATTAACATAACAGTGGGTAAATTTTGGAAAATAAAGTTTTTGATCAAATTGCTCAAGCTTTGGTTCAGTCTTTATCATGCTTCTGTTTCCATAGTGAGTTGTAATTGAATATGTAATACACATTACGTGAGGCTTTTGTTTCCTAAATTTAGAGAGGCTAAAATTCTCTGCCTGGTTATGATTATCATGTCCTTTTGTGAAAATTATATTTGTGGCAATGAACCACAAAAGATTCTTGGCAAGGGACCCTATCTCTTGAGAACATGGGTTTTTTTACATGCGGCTCCAACATATACTCCATCTTCTTTACTTTACGGCTGGGATATTGTGGGGGAGCTGTTCTTGCAACAATCACATTCCGAACTTGGGTACTTCTCTCTTGTCGACTCCAGCGAACCATAAAAAATTATGATTTGCAGGAACTCCCTACTTGTAATCCAATAGTAGTAACACAGGGACTGACCATGCCTTTACCAGAATTTTAGGACACCTTAAAAAATCCCAACAGTCTAAGAGAATCCCTTGTCTCCATCCTTCAGGTGTAGCTTCCTATCTTCCATTTCACTGTCACGACCTACATTATTCCTAACCGACACTCCTCAAGGGAACAGGTATTCAGTCCCCAAGATCTGGATCAGACCGTCCACGCTGAGGATCCCTTTCCGGGACTGGGGCTCAGACACAGCAGGAAAAAGGGGGTGCGGGGGGCTAACGGTAGCCCTGCAGGTCACTGCGACGTCAAAATCTCGTTAGCGGCCCCGGGTGTAGGCTGCTCTGCCTTGGTGGCGCCGGGCTCTTCCTATTATTATTACATAGTCCTATTTCTTTATTGGAGAAAGCACCCCGGGAGAGGTGGGGCTCCTCTGCAGGGCGCTTCAGGACCTGCACCTGCCAAGCCACAGCCTGCGCCCTAGACCTCCAGCGCCGTCGCATCGAGACCCGTCTTGATTCCAGGTGAGCGGATTCGCCACTTTTTGGTGTCGGAATTAAAAATGAAAACTCGATGTTCCTCGGAAGCCCTTTTCTTTTAGGGAGACAGAAGCAGGCGAGACTTCGCACCCTTGAATTATTTTTTCTCTTCTGGTCTCTACAGTATCTACACCCGGCACGTCAGAGAACTTGCGTCGAAAGTGACGACGCGGACATTCAGACGTCGTGCCCGGCGCGCACACTGACGTCGTCGCCGCGCGCAGTCGCCACGGGCCCCACTCCCGCCCCCGCCGGGAGTCCGACGTGGAAGTTGCTGGCGGACCGGGCTTCCACGGAAACCGCCCGAGAGCTGGAGCCCGAGCCGGAGGCCAAGACTAGCGGAGGTGGCGGCACCGAGGCTCAAAAAGAAGTTGCTGCCAAGTCCGGGGCGTGTCTCTGACGATCGACGAAGGCAGACATCATGGGTGAGGGGTCCGAGACGGGCTCCCGGGCACGCTCGGGTGGGCTCGGCGGGAGCCGGGGGGCTGGAGGAGGAGCGGGGCGGACCTGCAAGGCCAGGAGAGGCCCGCGCCCAGGCGGCGGGACGCCGAGGACTTACCCGACCTTGGCTTTTCGCCTGCCGTGGTGCACCCTGCCTGCCCTCGCCCTCTCGCTTCCCCCCGCTTCCCGGAGGATCTGGTCTCGGAGGTCAGTGCGGGTCCGCAGAGTGCTGCGGCCTGGGAGCTCCACTCCCAGCTCTTTCCTTTGATTGTGAACTTCCCCCTCACCGCCCGCAGCCCCAACTTGACTTGCTGGGCAGGGTGGGTCTGGAGAGGCTGAGCAACGTGTCAGTCGCAGGATCACTGAGAGTTCCTGGGTTAAGATGAGATCTGACCCTAGTGGCTGCTTGATTCTTCCTGGTCGCTGTGACTGCGTCAGTTAAAAAGAAAATACCAGCTCTTGTATGCAGAAATAAATAAATCTTTAAAAAAATCCAAAGGGAGGTGTTGCTCATGGTGGTGTTTGGTAGTCAACTTGGCATTTGTTTGCTTAGCTGGAGCTTTGCTCATGCAGTTATCAGTAAGATGGAGAAGGAAGTGGGGAGGATATTACTGGTGAGTGAATGAAATTTAAACTCAGTGTGGGGAGGGCTGATGAGGGAGCTAGATTGTCATCACCAGCCTCACTCACCTCCTTCCCGCTAGCGCCCGAGTGAAGGTACAGGTTCTTTAACTCGAAATGAAGGTTCGAATTCTTTGGTTTTTAAAAATTTTCTCCGAGGTTTTTGGAGCGTTTCTTCCGGCTCCCAAATATCACATGCACTTTTCTGTCTTTTTCCACTACCCCCTTCAGGTTTGCTCTTCCTCTTCTCGCAAAAAGGTAGAAAGGACTTTGGCAGGTGTCACCCCTTCTGTTTCACTTTCCCAAGGTTCTCTAGCCCGCCGTTTATTCCTTTTTTGTAGACTTGCATTCTTAACTATGCCATTTCTTTGTCAAATAACTATTGTGTGGGGAATCACTTCTGTTGTCAACTTTTTTATATTGTCATTGTAACCTTCTTTTAATATTCTCTAATGACTTCTGGTGGGAAAGGATGAACGTGCATTTTTTGATGTTGGAGAAAAAATTATTCAAAAAATTTCTTTTGTTGTCTAGATTTCCACCTCCCTTACGCTTAGGGTTTTTTCCTTTTTTTTTTTTTAAACATCCAGGTGAAACCAACACCTTTAATCTGTTGTTACCTCAGGTGTTTGTCTCAGAGCTCTGCTGAAACAAAGGATAATTTCTTAATATATACTTTTTCCAGGTTTATTGAGGTATGAAAGATAAGTAAAAATTGTATTCAGCATGATGTCTTGATATGTGCATGCCTTGAGGTGTTAACCACAGCCAACTAACATCATTCACCACACAATTACCTTTACTTGTGTGTGGTGAGACCACTTCAAGATCTATAGTCTGTAGGCATATTTCAACCATACAATTCATCATTATTAACTACTGTCACCAAGTTGTTCATTAGATCTCTAGAATTGTAATGAAAGATTGTACCCTTTGATCCACATCTCTCCCTTTCTCCTCTTCCCCCAGCATCTGGTGACTACCATTCTTCAGTCTTTAACAAGACCCTGCATATAGGAAGCTTTCTGGAAATACGTCGTGATGCATTGAGTGTAGCCTTATTTTTTTATTTAAGTTTGTATCTCCCTTATATTGCTGTATAACATTGCTTTATTACTTTTTTAAAGGCATTTTCCATCAAAATTAGTTTTATTTTTGACATCTGTGTCTCAGTTTCTTATGTCAGTTATATTGCTTAACAGAGAGGTTTCAGTGATTGAAGATAGTTATGATGGTGTTGCTGCTGAACAACCATTATTTCTTTTCATATTGAAAGACTTAGCTGTTCCCACTGTCATTCTGATTTGCACTCTTTTTTTTTTTTTTTTTTTTTTGTGGGACCCTCGCTGGCAGCCCGGGAATGAACTGGTGCTGCAGAGGCTGCGGGCAGCCTCGCAGCCCAGCGCTCAACGGCTGCGCCACCAGGGGAGGCCCTGCCCTCTGGTTTTTAGGGATAGTGTGGAGATCGCGCTAAATTAGCCATATTCTCTTGATTAGAGGGTGAGCTCCATGAGGGCAGTGGTCATATTTCTTTTTTTTAAAGATTTATTTATTTATGCATACAAGAGCTGGGGTACAGGCCAGAGGTGCAGGGGGTGAGAGGACTGCCAAGAGACAGAGTGGTGAAAAGAACAGGCAGACTGACTGAAATACACTGCTGAGGGGAGCTGCGGGCGAGACAGGAGAGGTCTGCTGTGCAGTGTGGGTTGCTTCCTGGCTGGCCAGGGATCGAACTTATGCCGCAGAGGCTGCAAATAGCCTCATTGGTTGCGTCTTAACCCCTTGTGACCCCAGCCAGGCTCCCTTCTCTTACTCTTGAGTGGATATTCTGTGTCTGCTGACACATTATCTAGGACATGGTAGCAATCAGTAATTACTTGTTTGATGTTGAATTATATATTTTGCTGGAAGCAAAAATATGTACCTGTTCATTTAGGAAAATAATAAAATATTACTTAATATGGTACAGCTTTCATGGGACAAGATTCAATGTTTTGTGGGAATTGTTGATGAATTGATAGTGAATATGTTTTCGCTTTTATTATTGTTTTAGGTGGTTTTTTCTCAAGTATTTTTTCCAGTCTGTTCGGAACCCGGGAAATGAGGATTTTAATTTTGGGATTAGATGGAGCGGGAAAAACTACAATTTTGTACAGATTGCAAGTTGGTGAAGTCGTTACCACTATTCCTAGTAAGTTTTTGGTGTGATAAATTATGGAGGCCTTTTGCTTTTCATCTAACATAACTTTCTGGATAAATAATTCATAAATGAAGTGATTAATAAGGTTTGTAAATTAGTATAGGCATAATATTGATGTCTTTTTTTTGGTAAACTGAGAGGAAATTTGGTATAATTTATGGAGCACTGTTAGGGCAAGGTTTTTCTCTTCAGAGATGTTTCAAATTTGGTTTGAGTTAAGCCATTTAATCTCATTGAGAGCCAGTATCTTTATTTCTCCACTTGTTGATAAAATGGAGAAAATAAAACATCTACTGACTTTGATGGGAAGATAAATGAAGCAATAAAATACTCTGTAGAGCCATGTAAAGAATTATAGATGGTAAGTGATATATTTCTATATGAAACTTTTTTTGCTGTAGTATTTGTTACTATTTTAAGATTAATTTCTCTCAAGTAATTCTATTGATTACTTATAAAGATCTGAGTTGAAGAGACTCAGTATTAGATTAATTTGGTACCTACAATAGTAAGAAACACCTCAACTTTTTATCAGTTGTTGATATCTTAGAAAAATATTCTCAAGGCTATTTGACTACATAAGAATACTGTTATTTGTTTTCATTTTTTTGACCTGATTTTGTTTAGAAAAGATTATTAATTTAAATTAAGTTTAAGAATTTGTAGTTTGCTCAAGAGTATTTAGATTATACCTTTAAAGTTACTCTGTCCACTCAGGTATTTCTGTATTTAGTAGTATTTAAATTTCTATATTAAAAAAAGTCTACTTTTTATGAAAGCAGAACTTTTTTTTTTTTTAAGATTTATTTATTTATATACACAAGAACTGGGGTACCCGCCAGAGGTGTGGGGGTGGGTGAGAGGATTCACCAGAGACAGAGTGGGGAACAGAACAGACAGATTGACTGAAATACACTGCTGAGGGGAGCAGCGGGTGAGGCAGGAAAGGTCTGCTGCGCCATGTGAGTAGCTCCCTGGCAGGGGGGATCGAACTTGTGCTGCAGTGGCTGTGGATAGCTTCACATGTTGTGTCTTAACCCTTTGCGCCACCAGGGAGGCCCTGAAAGCAGAACTTTTAATCCTTACTTGTGACATCTGTTATTTCTGCCACCTTCAAAAATTGCAGTTCCCTTGAATTTTGCTTCTCAAAATCTCCCATCTTAGCTGCAGTAAGTCCTGTGGCTTACCCTTGCAGTGCTCAATCCAGTAGATTTTATTTCACTGAATAAAGCCTTCCCCCACATTTTTGTCTTTTGCATATAAATACATTGTTCTTAATAGTAGTCAAGATGGTGATTACATGCATACTTAATTCTAAGGCAGACATCATGAACTTGCTTTTTAGTTTTTTACTAAGGTATAGACATACTTGCCAAATACTCATAAGCATCATTTGCCAATATTAACTTAAATCTAAAGCAAAAATTATTTGTATATTTACAGCTATAAGTTATTTCTTTGACTTTTTAATAGCCTGTGAAATCTTAATTTTGATGTATTGACCCTGATTCCTCTCACCAACATAGTGGTGTTGCTTCAGCATGTGGTGCTAGAGCTCCACTTAGAAGGATGCCAGGAAAAAGGGTTAGGACATTTCACCATTGACCATCCCAAAGCATAAGGACTCTGACCTCATTACAGATGAGCTCTTGAGGAAATGAATCTGCAGAGGTTGTGTGACATTGCCAGCATTAGTGAGTCCAACTTTCAAAAAGTGGTAGAGAGCTATCGTCCTGCCCTTACCATTGGAGTTCAGCATCTAAGATTTCTTGGTTTTATCATCTGTTTATGTGCTACCTATCAAAATTCCATTTTTCGTAATATATCTACAACTATTCTTTTTAATTCAACTTTCTGAATACTTTTCTTTGTCAGGACTGTATTATGAGGAGAGTTTAATGGAATAGCATTTGCACTACACTAAACATGGGGCCTCCATGGTGGCGCAATGGGTTAAGCACCGGGCTATGAAGCAATCCACAGCCTTGGCAGCATGAGTTCGATCCCCGGCCAGCCAGGGAGCAACCCACATGGCGCAGCAGACCTCTCTTGTCTCGCCCGCTGCTCCCCTCAGCAGTGTACTTAGGTCAATCTGCCGGTTCTCTTCCCCACTCTGTCTCTGCTGAATCCTCTCATGCCCCCGCATCTCTGGCCTGTACCCCAGTTCTTGTATGCATAAATAAATAAAATCTTAAAAAAAAAAAAAACATGATATATTTGCATAGGTAGCTGGGGTTCTTCCATGACCTGACTGTGGTGCTGATTTTGCTCATTGAGTTGTTTGTGTGGATATAGCAGTATACTCTTTTGTATTTTAAGGGATATTATCTCAAATTATAATACAACAATATCTCAATAGTATGATTTAGTAATTACCATTAGTTGCTGAAACCCAATTAGATTGGATACTTAGAAGGTAGAATGTATTAGTCTACTTATACTATTGATTTGATTTCTCTTTCAGCTATTGGATTTAATGTTGAAACAGTAACATACAAAAACCTTAAATTCCAAGTCTGGGATTTAGGAGGACAGACAAGTATCAGGTATGGTAAAATGACCAGGTTGCTTTGTGATATTAGTTAATGTTTATTGGTTCTTTTAAGGTTAATAGCAAATATTTCTTTATAAATGGGAACCACCTAGTTTAAAATGAGGTAAAACTGCTTGTACTTTCAAATGAATAAAATCTAAGGAAACTAGTTTTCAAATATTTAATGATTTAATGTCTGTAAAGTCTTTTCATGAAAATCTCAAGACCTAATTACTTAAGTAGTTTTTAACTAAAATGGGCCATCTCTTTAGTTCTTTTTAACGTCTTCTGTGACACATACATGTTGGATTTCATAAAAATGCTTTGCAGGTTCACCAGTTTGGCTAATGTGAAGGCCCCCCTGCACAACATTCTGCGCTTCACCAGGCAACTGTGTGTGTTTGGTGATTATTGGTGGTTCCTCTGGTACCATCTTAAAAGATTAGTAGTCCATCCCCTAAACATCCTGCCGCCTTTTAACTTATTTTATTTCTTGCATCATTTTTTAGCATATTTCTGATTTTAGCCATTTCTCCTGGTTGATCAATGATCAATTTAACCTATTATATAAAGTCACATTAATATTTTTAAAAAGCATTCATTTTAAGGGGTTCTTAGCTAAAGATTTATAAGATGTAATGATCAGGTAGACCTTTGTACATTTTTTTTATTTGACCATTTAGTGATTTTACAGTACATTGTCTCTGCCTAAAGTCTGAATTCATTCTCAGACTCTTTGGTCCTGTGATATAATTCTCAGGCTCTTTGGTCAGAGTCTCAGATTCTCAGACTCTCAGACTCTTTGGTCCTGTACTGTATGTTGATGTTATTAACATTCTTTTATCCCCTCTAAGGGATATGATTAGAGATTCTGCGTTATTGTGGCATTGATTCTTGCATGGGTGGGACAGAATTTGCATGTTACCATCCCTCCCCAGCACTGCCAAATTCTAGCATGTAAATTAACATAATAGTTTCTTCTTTCAAATAACATCACAGTTTCCTTTTCTGAATTTTCTTTAGGCCATACTGGAGATGCTATTATTCCAACACAGATGCAGTCATTTATGTAGTAGACAGTTGTGACCGAGATCGAATTGGCATTTCCAAATCAGAGTTGGTTGCCATGTTGGAGGTAAGAAAACTTAAAATGTGGGGGAAATCACCCATTTGCTTATTGTATGCAAGAATAATTAAAAGGAAAGCAGTAGCATTTCACCCTTAATACTTTTAGAATTATTTTCTTTTTTTAAAGATTTATTTATTTATGCATATAAGGACGGGTGTAGGCCAGAGGTGTGGTGGGGTGGGGAGTGGTGAGAGGATTCAGCAGAGACAGAGTGGGGAGCAGAACAGGTGGGTCTACTGAAATATACTGTTGAGGGGAGTAGTGGGTGAGACAGGAGAGGTCTGCTGCACCATGTGGGTCAGCTCCCTGGCTGGGGAATGAATTCAGGCTGCAGTGGCTGGTGATAGCTTGATAGCACTGAGACTTTAACCCCTGCACCACCAGGGAGGCCCAGTAAAAACATTTTAAGTAATGGAAATAATAAGTGACACAAAGATTTTTATATATTGACTCTGTCACTTGGATTTCTCTAATAGGTAGGTGGAAATAATCTATTAATAGTAATACTAGAAAAGTAATGTAATTTTTGGTGCATGCATTCATGGTATGTAGAGTGCTTTTAATTTTTTTTTTTAATTTATTTATGCATACAAGAGCTGGAGTGCAGGCCAGAGATGGGGGGCGGTGAGAGGATTCGCCAGAGATAGGGTGGGGAACAGAACAGGCAGACTGACTGAAATACACTGCTGAGAGTAGCAGCGGGCGAGACAGGAGCGATCTGCCTTGCTGTGTGGGTTTCTCTCTGGCCGGCCGGGGATCGAACTCATGCTGCAGAGGCTGCGAATGTGGTGCTTAACCCCTTGTGCCACCGGGGAGACCTGAGTGCTTTTAATTTTTTTGAAAAAAAAAATTGATGGTTTGGAAAAGCATTCATGACTTACTGTTTGTTTTTTACAGCAGGATGTGGAACTGTGGTCTTAAATATGTAAAATGTGTTTCTAAATATAATATCTGTTACAAAGCAGTAGTTAAAACCCAAAAATGTTAACAGTGATTGTGTTTAGGAGGTAGGATTTTGGGTGATGGTTTTCTTTATACTTCCTTATAACTTCAATTTATAATGCACATTTATATATTAATAATTAGTAAGCATACTTTAAAAATAATGTATTTTTGGCATTTCTAAACTCAAGGGAGCAACTTGACTAAAGGAAATTAAGTATGTTGTATTTTATTTAGGAAGAAGAACTAAGAAAAGCTATTTTGGTGGTGTTTGCAAATAAGCAGGACATGGAACAAGCCATGACTCCCTCAGAGATGGCAAATTCGCTTGGGTTGCCTGCTTTGAAGGACCGGAAATGGCAGATATTCAAAACTTCAGCAACCAAAGGCACTGGCCTTGATGAGGCAATGGAATGGTAAGTGACACATTTCCAGAAGCCATCTCTGCATGCATATGCATGATTTCTCTTTAATCTTAAGTATGAATTTAAGATTTCTTAGCAGCATATCATAGTTAAGTTCTTTCAACCTTTTCTCCCACTGGTTTTCATGTGCATCAGCATTTATTTTAGCCACGTCTACCTGATTATAGGTATTTAGATAAGCCAACTCTCAGCTATTTTTAGTTTTTTCCTTGCCTGACTTCCAATTCCTTACCTTTCAGGAATTAGGTTAAGGCTTTTTTTCTCTGGTGCCTTCCCTGCATAACTGTGCTCACTACCTTATCAGTCATATTTCACTGACATAGTACTTGTAATCTGTCTTATAATTTTTGTTTGATTTGTTTACTTTTTTGTTTGATTTGGGCAATAATTTATTAGCTTCTTGGGGACTGAGACTAGTTTTCACTTCTGAATTATCAACAACTGGCCTGTCAGTGGTAGAGGCAGCCCAGAAAGTAGTTATTTAGTGTTTTTTGAGTATTAGTCAAAGCATAAATGCAAGACCTCATGGAGACCGAGTTCATACTCTCATTCCTTTAATATAAATCCTAGTCTTCATTATTTTAAGTGCTTTGGACTTTCCCTCTGGTATAAAATTCATATTATGAATGATAATGCTCTGTACCTGTAAGTTTGAAGTTAATTTTATAAAACTCTTCATTTTCTCTTCACAGGTTAGTTGAAACATTAAAGAGCAGACAGTAAATTCAATCACTTCTCTGAAAAGAAGACTACATCACATATCCCTTGGAAAAGTCACTTGTGCTTTACACTACTAAATACTGATGGCAGCATTTGTAATAAATATAAAAAAGTATTTAGTTGGAGGGGTAACTCATGTTGATTGAACCAACTGAATAGCTTTTCTCTGTAACATAAATATTCCTTCCTTGCTTTCTTGTGTTAAGGTATATATTCTATTTGTATGGAATTCTTATTCAAATACAGTCCTATTAAAGAGTGTACTCTTACTGAGGTGAAAAAAACTTTCCTATTTTTTAATTAGTGATTGCAGTTTGTTTGTATTAACACTAATAAACTTCTTAACTCAGATTTTTTCCCCCCAAAATGAATTTTTTCCAAAGACTAGACTCGATAGAGTAGGCTAGGAATATAGTGTGAGTAATATAGTCTTCATTTGCTTAATGACCATTTTATTTAAGTTGTTTCATTTAAAAGCACTTGGTTATCGGCATGAGGTTTGTGGTTAGCTGCACTCTTACCTGTCATTGTCGTTTCATGAGTAATTTGTAGTTGTCACAAAAAATTTTACACATGCTGATCTAGTCGGTGTGTATAGGAACCCTGTGATAGAATAGGCTGTTACTGTCTCATTTTTATGGACTTGGACCTAAGTTTCTGATGGTTGACTTGCCCACGGTCACTGGCTAGTGAGTTGGGAAGAAGGCTCAAAGCAAGACTTCTGAGTCAGAAGCTTGTCCTATAAACTATACTTAAATTCCTGTAAATGCTAATATTGGCAATACAGACAACCCAATCCTTAAATAAAATTATATAAATTGATATCGACATAGTACACTCAAAGTAATGTCCATAAATGTATTTATCCATACTAGTAGACATAGAAAAAATCTTAAATTGATATATGATAGAATTCATAGCACACTGAAATTTTAGAAAGGCTTTATTTTGAGAAATGTAAGACATCTGTATTGTCTTAAATTTATTTACCTGTAGTTAGACATGTAAGTTCAGTGAAAAGTCAGAATTTTATTCTACAGGGAGAAATTAAACATTATTCATTTTAAAGATTAGGTTTCCTGCTAGGTTATCAGAGAAGCTTAAAAAAAATTATGTTCCAAAGAAATTTTGAAATTACCCAGCCCACCACTGGAGTAGCTGGAGTGAGGAGTGAATGTAGTCCTTAGTAAATACTAAAATTGGGTGGATTTTTTTTCAGGTTTTCTATTAGACAACCAGTATTATAAAAATCCGATGCTGGTAAAGAGAAGCTTGCTACTACTGTGTCCCTCAGATGCAGAACAGCAGTGGCTTTATTTCCTATCCCTGCCACTGTCCTTCAGATACAGGCTTACACTTCCCTCAGGCTTACACTTCCCTCACACTTTTGGTTATTCTGAGTGCAAATGAATGTTGGCTTTCTCTTCTCACCTGTGGGACTTTTATTCATTCCCCAGTTCCCTCCTATTTTGGTCTCATTGAAATTTTTTTTGGAGACTTTTTCTCAAAGAACCTATTACTAACCAGGCATAGTCGTGTGTTAAAGGTCACTCCTGATGGCAGACTGTCTTCACATGTCTGTCTCTAGAATCCAGGTGCCTGGCTCATTGCAGCACCTCAGAATGTGTTTATGGTTGAAATAGTATTTGCCAGCTAGGAGAATAGTATTCCTCAGTTTAATACTGGGTCCTCCTCCTGGTCAAGGGCATGAACTGTTGGTGGATTTGTTCCCAGGTAGCTAAGTGCTCCCCAGCAGCTCAGGAATACTGTGAGAACAGAATGGGCAAGTGAGCTCCTGTAGCCCTTGCCATCTTGCATACTGAGGGCACAAGAAGCTGTGGCAGAGTCAGCACTAGGATGATCCTAATCCCTCTGGCTTATGACAAAGAATAGGATGAGAATGTACAATTATTTTCATATGGTATGAATTACAGGGGCCTTGTGTGTAGAGGTATGTTACAGGAGTTTGAATACTGATATTTACAAAATCTCGAGTTCTGTTTATGAAAATGTGGAAAGTACCATATTGAAATCAGAACACAAACGAGTTGTAGGCACAAATGATTTCTGAGTTTTCTTTCCTGTATGCAAGAGACTTGGACAAATATGAAAGGTTTCTGTCGGCTCCAGTAATCTATAACTCTGGTTGGTAGTTGTATTGTATCATGTTATCACACTGTAAAAAATGAAAAATTCAGAGTGGTGGTTACTTTTGTTATGTGAATACCTGAGATGCACTTTAAATTGTTGAAATGTAAACTCTGAGGGCAGTGGCCATACCTTATTTACTGTTAACATCCCTTGCATTAGTGTGGTGCACCTGGTACATAGTAGGCGCTCAATAAATATTTACTGATTAAAACAAAGCCGCGCTCAATATTCCTGAGATTTGTTTGAACTTTACCTTAGTATTAACTTTTTAAAAATTTTCACGAAAGCAATACATGCACTTACTTTAAATCACTTAGAATTAATTGAAACAAGCCCTCTGAGATGCCCATGTTTATCCTTCTGGCACATTGCAAACCACCTGGAGATATGAGACACAATCCACATCCAAAACAGATGCTGAAGTTCATGAATGTTTGAACTTTTGATTCCTTGGCTGTATACTAATATCCTGACTTCATAATCACAAATTAATAAAGAACATGGGCTTTCGATCCTAACTTGAATCCTGATGCTGCCACCCACGATTCAATCCATGCCATCCTTAGGTAATGAGACTGTTTACTACTCCGGTAAACAATCTTAGGAGGCTTTCAGAAATAGGAGGGGGATATACAGCATGAATGCAAAGTACCTGGCACACAGGATGGATTGTTCTCTCTTCCAAGTATATTAGGCAGTAAAGAATTATATTGCTTCCACATCAAGAGTAGTGTGAGGTAAAAGAAACATATCATTGAATAAGGCAATTCCAAATTGCTTTTCAAAGTGGCTTGTACAGCTCCCACTGCTCTCATATGTTTGCCAGCATTTCCTGTTGTCAGCTTTACTAATCTGAAGAGTTTAAAAGGAATGTCTATGTATTTGAGTTTTCCTACAAATGAGGTTGAATATAGGAGTAATTAAAAGTATTGAACAATTAGACATAGTTGATGCAAAGGACCTCCACTAGTCCAGATAGTAACTCTTCAGTTTCTGTGTGGAGATATGGAATCTAGGAACTCGTACAGCCAGGGTGAAACATGGGAATCTCAAGATAGTGACTACTTACCAGTCAGGATGTGAATACTTCAGTATTTAAGAACTGATACAGCCATATATCCCAAATGTTGATGGTTAAGGGCCATTTATATTTCTTTGGTAGAATCATATTGTCACTGGATTACCTTTTTTCATTCCTATCTATGACTATGTATATTCATTATATAGCCTGGGGACTACTAATCCTTTATCAATATGTAATATGCCATATCCCAGTTTTGTCTTTTCGTAAATAATCTTAATGAAATGGAATTTACTGTGTTCCCTGTTCTCTGGAGATAGCATTTTTTTTTTAAAGATTTATTTATGCATGCCAAGAGCTGGGGGGTACAGGCCAGAGGTGCAGGCAGGTGAGAAGATTCACCAGAGTGGGGCACAGAATAGGCAGATCGAGGTATACTGCTGAGGAGAGCAGTAGGCGAGTCAGGAAATGTCTGCTGCGCCATGTGGGTTGTTCCCTAGCTGGCCAGGGATCGAACTCATGCTGCAGAGGCTGGGATTGCTTCATAGTGCGGTGCTTAACCCCTTGTGCCACCCGGGAGGCCCTGGAGATAGCACTTTTTGTGTCTTTTATCTGACAAGGTAAGCCCCTTTTCCCACTTGTTCTTTTTTAAAGAGCATCATGGTTATTCTCAGCTTATTATCTTTTATATAAATTTTAGAATCAGCTTGTTAGCTGCATTTAACCAATGGGGTCCAATTTGGAAAGAAAGAACACAATACTGAATCTTTCTACTCATGAACATGGTTGTATTTCTCCATTTGTGCAGATCTTACTGTCTTTTGATAAAGTTTAATTTCCTCAATACATGTAACCAGGAGTGTATACATGCTTGATTATTCCCAATGCTACATTTTTTCTTGCTATTTTAAAGTGTATTTTTTACAAATGACATTTTAAACTGAGTTTTATGCAAACCACATTCTTTTTAAGACAGTGAAGATAAGCAGTATTTTGAAATGTTTTAATACAAAAAAGACCATGATTATATTAAACTGTATATTATACAATCTATGGCAAAGGCTAATTAAATAATAAAACCTGTTGACTTCAGCCCAGCAGAACCCAACATAAAGTTCAAACTTTGGGGTGAGACTGTGTGTCAGCACGCTGAGCACTTCACTCCACCATCGCTAAGTCTTTCAGGCTGTGGCTCTTGTGTCTCTTGGCCTTATAGCCTGGACGCAGGAACTCTATCTTTCTCTTCTTTGCTTCTTTTTTATTTCTGTGTTTCTTCAATTTTTTCTTGGCAGCAATATCAGGATTTGTTACAAACTTGAAAAAAGGAATATGAATTTTATGTTGCTTTTAAATATTAAATCAATAAAAATCAAACGCAGAAATATACCATTTGGTTCACCTTTCAGGATGTTGCACGCAGCACATACCCATTAAAAAAAAACTCAATTCCCAGCTGTAAAGTCCCAGGTCTCAAACTTTCTTGCCTAAGTGTGACACCCCACCCAGACCCCCACCCCCCAGCTTAGAGATAGTTATTAGGCCTAATAAATATACCAGGTGTTCAAAGAGCAAAGCCTTACCTCCAAAGCCTTCCTCTTTTTGCGGAGTGCCCTTTTTTCATTTGCCTGTTTCTGTACTGAGGCAAAGGCCAATGAGAAGTTCTCCAGCCCAACCAGCTTTTTGAGTAATTCTATGATTTCCTGGGATAGATTCTTCAGCAAAGGATCTAATCACAGAGTAATTATCAGAGTCAGTCACATAGGAAAGGACATTTGAATAGCAACAAAATCAACAATCTGCACATCTTCAACTCTGGCATTATCTATCACTTTTACTACTTCAACATTAAATATTGATCTAAACCAGCTCTATGTTCCTGAGGTGAGAGAAGAAGCAGAATTGTCGGGCCCAGCACCCTCAAGCACAGCTCAGCCAAGATGCAACAAGGGCAGAGACCAACAATTCCACTTATAGCAGAATCCTGGCTCTGAAGACCAGGCAACTTGGGAACCTTACAAGAATACTTCGGTTACCATTACTAACCTGCTCAGCTTGTTGAGAGAGGGAGAAAGGTAAGAGTCCCTTTAGGCCCTAATTCATGGGTCAGAGTTTTAGCTCTGGAGATTAATATTGTTTTTTTTGGATCAAAGACTCCTTCAAGAAGCTGACAAAAAGCTATTTGCTCTCCCACCCTTTCCTGCCTCCTCTCTCTCATATGTATCCACAGACTGTTGCATTCAATTTCAGAAGAGTTCCAAACACCTACTCTAGATTGTGAGCTTGAAGACGAGGGACTAGGCCTTTTTTAAAGCCCCCCAGTGTCTGGCAAATATCAGATACTAATGTTGACTGATAAGAACCAAAGCCCTCCCAACTTTCACCACTGCTGCTTCCGCTAAGAGTGAGGAATGTTCTCTGCAGGCCATAGGACTAATATAGTTGCTGCTCTGACATTCATGTCATTTGTTTAATTTAAAACGTTTTTTAAAAAAAAACAAACATTTCTTTTTTTTTTTTTTAAAGATTAATTTATACAAGTACTGGGTACAGTCAGAAGTGCGGGAGGGTGAGAGAATTCACCAGAGCCAGAGAGGGAAACAGAACAGGCAGACTGATGAAAAACATGGCTGAGGGGAGCAGCGGGCGTGGCAGGAGAGGTCTGCACACCATGTGGGACCCTCGCCTGAGGCCGAGGGATTGAACTGGTGCTGCAGAGGCTGTGGCAGCTTCGCAGCCCAGCGCTCAACTGCTGCGCCACCAGGGGAGGCCTAATATAAAACCTTTGAACTCCACTTTATCTCCTCTCCTTCCACCCAAATCCAATGAGGGAAGTATACTATACTACACAAGAAAACGATGAAAAAAATTGGAAAAATAAACTAAAAACTATTTCATAAAAAAAAGACAATACATAGACTTTTTGCCTTATAATGTTTAAGAGAATATAGTTCTATTTTATTATTCATCGCTCTATGAGGTTTAGAACCACCCTAAACTACACTTTCTTTGAATTTTTATGCTTAGGGGTAAAACATTATCTTTTAGTGGAGAAACATTCACTGTCAGAGAAGGTATAAAGGAGAGGACAATGAAATATAATGCAAATTTGCCTATTTGTCTGCTATTGATTGTCTTGAGACATCATAAATTTTCTTTCTTAAACTATGCCAGGGAGGGAGGATGAAGAAGGAAGCTCAGAAGCGAGAAATCCTAACATGCAAGATTCAGGGGAAGAGAGGCCCCATAGTTACCCTGGTCCAAACAGGTGCTGTTCAGTTCTCGGAACAAAGGTGCTATGATCACTGGGAGATATGGCTTCACCTTGTCCACTCCAAGATCCATGGCCATCGCACCGAGAAATTTAAAGATGCATGTTCTCTGAAAGCACAGATCATTTTTCATTTGAAGTGTTTCTTGCACTTAACCTTGCAATCATACAAACAACTAATTTAGAAAATGGACTATTTGGGGACAGATATTTACCACTGCAGTTTTGGGTTCAAAAGACAAAGTTCTGAGGATCATGGGAGTACCACTAATATCACTAAAATACTGGGCTGTCGGGAAAAGTCATGACACATTTTTGCTTGAAAAACATAAAAAAACAAGTCAGGACTTCCCCAACAACCCAATACTTTTTGTAAGAAATGGCTGTTTTTGGTCATTCTGCACATTCCTCATACCTTTAACTGGTTTCTAGGGGAATAAGCAGATTCCAGTTTGGCCATCCGGGACAACTTCTGGATCAACCACAGCAGTGTGGCTGGCCTGTTGTGTCCCTCCTTTGCCTCCTCATTCTCTTCTCTTTCCAACTCTGCCTTGCCGTCTGCACAGCCCTCGTAATCTACTGCCTTTCTGGTCACACCATCTAAAGCTTCTTGTTCCAGGTCTTCTTTTATCTCATGTTTATCCTCAGGATCAGGGTCCAGCAAAAATAAGACTTTGGCTATGAACAACAAATTCTTAACAACCTTTAAAAACGGGGTGGAGAGGAGAAGGAGAAATTGGATTATGATTGTGAAACAAATATGGCTCAGTAAAGCAGAAGCTAAAATAGGTATTCCACAATTGTAACATAAAAACAGCTGGGTATTGCACTTTCTCTCCATTCCCATTCTGTTCCTTCACCCATTCTTCAGAGGAGTAACAATTAGAGGGCTGGGGATCATGCTTCAGTGGCTGCTGATAGCTTCATAGTGCTGAGACTTAACCCCTTGCGCCATCAGGGTGGCCCTTTAGTGGTAATTTTAAATGGAGCACAAGGTCATTCCAACATGGAACACGGAGTCAATAAGACAAATGTGCATAACTGAGCACGTGTTAGAGTGTATGTCCATATTTCATCTAATTCCCAAAACATAATAGGAAAACAAGACGCTACCAAATATGATCCTATTCCCAGACTGTCAGTAGAATAGGTCACCTACTCAGCTAGGAGGGTTGTAGTACTCACTTGTTCTCCTAGAGACTGATCCAAAAATTTGGAATACAATTGATGGCAAGAGGCTAGAGAGATACTTTTCATCTGTGAAAAGAAAACAGACATTGAAAGACACAAAGAGATATTTCAAAAAATCCCAAATAACCATAATACAAATGAGGTACTAGGTTCTACTCTGATTGGTCACTTGTATAGGAATGGAGAAGGTTCACGAACAAAATTGTTTAGCTGTTCCCATCTGCCCGTCCCAAGCCTTTCAGGCTAAGGAAATTTCAAGCTCTGGGGAGATACGATTGATAATCCCTTAGATGATCAATAAAATTTGCAAAGCCCATAATTTTTTCTTCCTCTGTTCATCCTTTCATACTCTACTCATTCAATATTTATGGCCTTTCATGACCCTAGAAGTTATGCCAGGTCCTAGGAAATCGCGGATATACCTTAGTTCCCACTTAGTTCCCACTTAACATTTTCATGAGCACAATCTCACTTAGATACCAATAAGGCTATGAAAAGAGGCAGGACTTCTATGAACACTAAATAAGCAAATCAAAAGTCTGACTAGGCTGACTATCTTTGAAGAACCTTGGCCTTGAGAGTAACCCTGTCCAGTTACTAGCATTCCTACAGATTCACGTGGGTGACATGCTGTCACCTTAAAGAGTTTCTGCTAACCCCAAGACAGAGCCAGAATGAACATCTCACATAGACCACAAGAGAAAGTTTTACAGAAACCTTACCTTTTGGTCAAGGTCACTTGTTAGGAACTTGATTGCTACAGGTTCGGAGAGCTTCTTTTTAGTTTTCTTAGCATTCCATTTTCTAATCAGCTCCTCTGGTTGGCAGGAGGCAAAGAGCAATCCAAAAATCTGGGCTGCGGTGAGCCACACCCAGTTGTGTGGATGTCTCAGGTGAGAGTGCACGTGGCCTGCGGACAACATGATTCTCAGATGGCTCACAGAGTTCTTGGCTCTTCAGTGGTAAAGATGACTCATTTAGACATTAACTATTAAGTGCTTTGATTTGGGAACCAAAGATGAACAAGAGTCCCTGCTTCCCGGACCCAGAGGAGCTAAGGAAAAGTGAGGTGGCGAACCACTGGGAACAACTAGAAAACCAACTCCTCACAAGGAAAATAAAACACTGGAGCTACAAGAACGCACCCAAATAGGCCAGTTCCATTCAGAACTAGTTTCAGATTCAAGTGAGAGAAGGTGTCATTAACGTTTATAATTTCGAGATGAAGTAATGTAAGTATGTATAGAATTACACATTTGCTGCTGTAACTATTGGAAAATGCCCTGGTTTGGCTGCACTGAGACTTGATCTGACTATCACAAAGGTTCTATATGAGCTCCATGTGGCAGGCACAGGGCTAAGTATGTTACATGTATTATCTCACTAGGACCTCACGACAGTTCTGTGAGACTGGGACTGCCACTTCCACTTTACAGGTGAGGAAACACATGTTCCAAAGGTACTAAGTGAGAAACCAAGCTGTAACAGGCAGAACTGGGTATGGGCACCACCTCGACCTGGTCCCAAAGCTTGTAACTTTAAATATGACCCTATAAGGTACTGTAAGTAAAGATCATACTCTCCATGTGCCACACTTGGAAAACAGGGAAAAAGCTTTGTGGTGTTGGGGAAAGGATTAAAATTCTAGATGAATCATGTCATATCTGAGTTTTAGTCTATACTGCTATATTTTGAGAACATGGTTTTACTTTTGTTTTATATGAACCTTTATAATAGTGGGATCAAGTCTCAGTGCAGCCAAACCAGAGTGGGCCATGTAGTTAGTAACTTGGTACCTGTCTTATTTCTTAGAGGATCATGAGTTCTTGTAAAATACATAAGTACTTAAAGCATTCACTCCAATTTCTATTTCCTACTGACTAATCAAAATTGAGTGTGTTAATTAAAAATTATAGGATGTTATTTTTCCTTTAAAGGTTTATATATAGTAACTTAAATGTCCTATAGGCATGAAATAGTGTAGTAAATTATGGCACGTTTGCCTGATGTGCTATTTATAGATATTTAAAAGAATAATGACCAAGTGTGTTATAGTAAGGTGATTATTTACATAGGGACAAACAGGATAGGAAAGCTATATAAAATTATGCAGCCCCTCTAAAAAATCCATGGCTATTTAACAAAGAGAAAGATTGGACGGAATAGACATCAAATCATCATCAAGTGGCAAGGAGATCTTTGGAAACTTTTTCCCGTTCCTTTCCTCTCCCATAATTAATATTCTTTCTTTTATAAGTGAAATATATTACTGATGAAGTCATAGAATATTATTTTATGTTAAATACAGATAATGTTTTTATATTTTATGCTTCCACTGTAATCAACCTGAAAGGCCTTTAAAATCTTTTCTCATCGGCTTTTCCCCTGAAATATTCATATTCTACTTTCCCAAAGTTCTGTTTTCAATAATTCTATCACCACTTATATGCTGACGTTTAGATTCAAATAAAAAGGTAATACTTACTCCAGATTTTACTCAAAATCTCAGAGGGCTTGGTAAGCTGGATAATATTACATTCCTTGATGAGCTTACTTATCAGTGTAAGAAAGCTAAACAGGAGGCGATCTGCAGCTTTTTCTTCTGTCTCTTCCATGATCTAAAAGGAGAACAGAAGCATTTCATTTAAGGCAATGACTATAAAGTATTTGACAGGTATCTTTCTTCCAGCATGTAAATCTATACCAGGCTCGCCCAACCTCAGCACTACTGACATTTTGGGTCAGATAATTCTGTGCTGCAGGGGTAGGGGTGGGGTGGGAGGGGGCTCCCTGAGCACTACAGGAAGTACAGCAGCATCCTGGGGACCCTAGAGCCTGGAGATCCTCCCATCCTCCAGTTGTGACAGTTCAAATGTCTCCAATCATAGCTAAGTGGCCCCTGGGGGGCAAAATCCTCCTGCTTGAGAACCTTTGATCTTCATGTGCTAGGGAAGAAAACTTACTTTTAACCCTCATCTTAAAAAGATCCAGCTGCATTGAATTTTCACTTTGGTTAATATAATAACACATTTGGAAGACAAATAGTATTTAATCAATATGAAACAAATAATATTTAATTTATTAATAAATATATTATAATAAATAAATAAACATACCACCTCAAGGAAAACTATAAAAAGTAGTAAATGTTTTATTCCCTAGCAAATAACTTACATCTTTAAAGTTTTCAGGATCAATCTCCTTTTCAATCACAGGGAGAACAGTGTCAAGCCTTCGCTCAAAAGCAACTCCTTCACTTTCCACAAACAAGCCACAGATCAGGGCAGCTAGTTGTCTATTTAAGCTCTACAAGACAATGAAAATACAACTTGGTAGGCTGTTTACAGATTGCAAAATGATTGTGCCCTCAGCATTTCTTTGAAATATCAGAAATCAATAGAACAGAGATAGATCTTTGGTGACTAACATGAAAAATATGGAGAGGTCTTCTGTGAAAAAAGCATTAAAAATGGCATTATTCATCATTATCTCAGAATTCTTTAATACATTTTAATTTAAAAGAAAAAAGTGAAAAATAGTTTCATACCACCTTTTCTGTCCCCTAGTCTGACTTCAATATTTAAAGCATTAAAATTGATGTGTGTTGCTTATATTCCACAAAGGTGAGTTAGGGAATAATGGTGATAGAGTCAGCAAGTGGATAAAATCACTGACCAAAATTACATTCCATAGAACAAATAAGCTAGATGGGAAACAAAGGTTTTCATCAACAGGGATAGGTTAAATAAGTTACGTTATACTCACGAAGTAGAGGACCTGGCTGACATTAATTACATAGTCAAAATACAGGTGGTTTTTATGTTATTCCCTATAACATCCTATATTTCCTGAAACTTTACTACAAAGTATGTTATTACGAAATGTGCAGTATGGGGACTGTAATTGATAATATGGTATTACAAATTTGAAAGATGCTAAGGAAAGATGGTAAATAGACTTGATGATGCTGATCATTTCACAATGTATACAGACCCTGAATCACTAGGTTGTACACTTGAAACTACAATAATGTATGTCAGTTATATAAGTAACAAAAAAGATGTAAAACAGTGGGTAAAGTATCACCATCAGTACATCAAAACAATACTGCACATCACCACCCACCGAAATCTCCCTATAAATAAGAGTAAATTAAAAAAAGAACACATTAGACTATTATAACAAAAAAAATAAAGCTATTAATTCAACAATACATAAGATGTATTTAAAGCGTGAATGCCAAGAGCCGAGACTTATCACTGAAACATGACCAAAAGCGACCCTCACCTTTTTTGCTTTGAACCAAGTGGTAACCATATCAAAGAGCCAATCTCTTTTCTCAAGGTTGATTTTGCCGAGTAAGGACTTGATCGTCATGGACGCCATCTTCTTGCACGTGGCAGAGTCATCGTTCACCATCATTAGACAAAGAGGGATAAAGAACATCCCACAGTTCTCGTGGAGCAGCCCCTAGGGAAGACGGGCCCTGGTGAGCACATCCGAAGGGACTCCCCAGAGACTCCCTCAGGAAGGAAGGGTGGGGACGGGGAACCAAGGAATCCCTGGGCTCTCGGGAAATGCAGCTCACAGTCTGGGACTCACGGTACCTGAGGGAACGTGTCAAAGATGTAGGCGATCATTTCCAAGGTGGACTCTCTTCCGGTCTCATGTTCATAACTAGGACAGGGGCATTAGAAGACATGCTGATATCTCTAAAATTTGCCAATAATGACTTTTAAAGATTTTCACCATTGTCCTAAGAGGACTCGAATGATAATATCAGTGGTCAGTCTGAATGGAAAAGGAACTTACAGAACTACCACCTGAGGCTGATGATTCACATGCTATCATCCTCATAATGTGCTATTATGCTTCAGGTTTGTTCTTTTCAAGATAGCCACCATATTGAAAGGGGAGTAGTGCACCCTGTACTTCCCTTGTGTAGGTCAAGGCTTGAACTTACTTCAGTTGAGCGAGCAGGAATTCCAAATTTGGTCTCAATTTGTCACCCAGAGGATAGTCAAGAATATATTTCAGGAAAACCTAGGAAGAGAAGTCACATGGATGATCATTCAGATCATCATGTCTCACCAGGATTCCTGTTTCTTAAGCTGCTTTTTGGGACAGATTGGTAGGTTACAAAGATGTTCTAGAAGAACGATCAGTTAAGTGAAGTCTACCTACTGAGACAGACTGTGCCCTTTCTTCTCCACTTCACCCAGGTCCTGCCTTAAGTGCTTGATTAAGAGTCAAGTCCTGGACCTCACTGGCACCACTGTTTAGGGCACCAAGTCTGAGCTCACATGTTGGAAACTCATCTGTCTGGCAGGTGAGGTAATGCAGTGTGATGGGTTGAGTGTAGAAAGCCCTCCCCACCTGTCACTCTAGCTGGTCCTTCCCCTCCCCTACAATCATCATATGCTCTTTCCATCAATTCTACACATTTCATCAATTCTAAGAAGCACAGTTTTTCACATTTCATATATTTGAAATTGGGATGTGCCTTACAATTGATGGCATCTTATCACTGTGGCATAGCTTATCTTTCTTTGAAGTGTATAAATAATGGTATGTCTCATAAGTGATGAAATATGACAGTACTTTCTCCTGGCATTGACACCTGTCATTAGATAACTGCTCGTGGAAGTTGTGCTCTGCACCTGTCTCCCGTAGGGTGGAGCCATGAGGCCACTCCCCCAGCAGCACCTGGTACATAGTGATGCTCGAGGAGCAGATGACTAGAGCGCTGGTGGAGCCTTTGCTGAAGGCTTCCATGCTGCAGAAAGAAGATGAACTTCATCTACCTAAACCTTCCATATGTGGTGAGCTGGACTCAAAACTCTCCTTGTTAACTGGAAACTACCCCAGAGACAAAGCAGAGACACTTCTCTCACACTTAATGTGAAAATGGATTTGGGAGTCTCAGGATAATGCAACAGAATGACATAAAATCCTCAGAATTCAGTCAATGTTGACATGTCTCTTAAAGACAGAAAGGCAGGGCTCAGCCTTTGCTTACAAACCTGTCTGCACTGAACTCTGGCAGGCTCGTTTTGTGCAGAAATTGCCAATTTGGATACTTTCCGCATGATGTCATCAATTTCTGGGACCAACAATTTTCTCGATAAAATGGCCTAAAATACAAAAGGATGAGACATAATCATTTCATGTTTCACTGTAGATGGATGTGAGCTGGTCTGATGTTAAAGATGTCATAGGCAGTTTCCATATAAAATGAAAGTATCTTCCAATATATACACATAAAAATGGTTAAAATGACCAAAAAAGGGAAGATTAAAATGGTGAATATTGTTATGCATTATTTTTTACCACAATTAAAAACAAAAAGTCCAATATGATAAATACAAGTTGAGTAGCTGTATTTGTACAGAATTCCCTGGAAGTGTCCATATAGTGCTCACTTCCAAACATTTTAATAAGTAGAGATGTTATTCTGTGATTAATTCACTAGAGTCACCATAATCTTTTTAATTTTGGAAGTCTCTAGCTAGTCAAAACACCAGGTTCCACATTTTTCTAAATATCTGCTGTAAAGCTCACGAAATGCGAAGTTCAACATCTGGGAGACATCATACCTTCAGCAGGCCAAACGCAGTGGCTTGTCGTGAGTTGTCATAAATGTCCTCCTCGGCATATGCTAGCAGTACTTGAAGCTGCTTCTCAGTGATCTGGTAGGTCTTCACTTTCTTCACCAGTATGGTCACACACTGGAAAGTTAAACAGGACCATTAATATCTGTCCTGGAGAGAACCCACCAACCAGGATTTAGTGAAAAGCCAGGGACTTAGTAGAACTCAATGCTTTTTCACACTGGATGTCAGTCCTCTGCCCATAGCAAATCAGTCTTGAAAAAATCCTGACCAAGACCACAGAAAGGCAGGGGGAAAAGCTAATTTTGAAGTTAATCAGGTCCTGGCTGCTTCCAGTACAAGTGAAAACACCTCACCTTGAAACAATTCACGGCCAGGTGGAAGTTCTGGCCCCTGGCAGCCCCAAGTTTTGCATAGTTCTTCAGCAAAAGGAAAAGGTGCTTGGTCAGCTGTTCTGCTTTTGTTTCTATGGAAGGCAGAGGGAACTTCAATACCCAGATTAGGCATTGTAAAGCACCAGTGATCACCTGAAAAACAAAAACAAACAAAAAGACCCTAATCAACTTAGGACGAGACCAAACCCAACAATCCAGCACCCAAGTCATGTACAATCAATAAGTGATGAGCTGAAGGGATGAAACGCCCTGTCCAGCCCACTCTGGAAGAGTGATCCAGACTGTAAGAAGACAGCAAAGCTTCCTGTCTCCTGCTGGAGAAGAACTCACCACTTATCCATAGCCAGTGAAGACATATCACCTAACCTATATAAGTTAGGTGATATTCTTAACCTATATTCTTAACCTATATAAGTAAATGATTGGAAAAATACATTATAAATGACTTCTCTATTTTTTAGAATGGTTCTTCCATTGAATCCATTCTTACTAAGCTTGTATTATGTAAATGAAGCAACCTAAGGATTATTAAAAATACAAGGATAAAAAAGATGCCACCCCTGCACTTAAATGGCAGATAGTTGACTTAGCAATTAAGCATGGGCGCACTGATCTACAATTTAATATAGTTTAGTGCTGGAGCCAAGTGATTACCTGGGAATCCCCAACCTCCAGGCCAAGACTTAGAGAACCTCTCTGTCAGCTAGGCACCTGAACCTAACAGGTCCCCACTGCTCTTGTTGAACTGGGTTAGATGAAGACAGAAAGAGCTCGGGCATCAGAAATGAGGACTTAAATCCCAGGTCAGCAACTAGAGAGATGTTACCTCACCTATTGGCAACTTCACTATAAAACAGGCGCTCTGAGGAAGTAGGAGAGAGTCGGCTTTGGAGTAGGAAGATGGAGCCCTAGTTCCTAGATCTGGTGTCTGGCCATAGCCTTGGGCCTACTTTCTCATTTATTAAACTTTAACATTAATATCTACCCCATGGGGGCCTCCCCGGTGGCGCAGCGGTTGAGCGCTGGGTTGCGAACCTGCCCGCAGCTTCTGCGGCGCCGGTTCGATCCCCGGCTGCTCCCCAGCCACCAGAGGAGGGTCCCACATGGCGCGCAGACCTCTCCTGCCGCCCGCTGCTCCCCTCAGCAGTATACTTCGGTCCTTCTGCCTGCTCTGCTCCCCGCTCTGGCTCTGGTGAATTCTTTCACCCTCCCGCGCTTCTGACTGTACCCAGTGCTTGTATAAACAAAAAACAAAACAAAAAAACAAACAAATAAATAAATAAACATGCCTCTATAAAATTAAAAAAAAAAAAAAATCTACCCCATGGCTTGTTAAGACGATCCATAGCAGTGAGCAGCAGTAGAGACAAAGGTGAGGATGATGATGAGGGGACACTGACCCCCCCACAGAAGTCGTTATGAGGAAACAATGATGACATTAATGTACCTAGAAGGGCTTTTAAAGCTGGTAAGGGTTATTCAAATACATGGGTTTATTTAATTGGGAGTCAACTTAATGCAGGGAAAAGAGGTAGTTCATGATGCCATAAATCCTTTTAAAAACCCAACCATCCTGTGAAGTTCGAACCCACAAATAAGTATCAGGCATCTTGCACAGCCTGGTTCTTGTGAAGGAACAGAGGCCCACCTTCACGTCCATGGAGCCCAGGCAGTCTATGAGGAGAGACACAAAAGGATCCAGCATTTCCAGAACATGTGCGCTTGAAGACTTGATCTTGGAAGTCTTCAGACTCAGATATAGCAGCTAAAAGATTTAAAAAGATATTTCACATTAGTTGTCCATAAGATCAAATGAACAAGATAAAGAAGAAACTATTTTGAGAGATATACGTGAAATGTTAAGATGCTTCTGTCTAAAGTGAAATTTTGAAGAAACGGTAAACAGCCTGGGGAGCGTCTCAGGAACTGAAGGCAGTGGGGAGTCATGGTGCCACTGAGAGTCCAAGTTCATCTGCCACATGGTTCCTCATGAGCTACTGTGACCGCAGGCACCGGGTCATGCCAGACTCGGCAATGACCAAGGTGGACCTGTTCTGATGGCTCTTGGCCAGGAAGACAGACTCAAGGAAATAATGAACATAAATGCAGGGAGCTTTGAGAGTTCTGTGAGGACCTGGGCAGAGGAAGGAGCAAGTGCTGAGGTCCTGGGGCAGGAAGAGGGCGGAGACCCTCAGAACTGAAGGGAAACAGAGGGGTGGGATGCCACGTGGCAATGACACAACATGAGTCAAAGAGCTTGCAGCCCAAATGAAGACTGGGCTCTCTGCTAAGAAAAATGGAGTCAGAAGAGGGTTTTAAGAAAGAAATAAATGGATCAGATTAATGCATTTAAAAATTCCTCATTTTTCAAAAATAATTCCAAGTATAGAAGTGCTCACGGGCAAAGCAACAGTGAAATCATAAGTACAAGGTCAGAATCATTACTTCTGAGACAGTCATATTTGTCAAAGTGAGTAACAGAAGAGAGAAATAGTACATGGACAAAATGCATCTTTAAAAAAAGTGATTCTGTGATTTATTTACAGTAAAACATTTCCAGGGGAAATGAGCAATACTGCGCAGGTGATTCGAAGGCATGGACCCAATGTGGGCAACGAGCCTCATTGTAAGGATAATTCTTAAGGGGTCCACTGCACGGTGAAGGACGGATGTGGGCTTTCAGTGTGAACTCAATGTAGTGTACCCATGAATGCACACCTGACCCTGACATGGTGTCACGCACTGTGACTCAGTAAAAAAATTATATAAAAAGGTTCTCACCTGCAGCCCAGACTCTATGAAGATGTGCATGTTGGTTTTCCTGCTCACAACAGCTTTCTGCCCGCCTCGAACTGGAGTTGGTGGGAGCAGGAGACAGCTCTGGGGTGGCAGGCGTGGATCTGGTGCTGGGGCTGCGGGAGTTCTGGAATGAAAAATAGGGGCAAGAACACCTTAGGCTGCATTTTGGCCACAAGTTCCCTCTGCTTCCTCTGGTGAAATGGGTGCAGTGCTCAGTGATGTATTATTTACTGTGGGCTGTTTTTTTTTCTTTAGCCACAAAACACAGAGATTAAGTTGTTGAAAAGTTGCTAAGGCAAGCCCAGAAGGAGATCAGACTAATCAACGCACACTGAAATTAAGATCAACAGCAAGAGGACATTCCCTTTCTTTGATTTCTTTGATGGCCTAAATCTCTTGATTATAACAAGAGGAATATATTTAAAACCTACCCTAATTATTGTCTAAAATTAAAATGGGATCAGAGAAAGGCCAGAATAATTGGCAGCTGTCAGTTACCTCATCATCAGAAAGATAATATCATGCCAACACGTGTCCCTTGAAAGGCCCTCAGCCTGAGCACTGCAAGGGACCAACTTATGACTCAGAAAAAATAGTTTTACTAAAGCAAGTTATTAAATTAACCCACTTAACAGTAGATAAGACCTAATGGCTTATCAGAAATAAACACCCAAGGGATAGTTGGTTTTTAAAAAAAAAAAACAACTTACTTTTCTTTCTCTGTTAACAAGGGGAGATTCTCGCTGACCAAACCATAACTGAGCAACAGAATGGACTCTGCCGTCATTTCCTCATTTACAATTAATCCTGCTATGATCCGGCGTAATGTTTCATGAACTTTCCGGGCCAGTTTTAAACTCGTGGTGTTTTGTAAGATCTAAAGGCAAAAGTACATGTCACGCTGAGATGTAACACACAACCACATTTTGATTTGTTGTAATGACAGTTTTCTTTTATATGTTTGCTTTCTAAAGTTTGTTTTCTCTAAAAAAGGAAGACATTTATAAGTAAAAGTTCAAACACAGATATAATATATAAAGTAGTCAAAATGACCCTCCCCCTCACACCCAGAGATAAGCACTATCAGTGCTGCGTGTGCCTCTTGATATCTCAATCTGTCTGGTGCTACCTGCTGGTAAGGTCGCAGGGCTCATGGCTAGACACATGATGTGACACCAGGCAGATGGCAACACTCCAGGTGCATTCAAGGTGGTGAATAAGTCACACACACACATAATATCAACAAAATGCAGGGTCATTACTTCAGGAAACCACCCTAATGATAGGATTCGATAGCCAAGCTCAGGGTTTGATATTAGTTATTGGGGTCACATCAGTTAGTCCAGCAAAACAGTCCAGCAAAACAGCACTAGACAGTACTTCCCTTGCAGGATACAATAACTTTTATTACCTTGGAGGCACCTAATAATATACATAGACAATATATGCGTTCTAGTGATTCTTTTTCATCCTCAAAACACACCTAACTTCCTCATATTAGCATCAGATAAGACGAAATGTATATTAAGAACCACCAGGGAGTTAATCTAGCACCAAAACATTTGAATTATAGTTAATTCATGTCACTAGTTAGTGCTTTTTGTTTTAGTTTTAGTACACAAAACCACAATATAGTGAATAAATTATGTTGATTGAACATTCACCCCTGCACAGGCACAGAGAACACTAAGCAGGCAGGTAAATTATATTCCCTGCTCAATAGAAAGCAGAGTGAAAAGAATGTGAGCTTTGGATTAGAAAGATCTTAAACTAAATTCTGATTTTCTTCCTTAACCATGTTCCTTTTTACCTTTCTGAGAATATGGAAGAATCACTGATCTCATAGGGAGGTGGTACAGATTAGCACAGATAATGAGGCCTAGAGATTAGAACATAAAATAGATTCTGTATACGCCAGTCCTCTCCCTCCTGGCATTCTGGGAGCAGCACTGCAATTCCTCTATATTTCAATTCTCCTTACCTTTCCTTTTGCTCCTCCTGTGTATATCAGGGACTGTGGCTCTTGGGTAGAATGCCCAGCTCAGGGCCACCCACAATGGCCACAAGGCATTGGTGTTCTTGGCACCAAAGGAAATCCTCGTGATCAAATGCAGTAGTAAGATGTGCCCTACGAGGCTCCTTTCTAGAACTCATGATATAGCAATGTGGGGCTCTCCTGTATTGCATTAGAGTCCTTACCTCTTTTAGTGGGAGGATAAGTTTTGTAACCTGATCTTTTCCTATAAACTTGCCCAGGATTTCGTAAGATTCATAACTTTTGCTTCTTCGTGCCTCCATGACTTTGGACAGGATCTGCTTTACTTCCTTCTCTTCAGCAATAGCACCAAACAACTCATGGTTAAAAATCTTTGAAAGAAAAAAAACCAAGGTAAAATTAAATGCACTTAGCAAAATAAAGTTTCTGAAAACAGCATTCATATCTCCAGATTAAGGAAAGGAACTTGGCTGAAATTAGATGGTAGGAATTTCTATTAGGTTTCAGTGTAGTTTAGGAAGCTATTAATAAAAACAAATATAGTAGTACATAGTAGTCGCCCCTTGTCCAAGCTTTTGCTTTCTGTGGTTTCAGTTACTGCAGTCAACTGCCATCTGAAAATATTACACATAATAAGATACTCTGAGAAAGACCACAATCACATAACTTTTATCACATTGTTACAATTGTTGTATTTTATATTAGTTATTGTTAATCTCTTGCATCTAATTTATAAATTGACCTCATCACAGGTATGGATATGAGTGGGAAATACTAGTGTATATACTTGGTTAGTACTATCTGTGGTTTCAGGTATCCACGGGGTGTCTTGGAATGTATCCTCCATAGATCAGGGGGGACTACCATACAGAAATACCTGAAGGTTTATACTAACGGGGAACAAAAAGAAGATGAACATACAGACCTCTATATCGATTAATAAAAGATAAGTACTTCTTTGGTACTACCAAAGAGTTGCTTAATTTCTCTTTAAGGAATTCTCATGATATATTTGCAACTTAATTATCATGATTGTGCAATTAATTAAAAATGATAGTACATATATTTTATTATGAATGAACTAAAAAAGGTTGTGTGACAAATTTTCCCTCTCCTCCCCATACCCCCCTCCAATCTTCACATTATCCAAGTTTAATAGTTAACAATTATTCATGTTTCATGATTTTAAACAAGGCTCTGGTGAGCAACTTTTATATGATCAGCAGACCACATCTCTGATTGTTCTTTTAGAACAGATTCTTAGAAGTGGCTGACATTTTTGCTTGTTTCAAAAGCTCTTGCTACACAGTGCCAACTTTCTTTCCAGAAGATTATCCCAACTCATGACCTGCTAGGAACGGCAGAAGGTCCATCTCACTTCATTCGAGTTTTAGCTCTTTCAAACCTCTGCTGGCTAATCTAAGAGATTCTTTTCATTTTCATACACTACTCTTATTTCTTATATTGTGAACTGATTTGGATTCTTTGCCCCCTTGAAAAACATTGGAATTCTTTCTCTAAATCTTACCTCAATCATGATATTTAAACAAGAGTCCAAATCCCCAACGTGTAGCTTGTTGGTGAGGCCTTGCAGCAACATGTGAACAGTGAAAGTTAGAACATGGACCTAAAGTGAAATGCATAATAAGAACATCAAGGGTTAAGGAGACCATAGTAGAAAAAATAAGATCTCAGGAGCACCACAAAGAGAATACCCGTCACTACTGCAGGGAAAGCTCAGACAAATGTTACACATACTTATATCATGGCCTAAAATCCTTCAAATGGTCACTTTGTACAGTAGATGCCCAAAATACACCCCCATGCTTAGGATCTACTGTTGTGATAAAACCAGGCCAGGGGTTTATAAAACAATGCATGAGAGTTTTGACTTTAAAAACCAACCTGTGAATTAAGGAGCTTGCCAAATTTGAATGCAATGAAAGCTGGTACATAAAGTTTTATGAAGGCAATAAGTTTTGCCCTTAGGAGTTAACACAACTAACTTTCCTAAGAGCTTACTATGTGCGAGGCATTGTTTTAATAGCTCCCACGTATTGAATCATTGAAACTCACTTGATCTATGTTGTAGGTCAGATAAGGAAGCAGAGGCACAGAGAAGTCCAAGCCTCATAGGTAGGCAGTGATGAAATGAGGACTTGAATCAGAAGGGCTGGCACCAGAGACCCATCTCTGCATTGCTATGCAATTTACACCCCGACACCTCCCTCCCCTCACTGATCCTATGGTTATGGTGCTGGAGGTGACTCGAAACAGGGTCTGGCAGGAGCCACAACTCTGTAAGAGGGCCACCGCCAGTGGCTTTCCGCCTATGCTGCCTTGCCATCACTCTGCCCCTGACGTGGGTGCAGCTGTGGGAAGTTTAAGGGTAAGTGGGAGAAAGAAAACACTAGCTTTCTGGGAGAAGACTGAAACACAGAAATATAGTGTTAGCAAAGAAAAGGAAGATGTAAAGAACTTAAGGTCTACAACAGCCAGAGAAAAACAAAACATTATTCAGAGGGGGAACCATAGCTGAATGACTGCATTATTCATGAGAAACACCAGGAGGAAGTGGTACTACAGTTTATAGTGTGTAGGAAAGGAGCCATCAGCACATAATTATATAATCAGTGATAACATCCTTCAGGAATGAATACATTCACAGACAAAGGAAAAGAAATTCTTCAGATTGAAAGGAAATGACATTATCATTGCTTTTAGTAATGAGCTAACATCTCACGCTTGTGAGAATGGCACATACTAAAAAGATCTTCAACATCAAGTTCTGGAGAGGATGTGGAGAAAGAGGAACCCTATTATACTGTTGGTGAATATGTAAACTGGTGCAGCCATTTTGAAAAGTGATATGAATTGCCCTTAAAATCTAAAAGGGGACATGCACTGTGACCCAGCAATCCCACTCTTGGGCATCTATCCAAAGACTATGAAACAATCAACTCAAAACATTATATGCTCTGCAATGTATATTGCAGCATTATTTATAATAGCAGGAAAATCTAAGTGCCAAGTGATAGAGGACTGGGTCAAGAGGATGTGGTATATCCATACAATGGAATGGTATTAGGCCATAAGGAAAGACAAAATGTCGCCATACAGCAACATGGAAGATGTTGAAGGCATCATATAAAGCAAGTCAGAAAGACAATGACAAATATTTGATATTTGTCGAAGAGACAATTCAACAAACCAAACTACCTATAAAAACTAGTGGACACTAGACACTGTGAGGGCTCTGAGATTAAGGGGGGAGGGGGGAAGAGTCAAAAGGACATAAGGAATGGTGGTAGGAAAAAAAAAAAAACATGCATCAGACTCTTGAATATTCTTGCTTGCTATTTCAGTCGATCAACCTTATTGAAGACAGACCCAAATTACCATGATTTCCAGTATTTAAAATGAAAATATTTGAACTTCATCCCAATTTAATATATAAACCACATGATGCAATTTACCTGATATCCACGGACAAGGGTAGTCTGTAGTTCTTTTAAAATATATTGTAGATAATGCACACCCAGATCCTCTATTATTTTTGCAAGAGTGCTGCGTGCAATGTCTCTGATTTCCTGTGCTCTGTTCTTGAGGAGGGCACACACTTTGAGCAAAATACTAGACAATGAAAAGTTAGAAAAATGAATCAAATAAACAGGAGCAAATAAAAACAAGTATTCTTTTGTCTCTTAATTGCACATCACCCAAATTAGGATTCTAAACCACAGCAATTACAGCAATGCTTTTCCTCTTCCATCAAGGGATTCAAAAGTCGGCCTCCCTGGTGGCTCAGGGGTTAAAGTCTAGCGCTATCAAGCTATTGCCAGCCATTCTGGTATGAATTGGATCCCCTCAGCAGTCTATTTCAGTAGATCCACCTGTCCGCTCCCTACTCTGTTTCTGGTGAATCCTCTCACTATCCCTCCCTACCACCTCCCGTACCTCTGGCCTGTACCCCAGTTCTTGTATGCATAAATAAAAATAAATCTTTAAAAAAAAAAGAGAGATTCAAAAGTCAGGAGGCAAGAACTAATATTTGTGTTTCAGTGAACTTTTCTAATTTGTCACACAACATACCTTGGTAGATTAGCTTCCAAAACTTCGTGTGGAAGGGACTGCATTAGTTTAACCATGGCGAAAGCTAAGGGAACTCGAACCACTTCCTCATCATTCACAACCTTTGATTTTATGAGCTTATGCTCTTCTTCCCGTTTAGTCTATAAGAAAAATTTAGGTTAAACTGAAACAAAAATAAATGGACCAGGAATCTACAATCTTGCCTTTGAAAGATAAGCTCTTTGGATCTACCTGCTGTTCCTTAGTATCTTAAAAAAAATTAAATTATGTAATTTGAGAAACTCTCTAAAAATTATAATAGAAATAAGGTTCTTCTCAAAGTTCAAATGCTTGTTTCAAAATATATCACATGAGTCTGTGTCAACAGAACTTTCATTGTTTGAGTGACAATGGTAGATAATACAGTTCTGTAAGTAAGGTTATTTATTTACAAATATACAATAGAATTAAGTCAATATTTATAACCAGGTGTTGGCAAACGTTTCTGCAGTGGGCCAGATAGATTATTTGTTCTCGGTTGAAGCTACTCAACTGCCTTTGTAACACAAAAGCTCAATTAGACAACTGTGAGTATAACTGTGTTCCAATCAAACTTCATTTGCAACGCAGGTTGGGGGCACCTTCCAGCTCCTGGCCAGTTCTACACTGAGAAGGAGAAGCTCTGTTTGATGAGGACACCTGCCTAAATGCTATTCCTAGCAACTTAGGGAATAGTGACTTTTTTTAATAGTAGAGAAGTGGTCAAGTAGAAATGTAACATAGACTCTTAATGTTTAATGATTTATGAAATGGGGGTCATCTTAATATCCACATAGGAGGTAGAAAAGCATATATGTACCATGTCAAAATCATAGTGAAGGAGCATTACTACCTAGCAGCTGAAGACATGAACCCGAAGGTGACGAGGTAAGACAAGAGAGGTGATTTGATTTTATGAGCTTATGTTCTTCCTCACTTTTAGTCTATAAGAAAAATTCCCTTTAAGTCTATAAGGATACTGTGAAATGTTCAGAGAGAACAAAATCTGAAAGCTGAAGTCAATCAATAAGAATTAGGACCTGGCAAGAATTAGGTCTGGCAAGGACCCCCAATACCTAAGATCATAGACTGCTGGGCCCCAAATAGAATGATTACCGTAGATGCCAGGCATTTATGTAGTCTGGGTAGGATGTCCCCAGTAATGGTTCCTTGGATATTTTTAATTGTTTTCTCCAATTCTTCCTTATTCTGAGGAAGGGAAGAGAGGATTGGTGTGATATTCTCGGATTCCATAGCTGATGTCCCTTCGCCATCAGCGGGATTAGCGTTTCCAAGTTCTTCGTTGTGGTCTGACAAACTCTTACATGCATCTTCCTTCTCTTCCTCATCCACAGGCTCTAATTCCATGGCTTCATGGTCTGGCAACTCAATCACTTTTGTTGTGTCTATGTTTAGTAAACAACAAAAATCACCTTAAATCAACTAAGAAAACAGCAAGGTTGTGGTAAGCAGGCTTTTCCACTAACACCCAATATGAAAACTACGGGTGAGCAAGGTTAAATGCAGAGGAAATAACACTAAACGAGAGAGCTATGGTGTTTTGTTTCCTCACAGCTTAGTCTAATGAGGGACAGAGACAAGCTAACTGGCAATTATAAGAGCATGGAATACAAGTGCAGGGTACTTGGGGAACACAACGGAAGGCTGGTGCCAGGAGCATCTTAATTAAAAGAAAGATTCCAAAGTACTGAAGGTAGAGGTCTCCAAAAGCAAAATCCTACATTCACAAGCATCGAAGTGATGGTGGCAATGAACATTCTCATGCAGAAATATCCTTTATTAGAAGGTTCAGTTTATTAAAGAAAATTAGGCAGCACAGGATTGTGGGGCAATTCGAAACCAACGTCTGCTAACAAGTTGGGTGATGAGGGTCAGTTAACTTAATCCTACCGGGCTTTGGATTCTTTACCAGTAAAATAGAGATGGCACTGACTTCCCAAGACTATTGTAAGGCTTAAATAAGATACAGTCTACAATGTACCTAATGCACGTGTTGATACTTCATTGACTTTCAAAAAATGGTGATTAGAAGTCTTCATTTTAATTTACTGGCTGTGTTGACTTTGGGAATATTAGTCTACATTTCCAAATCTTAATTTCTTGTATTAAAAATAAAGGGCGAGTAAAACCCAAGATCCTCATAAAGCTCTTATGAGGACAAATGAGAAATGTTTTAAACTTCACTGAAACTTATGAAGATATAGTTAAACAGATTAAGTATTTTAACTTTTAAAGTTTCTGTTTATACAAAATTTGAAATACGTAGATTCAAATGATTGAAAATCAATTGTTAAGGGACTTTATTTAGTACCTTAATTGTTCAGAACACTCGTTCCTACAAATTTAAACTTGTCTTTTCTATTCATGAGTGTGGTGCTACAGTGATTTTGCTGTGAATTAAAGAATTAGAAAATTCTGTATAAGAAGGAGTGTTGGAGTAGAGCAAACTGAAGACCACAATATTTCAACACCTTTAGTCAAAACAATTAGGATAACTATTTAAGTTTTCATTCTTTTCCTTATTTTTCTGAGTTTGCTAGAAACTCTAGCTCAGTGTTCAATAAAAGCAGCAGCAGTACATCCCTGCCACATTCAGCTTTTAAACCAAAAACTTCCAATCTTTTACCATTGAGCATGATGTTGTATTACCTTTTCCAAAGATATCTTTCAACGGGTTAAGGAAATTTTATTTATTCCTTATTTGATAATCACTGTCATCATGAATGGATATTGAATTTAATCAAACGTTTCCCTCATATCTACTTAGATAATCATGCCTTTTTGTGTGCTAATGTGTTAAATCCCACTAACCAATTAATTATACCAACATCATGAGTTAGTGGTAGTTTCCTCTTTTCCAATACAATAGCTGGTATAAGCTTAGAAATTATTCCTTGAATGTTGGTAGAACTTGCTTGTAAAACAGTCTAGGTCTGGCAATTCCATTAGATTATTAAGTAAAGCTTCAATTTCTTTAATAGAGACCCATTCAGATTTTCCATTTCTTCTAAAGTCAGTTTCTGAATTTTATTTTTCCAAGAATTTTTACATTTCACCAAAGCATTCAATTTTAAGTACAAAGATATTTCACCTCCTTCATTTAATTGTGATGTTTTGAAAATCGATTTTGTCAGGTATGCTCATTTATGATCTTTTCAAATGTCTATTTTCAGGTTCAATCATTCTTTCTTATTACATATTTCATTAATTGCTGCTCCAATTTTTAAATTTTAGTTTCTTTGCATTCATTGCTTACTGTTCTTTCTACATATGAAGGTGAAAAACTGAATTTGTCTATAATCTACAGCTTATATATTTTTCATCTATATGAAATAGTCTGGGCTTCTCTCTTGTTAAATATATTTTTACACAAATGGTCAAACCATTCCTTTAAACTTCCTCCTGAATCATTTACTGGTTGTTGCTACATGAATAGAAAAAGGGAAAAAATTGAGTTTTGCCATCTTTATTTAATGATCATAAATTATCTAAGAATAGTATGGAAAACGAGTTTAAGAAAGTTTAAAAACTTGGGCCTCCCTGGTGGCGCAAAGGGTTAAGATGCAGCCTATGAAGCTATCCGCAGCCCTTGCAGTAAGAGTTCGATCCCCAGCCAGGGAGCTACCCACATGGTGCAGCAGATCTCTCCTGACTTGTTCATTGCTCCCCTCAGCAGTGTATTTCAGTCAGTCTGTCTGTTCTGTTTCCCACTCTGTCTCTGGTGAATCCTCTCACCCCCCACACCTCTAGCCTGTACCCAAGTTTCTGTATACATAAAATAAATACATTTTTTAAAAAAGAGAGTTTAAAAACTTACTTTCTTCATTCTGAATTTTTCTCATTTGTTCCTCAAGACATCTGTGGTCAAAGTGGAATGCTTCTAATACTATTACCAGCAAACTGTTAAAGAAAAGGTAAGCAGAAATGTTCATTTGATTAATGATATTTTTTTAAAAAGGAGAGGAAATTTAAAGGCTTAGTAATGTCAGATTATTTTTTACTAGTTCTAGGCATTTTTGACTTTAGCATAACCTCATTAATACAAGGTAAAGGTTGTGACCACAGAAAATACAACTTCAATAAATATCCAAAAATTTAAATTTTAAAAACAAAAACAAGAAGTTTGACCATACCTGACACCCAACTTTTGATTGATCTGTCCTGTCTGTAAGACATGAATGAAATGTTTCAAGTAATATACATATGCTGACCAAGACAGGTGTTTGCAAATAGCTCCAATAATTTCTGTGGCAGCGATGGTTATATTTTCATGCTGTAAAATAAATGAACAGCGTCAACACAGAACAAGTACTTGCTAATAAAATAAACAGCTAACTCCATATATTAAAAAGCTTTGACAGCAGGTTATCAGCAATTATACAAAGAATGCCCAAGTATATTCCATTTTTTCCCTAAGCTCTACGAAAAGATGCTGTCAATTAAAGGAATGACATCTTCCTGCAATTAAAGAATTATGAAACATTTCTTCAGACTCTAGGCATTAAACAATGCAGGACAGTGATCCCTGAGAGAAAGTTAACAAATGAAGTAAGCCTTTTCCAATTCACTTGAGGAATGAACTGTCAGGACATATAGGAAGGGAAACCCAAAATGGGCCCTTGGTGTCCCTGAGTTACAGCGACAGAAGTGAGGCTATGGCAGCTCAAGTCCACAGGGCGGAATGGCAGAGAGAAGAGCACCACACAGCAAGGAAAGCTGCATGGAGAAAGGACCCTTGAGTCTTTAGCTAAGCACTGATCAGCATGCCTAAGCAAAGAAGAGAAGGGGAAAGGATTGCCAAAAAGGAACAGGTATAACTCTCATTAAAGATCACCCATTAATAAGACAACTTCACGTTCCTTAACAGTAAAAATGAAAAAATCTCATGATACATAAAGCACTGGCTATTCAGGTACACACAAAGGTACTGCCTCTACTGAGGGCCCAGTTTTAACTTTCGATTAGTGGCTACTCCTGACCAGCAAAGCTTAAAAGCAAGCTCTGAGAGGACCAGACCACTCACAAATGGCCTAACTGAATCTGAGAACAATTCTCTAGAATATGTAAACAAATCCTAATACACCCAGCATCCAACAAGACAAAATTTATAATAGCTGGCATTTAATAAATAGTTACTAGGCATTCAAAGAAGCAGAAAAATATCTCTAATGAGAGTAATCAACCAACAGAAAAATACCCAGAAATGATATGGATGATAGACAGTAGACAAGACATTAAAACAGTTGATATAACAATTTTCCATATAATCATGAAGGGAAAACATGTACGTGTTAAAAGAAGTTCATGTAAGAAGTAAAAACAAGCCCAAATTGGACTTATAAAGAGGTAGAAGTCAATTCTGAGAGGTAAGGAACACTGACTGCGATTAGCAGCAGATTCAAAGCTGCATATTAGTGAACATGAAGACAGAGCAATAAATGAAATCCAGAAACAAAAAAGTAAAAATAATCTTGTAAGATGTAGATGGAAAAATGTAAATTATACTTAGCTTTGGTTGGCGTTAGCATGGTACATCTATCTATAACTCTTTCATATTTTACAACCGTGAAGTTCAGAATGGGTTGTATTTGCTGACTCTGTCAGCCAGAATTTAAGTAAGTATTCTTTTATTTATTTAAAAATTTTTTAAATATTGTGAAACAACAGGGAAAAATCTATCCTTGAATAGGACCAAGTAATCAAAATAATATAAATTCAAGTCACAAATCCTAATATTACATCAATTAGACCTGAATTTTTACATTCTGTCTTCTATTAATCTACTTCATATTTATAAAGTCTCTGCAGTGCCTATGTGACAGGCACCAAGCAAGTCCTGGTACAGTATAATGGTAAAGATGTACAAGTAGTAGTTCTGACTTTGCTTTTTTGAAGAAGTCACATAATCTCAATTTACTCTCCTATAAAAATAGTGATTAACAGTCCCTACCCCATAAGGCCGAGCTGTGATGAGAAGTAAGACTATGCATTAAAGTACTTAGAATAGTGCCAGTATCTGGTAGAGAGCTGAAGAAGCTACTATTTCATATAACTCTTATGAGCAACTTGGGAAAACAATGACTGCTGATTAGCGTTGACCAGAATTAAGTCCTATAACGCAAAACTAAACAAATGCCATTTTACTTATTTTTAAAAGTATTTTTTTAAGATTTATTTTTATTTATCTATGCATACAAGAACTGGGGTACAGGCAAGAGGTGTCGGGGGTGAGAGGATTCATCAGAGACAGAGTGGGGAGAATAGGTCGACTGACCGAAATACACTGCTGAGGGGAGCAGCAGGCGAGACAGGAGACGTCTGCAGTGCAATGTGGGTTATCTCCCTGGGTGGGATTGAACTCATGCTACAGTGGCTGAAAATGCTGAGACTTAATCCCTTGAGCCACCAGGGAGGCCCACAAATGCCATTTTAGTAATGTGACCATTTCTAAGAGGGGGAATCATCTGTGGTTGGCCTTTATGAACTAACAGTGGAAATAAAAATAGCCATGATTTATACTGTACTTACTATGTGTCAGACATGGTTCTAAAGCCCTCTGAACTACTCTAAGCCTCAAATGATGGTGGCAACATAAATATCAATGACACCAACTCCATTCATATTTTGGAAAAGTGTTTCATGCTATGGGTAGAGCTCTATTTGTTTCTAGATCATATAACCTACCTTGAGCATTTTCTCATTAAAAATTGGAGTCATGGCATATGGCATGATATAATTCTGCAGAGATTTAGAGGACAGCACAATTTTGCCTTCCATTAGTTGTTTTGCCAGTTTCTTCAAGGCTCTTGCTCGTCTGTGGATCTATCATTTAGATAAACTAAGAGTTAGTTTCTAAATAATCTCATTTACAACCAGCTCCATTTCAGTATCATGGTCTTAAAGGAATGAGCAAAGATCTGTGCCTTGATTTGCTTCCAGAGACGTAATCCATAGCATTTAACAATGGCCCCTAACACTTGTAAACCTTTTAGGAAATGGCAGAGAAAGAGGATACTCTTACTGTGGTTCCAATACTGCCAAAGAAACCAGATCCCAGAAAATGATCATCTCCTATGTAAATGTGATTGATGATCATGAAAATCAAGGAATGAGAAGTTCAAAACTTCTGGGAGAAGTTTTGAATGCCACATGCAGGCAATGACACTTAAAATCCATCTTTTAGAATAAGGCAGAACTGTTTGAAATACTAATTTTACAGGCAGAACAGTAAAATTGTCTCCTACCTGGATATGCTTCATATTCTCAAAGAAGTCCATTTCTGGGTCGTGGCAATCAGTAAGCTGGACCAAGTCTTTAAATTCTGGTTGGTTTGGAAAGGTTTGAATTAAACAGGAAAGCAGTGTGGTGTAATCGTGTTGAATATTCTGCAAATATCAAGTTGAGAAACACTTTTTTTAAATTTTAAAAACAACTTGCTTCCTATATAATATTAAAAAAACATACACATACAAAATTATTGCTTTTAAACTAAAATGTTGCCGCTATAATAAACAAACAATATAAAAGCAGAGTAAGTGACTGGTTTCCTTTTCATCTCTGCTCCCCTGTTAAAAGTATAGTGAGTATTTACACATTCAAGAATTTTAATTAAGGGCCTCCCCAGGTGGCACAGGCGGTTGAGCGCAATGCTATGAAGCTGTCGACAGCCTCTGCAGCGCCAGTTTGATCCCGGCCAGCCGGCAAGGGTCCCACATGGCGCGGCAGACCTCTCTTGTTGTGCCCGCTGCTCCCCTCAGCAGTGTATTTCGTCAGTCTGTCTGTTCTGTTCCCCACTCTGTCTCTGGTGAATCCTCTCGCCCTCCCGCGGATCTGGCCTATACCCCGGTTCTTGTATAAATAAATAATAAATAAATCTTTTTTTTTTTTTTTAAGAATTTTAATTAAATGTACAAAGCCTGTCTGTCTTCTATATAATAACAGCAGAAAGGGAAAACAAACAAACAAAAAAAAGGTAGATATTAGTGCTTAAAAGACCAAGTTATAATCGCAAATCCCAGTACCTCTGTCTGGCTCTTCAGTCCTTTCCTCAACCTCTCCAGCAGAGAGCGATGAATGATTTCTCTATAGTCTTTCTCTGTGACATTCAAGGCAGCCAGCCTTTTGATGATACTCATCAAGCACATGCTGGCATTGTCACTTAAAGACATGTCTCCTAACTGGAAGTAGGGGGAAAAAAAACAAATTATTTTGTATTATGGAATATTATTTCCCAGTGCAAGAGCTTATTGAATTTTGCCACTGCTCTGTGTAAAAGCCCTACTAAGAACTATCCCTATCACAAGAACCTTATACTTGAAGAAGAATCAAACACAGGGTGACAAGGAATAAATGACTTTAAAGTGTCCATTTCTGAGAAGTGTCAATTTCACACAATACTACCAACTTTTGAATTAGCTTGATTTTGCAAAGCAAATGGAACAGAAGATTCACTAAAGTCAGTTTTCAATACTCAGTATCAGATGAGCACTGAAAGAGAGTTGACCGATATAATTCTAGTTAGTAGCTCTAGAGTTCCTGGTTTGAGGAGTGTGGATAGTGAGTGGGGATAAAGTGTTCCCAACTCTGCCAACCAGGCAGTGGTTTAGAATTCCTTGATATATGGAGAATGAGCCCCAAATGGACAATTACTTTTTCATATGCAACATAATACTGAATATGAGATGAATAATTATAAAACACCACAAAGAGATAATTGATGTCACTACATAGTTAATTACCAATCAAGGGTTTCATTTCCCCCATTTCTGTGTTTTAATTCAGTTTAGCAACATGGCATTTAACACAGTTCCAAATTCTTTTATTGCTGCTACATCAGTAAAAGAAGACAAGTTTTCAGTAATATAGCTCATAACTTAAAAAAACTGAGATGCAATTGACATATGATAAAACAGCCTTTAAAGTTTACATTTCAGTGGTTTTTAGCGTTTTCACAAGGTTGTGCTACTACTGCCACTATATGATTTCAGAACATTTTCATCACCTCAAAATAAACCCTAAACCCATTAGAAGTCACTCTCTTCTCCACTCCCTGTAGCCTTGGGGAACTACTAATTTACCTTCTGTCTTTATGAATTTCCCTAATTGAAAATACCACTTTTTTGACTTTTCAAAGAGCTTCTGCATGTATTATTTTATTGAAAATAACTTGATTTCAAATCATGAGGATAATAGTTCTCTGCCAAACAAAGTATTTTTATACTACAAAGCTTTGACCCCCATAAAAAACAAATTAAACATTAGGTTATGTAGTTGTATTACCAAAACAGTAACGTGCAATTCATAGATTTTTGCTATCAACACCTACCTCCAGATTATAGAAACAATTATGCATAACTGGAATTAGGTAGTTAACATCCACGGTTTGCATCTCTTTAATATGAGAGGCGATGGTCTGGAATGTTGAGAAGCGAACATCGAAGTTGATATCATCAAGATGTCTTCGATCAAAGGCATTAAGCTACAAGAAATGTGTTGAAACCTTATGAATGAAGGTATATAAATCCCAAATAAGCACATGGTAATACTTTTGAAGCATAGGAGAAATAAGCTCTTCTTTCTTACCTTGACCACTTCAGTAACATATTTTAATTCACTCTCAAAATCAGAAAGCGTCTGAAAGGAAAGAAAATAGCATATTATTAGTGAATAAAACCTTAACTCTCAGCCCTCTTCCCTTTGGCTTCCTGCCCCCACACAAATTTATATGAAGTTATCATGGGACCAAGAAAGTTGCTAATGTGCTTTATATGTGACTATGATTTACAGGGGTGATTTGTGATAAAGAAAAATAACTATTACAGACCTCGAAAACTGTGCAAAGCAATTGCCGTGACAACTTGTTCTTAATAATTGAGAAAAGTTTTGCTAGAGGCTTGAGGAAGTTTGTAGGTTCCAGACAATGCTTTAACAGGTTTTGTATTGTCACCAGAATATCAACCTCTGTATCCTTAACAACAAATAGCAGGAGAAATAATATTTTAGTTATTTATAAAACTGTTCCGCTTGTACATTAATATATTACAGATTATAAAACAAGTAATTATATATACAAAATGTAGTAAGTGGAAAAATTATTTCATAGCCTTTTAAAAGTTGTGGGCATTTTTACCTAATATTGAACTCACAATAGTATTCACTAACAGTTTCTTCCTTTAATTCTAAAAGAAAATATGCAGCATGGCATTGAAACAATTTCCTTTACTGTCTAGTCAAAAAAAAAAAGGTAAAAAAAATGAGCTTATTGAAATAAAATATAGATTTCTGATTGTCTACAGATCTGTGATCTTCTAAACTAGATTACTAGGTGGTATAAGATGTTCAATATAGCTACTTCAGGCAGCTTTATAAATGCCTTTGAGTCACGGGAAGACTGTTAATTCATATTGAACTAGGCTTTGAAAATCAAATCAGAAACTTTTCATTATATCTGAATATTCCAACAGCTTGACTCTTCACTCAGTTTTGCCACCGTGGTCCATATTTAAAACTATACAATGCACTTCTTGGGTTCTAAAAGCCAGAGAGGAGCAGAAAAGTTCTGGAATGGATAAGAAGCTAAAAACAAGAAAATAAAGGGAGTACTTAATACTTTTACTGTTATGACAGAGGACAGTATTTTCCTCTTCTAGCTAGTTTATCATTCCTATTGAAGTTCCAATTTTTCTCTGTTTTCAATTACATAAACCTGTATAGTTTTTTTTTCAGTTCCTTCAGAATACATCATAAGATCTAAGCAAAATAAATATTAGTCACAAATAAACCTGGTGATGAAGTGGCACTACAGAGACAAAGTAAGAGCCCTATGAATCCATACCTCAGCAATATTGCCACGGTGGAGAAAAGGAAGGAGAAGTGTGATGAGGAGAGAACTTTGTTCTTTGTCTTGCATGAACTTGCTGATCCTAGAGAAGGAAACAAATTCCCGATAGGTAAGGAAGGGATACGAAAGGTTAACCCAGCTACCGAGCAATGCCACCTCTAATTTCCCTAACTCTAGGGTACTTCTTTCGCGAATATTGGCTTAGGTGGGGAACTAGCAAACTCCAGTGCTATCATTTGGCATCAGTAATTTTCACATTTTGTAAAAAAAAAAAATAACACTTTTAAGTGCCAAGATTTCTTTAAAGCTTTATGTTTAGTATTTCAATTTAACCCTCACAATACCATGTAGGAATACTAGCCCCATTTTGCCAAGAGAAAACTGAGGCTCAGAGAAGTGATGTCACACGGGTAGGAAGTGGTAGAACAGGTCTTTCAACCCTGGTCTTGCTGGTGCCTAATCTTTCTGTGGCTACACGGCCAGCAATAAAAGTTTATGGGTCTATTTAGTGTGGTTTTCCATTCTGTGTAATATAGAGATACAATAGTATTTTAAAAAAAAAATCTTAAATGAAGTTTCTGGAACATTCTATTATACCATTTTGCTTCTGATGTTGCTGCTGAAAGTAACAAAAAAAGTAAACTTTCAATAACTAAGCCCTATAATGGTCGATTTAGAGTTTAAGATAGAATACTTTTTGTCCTCAGGTTTACCTACCTTGTATTTTATGGCCATCACAACTATATAATACTAGGTCCATTGCTAAAGAGACTTGTTAAAAATCACTGCAATATTTTGATTTAAAAACCAAAAACAATAAACTATTTAAAATTATTTTAATTAAAATATAAAAATAGAAAACTGTGATCTCACAAAAATTCAAATTTTTACTTGAAGAAAATATGAAATATACAAATCTACTAGTCTACTTTAGAATGTCTCTTCCCTTTTATAATTAAATGAAGACAGATGTCATAAAAGATTTCCAATGACCATCCCAGCAGAGAAGCAGAATTTTGCGTTAACTTAAAAATAAAAGGTATTTAAAATCCTAAAGCCCTTTTTATTTATCATCACATTAAAACTGAAAAACAAAATTTAATATAATTAAAACAATTAAAAGCGCTTTTAAGCACCAACATATCACTCACTTAGAAAGAATGCCAAGTTCCTTACTGACTCGTGCTCTGTTCTTTTTCTTTTTCACCTTTTCTGCGCTTATTGTGGTTTTGCTGAGATACTGGAGTATAGCAGGCACATGAGGCAGAATTAATCGTGCCCCTGTCGTGATAGATTCTGAAATAGATAAAGATAAATGTTTTGATTTTAATTAACTAATCTCTCGAACGATAACTGCACACTATCTTTGTGAAGACAGATAAGGAAAGCACTCATTTATTATGGAAATTTAATTAAACTTCAACTCAGATGATTAAATAACTTTCTTCTTACTCAAAATAGCTGTATCACTAGCTAAATTAAAATTTCATGTAAGAGACCCTTGAGGTTTTATTAAATCCACTTTTGGTAATGGTGAAGTATATTATTAGGAGAATATGGTGGAAAGAATTCAGAGACAGATAGTGGAAATCATTTGATAAGTTCCTGGAGGTTTGCTGAATTTTCCAGAATATAAATAATCTGAATTTCTACTATTGGAAAAGAAATTCAGTTTATATAAATTGGTCTGAATTCCTAGAGAAAAGAAACTCTTTTAATGGCATGCGTTATTAAAACAGTCAAATTCTATTGAATTTTTCCTTTCCTAGAGAACACATGCTACCTCAAGAGTTTAAGAATCACGGCTTTGTACTCCACACATACCATCTGCACTTTCTGTGTATACACATCCAGTTACTGGCAAGCTCAAAACTGTCTCTGTGGGCTCAAAATCTGGAAGGTTAAGAAGATCATCAACTATATCCATCACCATACTGGCTGTGGCTTCAGAGAGATTCTTTGCTGAGAGAATCGCAAAAACATTGGTCAAAATATCACATTCTGGATGTCCAGGCTTCTGTTTTGCCAGAAAAGGGAAATATCTGCAAGAAAATCATTGAAATTGTCAACTTATTTCTTACTACGTTTATTTTTAAAACATGTTGCATGTGAATTTTCATACTGAGTTTATCAAATATGTATGAAGATTAAAAGATTACTCAAAAGGGAAGTTACTTTCAAATCTAAAGTGTGATGGGCAATGCTAGGAAGTACCTTATAAACTATTATTATTATGTAGGCACTCTCTTTAACACTTCTCATTTCATCGTAACATCTCCCTGAAGTGACATTCTCCCTACATAACAGATGAAGAAATTGAGACTTGTCCAAAGTCATTTAATAAATGGTAGAGTTGAGATTTGAACCATAGTCTAATTCCAAAGTCAAAGTCCTTTCTTAAAGAGACATATTGAAGACACGCTTTTTCAATTATAAGCTGTCTAGACTGTGAATGTTTCTATACGCATATACAAACCAATGTACTGCTATAAGGGAATTTGTTGTACCAACCAAGCAATCATTTGCTATATCAGGATGTGTAAAATTCAGAGATTGAGATCATTTTTGGGGAAGGTGGATGAATTCATGCCCAATAATCCAAGAGTCATACAAAAGGATAGGAACTTCCCACTTGGTGAAAACATTCCAACAAGGGCAGAGAATACAAGGGTGTTCCAGCCAGGGGCAAACCAGAAGCTATTTTATAGCCAGACACACAATCCTAACACAATCAGTAAGAAGACCAAACTGAAAAATATCAGATAGTTTAGATAGTTTGGCTCTACCCATTCATCATCATTGGAAAAAGAACTTAAAAGCTTTAACATATTCAATACTGATTAACTGACAGAAAAGTTCTAACAAGATATTCATACATCTTTGTCCAACAGATATCAGGCACCAAGCAAGATACTTTACCTATTTTCACCTCTATTATTAATGAAGAAGGGACTGTTATTATTTACACCTTACCGATGGCAAAGCTGAGGCTTAGAGAGGTCAACTTTTCTAAAGAAGACACAATTGTGCTAGAATTTGAAGCCAGGTTTATATGGCTTTAGAGACCACCTTCTTAATCACTGTGTTTTGAATTGTCTTTACAGTTTTTCAAACATAAAAGGTGAGAGAGCTGCTTTCAACTGCTGGCAAAATCCTTGCAAGAGTGCCATCAATTCCAGTCTGACCTGGAAGTGATCAAAATGTTTCTTGAACAATATAACTGGGCATGCTTCATGCTAAAATGTTTGGCTCAATCAAAAATTTTTATCACTCTTTCAACACGCAATGAATATCAACTAACCGTCATGGTAACTCCCTGTTACGGAAAATATGATAATAATTGTGAAACTGTCTCTACCCTCAAGGAGTTTTAGCAGGTAAACTATGAAGAGACAAGCGTGTGACAAAGGAGTATGTACTAACAGGTCCTTCCAGGAGTGCAGACAGCTTCTAGGAGGAAAAGACAGCCACACTGGGGCCACAATGGTCAGAACCAGAGCAGCTATTAAGAAAGTAGCCAGGGACAGTCCCAGTTCATGTTGGTTGTTTTGGCTTAGTTATTTGTGGCATCTCTTTTCATTTTCAGGAATGTTCCAGTTTGGACAATAGATTATGTGGCCACCCTAGTTAGCAAACAGAGTTGTTTTGGTTTTGAGTTCATCTAAATTTTGCAACAATATAACCTTACTTCTATGCTTAAAGACATTGCCTATAGTTCAGCACTACCTGCATTTACTCAAAGTAAAATTCTAGACTTTTCTGTAGATGATAATCTGCTAACTGATTGGCATTATGTAACCTGAACCCTCTGAAATGACACTTTATCTTTCTATCGAGGAATAGCATTTCCAATCAGGTGGCTTTGAAACATTCATTCATCAATTCTTTTACCCACAATTACCTATGCATGCTATGGAGATTTCAAGAGAAGTCAACCCTTCTGAGGATTTCTTTCAGGTGTTACTTAGGAAAGAGAAAAAAAAATTCTACTGCCTACTTCCTCCATTGCTATATGGCTTCCATTTCCCATCAATCAAAGATGAGACAGAAGTTGCAGAAAAGAATGAAGTGGCCCCAATGACGTGGCTTGACACCTTGAGTAAACACCCAATGAATACAAAACTGAGTCATTATTATAAAGTCTTCCTGGATGAAAGTCCTTCATAGCTTATTTACATAAAAATTGCACAACTATAGAACATTTCTTAAGTATGCCTGTAAAGTGCTGCTAATCAATGTCCAGTGATAAAACAAGATATGAAATTGCTTCCTCAAATTGGGAAATACATGAAAAGAGCTCTTCTGACCAGTAAAAATGAGACAGATTTTCCCAAGGAAGACAATGTCATGGCCTTTGGTTTGTTGTTGAAAACTACCTAATGGGGAAATAGTGGAGACATAATTGCACATAAGAAAAAAAAAATAAAATAAAGTCAATTACACTGCATGATCTCAAGTCTGTAAAATCCAATGCCAAGATTTTAACATCACTTTATTAACAATAAAACTTTTCATAAATTCTCTTTCATTCTTTCAAATAGCTTGGGACAAACTAAAGTCTTTTTCCATTACTAAGATAAATAACATATGTAGTTTCCCCACTCCTTAGTGAAGATGCATGTGGTCTGTAACATGGCATCTCTGAACCAACAGTAGATGAAGGTTCTGAGAACAGCTCAAATGTCCTCAAAAGGATGTTGATTTATGACATGAGACTTGTACATATGTTTAGATGGAATTTTACAAAGGAGAGAGGACTACGACCAGAAAATCTAGAGAGCCTGTGAATTTTTTCTGCCTTTAAGTGGAAACTGGGAAAAAAGAAATAGAATACCAAATCAGTTTTTTATTTTTAAGTAAGCACAGTTGCAAAAACTGGTAATATTTATGTGACGATACAACTGTCTGGTCTGTTTGACTATTTTCCCCTTCACCATGCCAAATCAAAGGAGTGATACAAATTTTTACACATTGGAAGAATATCCCTATCAAATCCAATACTTCTAATTTTCAACTTTAAAAGCTTTGATATAACATATATAACTTTTAATTACATTAAATTGCAAAGGTTATCTTTTTATTATTATAAATATTTCAAACACTCCATAAATGTATGCTGAGAAGGTTCCCTTCCCCACTGACCCACAAAGGCCTCTATATGCTGTAACATGAATAGTTTCTCATGTCTTTCTAGATATTTTCAACTTTATTTTATATTTACACATACCCCGCCCACCCCAACACACACACATATAAAAGCATTTTTTCTTGAATCATACTGTACACTTGAAACTTTCATTTTTCTTTATTGTATGTATTTTGAGATTCAGTTATCTTATTTATTCACTCTAGCTTCATTTATAGTAGTTTGCTGTATGAAAAAATTATTTTTCTCCCTTGATTATTAAATTTTTAGTTCCCTAATTACTTTTGACTAGATTAGCCTAGGCACCACTTTTAAAGGTGAGGTAAGGGAAAAGGGAGATTATACCTTGCATTTCTGCTCCAGATACTAATCAGTTTCAGCAAAGGAGTAGGAGAATACTGACTTTCAGATCCAAGCCTGCTGATCTACAACATAGAATAAAAACCAAATACCAAATGAAAACACAGAACAGGGGTGGGTAGCAATTAAAAAGGCAAGCCTAGAAACCACACGATTGGATAAAAGAGCCAAGTGACAGAGATGAACATTTGTAGGACAGTGAGAGAAAAAAATGAGGGAATTCAAAGTGACATCTACACAGGAAACTGGCAAAGAGAGTAAATGGAAATGCTAACACTTGGAAGGAACCAGAACGTTAAATTTCCATTTGTCAGAAATGACAGATCAAGCAGTCAGAAATTTTTCCTAAAAGTCAAGCCTCTCCTAAAGTCTTCTTAGCTACAAGGAAACATCAGTTCTCATCATCAAGTGATTATTACTAGAGACATGAAATAAGGAAATATGTAACAAATCTCCATGTAGGGCTCCCTGGTGGGGGAGGGGTTAAAGTCTCAGCACTATCAAGCTATTGCCAGCCACTGTGGCCTGTATTCAATCCCCAGCCAGGGAGATGACTCCCATGGCGCAGCAGGCCTCTCCTGCCTTGCCTGCTGCTCCCCTCAGCAGAGGGGACATAATCTCATACACATAAGCAGAGGGGACATAATCTCATACACATGACTGAGATTATGTCCCTCCCCTCTATTTCAATAGATCTCTCTGTTCTGCTCCTCACTCTGTCTCTGGTGAATACTCTCACCCCCCACACCTCTGGCCTGTACCCCAGCTCTTGTATGTATAAATAAATAAAATAAATCTTTAAAAAAAAAAAATCCATGTATTTTACATGTCAGTCCAAATTCAGAGGCACATTATGAGGGATGCTGTTACAGAAGTTACGTTATATTTGCTTAAGAGGCAGGATTATATGCAAATTAGCCTTAGGTATATATTAAAAGAATGCCATGGCATTGTGGAAACCAGCTCATGACCTTTAGGTGGCAGCAGGAGCAAAGAAAAGTGTTAAAACTTCCATAAATAAAGGCTTGATGCAAAAGAAAAGAGCAAGACAGATGTTCATGCCTGCGTGCAGATGATGCTGGAGAAACAGCAACAACAGAAGCAGAAGTTACCCTGGCAAAACACAGGAGTCAAGGTTTACCTGGGGCCACACTGCAGCACAGAACACTGCATCAATTTCTTCTGTTGTGAACTGATGAGACTCCCAATCCAGAAAGATATCAGTTACCATTTTGATTCCAAGACGTCTCAAGTTTTTCAATGGGTTAATAAATCTCAGTTGTATCTGTAAAATAAAGATCCTCCATTAAGAAATGTATGACTTTTACCCTTCGCTTCTCAGGGAGGGCACACTTGCTCAGCTGGCGAAGAATCAAGCTGGAAATCCTGTTACAAAGTCTGTTGACTTTGGCTGTGATTTACCTGGGCACGTCAACTGAGCAAGTCAAGAAAGAAAAGCAGAGATCTAAAAAAATCAAAATGTGAGATGCTCCACTGTCATTGCCCAGTCAAATCACGTGAGTAGCCTTATAAAAAAACAAAATCACAACTGGAACAGCTGCCTTGTACTCTACATTGCTTTTATTTAAGCAAGCAATTGTCTCATAAAATTCTGATTTTTTCCAATGCACAGAACATTCTAAACAAAACATTTTTTGCTATCATGTCTTAGATCAGAAGAATTAAACCTTTATTTCAAGTGAAAGTCACTTTTCTTTTTGTTTTCATATTTGTATTATTGCCATTTTTCACTTTTAAAACTAGGAGCTTTCTATTATTCTTGGTAAAATTAATCTGGGCCCAGTGAAAGAATATATGATCTCTCCATACGGTAGTATACTTTGTACATTAAAAGACAATGAGGCAACTGAATTAAGGCATAAGATCTCAAAATATATAGTTAAAGAAAAATACTATTTGGAAAAGCATACTAATTGTTTAAAGGCTGAAGCTGGAGTGGGTGGTTATTTGAGTTTGATAGCAAACTTCTGGAATCTCCTTCCCTATATGTTATAAAATCATAAATAGGCAACCTGTTTCAAAATAAAACAGTTTAATGAGTCCCTATCAATGGGTCAAAAGGCATGCTAGCCATAGACTTGACTTCAACTTAAAATTTTACTGAAGGAAAACTTCTTAAATATCTGAGAGACTACGAATGTCAAAGATATTCAATAGGAGAAAAATTCTATAAATATGAGAAGGGCAAAGTTCACGGCATGGACAGAATTTCTGATTCTTAAAGGATAATGAGGTTTAGGTCAGACAGGAGAGAGATAAAGGCCTCAGAGAAATTTTTTCTAGCATAGAAATTTGTAAAAATCAAATAAATGGAAGGGAGAGAGACCCCTGTTTTTCCACTTGATTGATATACTGTAGACTCTGGATATGTTAAGGGGCTATATGTGTGTGTGTGTATATATATATATATATATATAGAGAGAGAGAGAGAGAGAGAGAGAGAGAGAGGGAGGGGGGGAGACAGAGAGAGCTTAAATTATATATGCTAATTATATATATCTTAAATTATATATATAGACAGATAGCTATAGATATATATCTTAACCCTTTGCACTCCGAACCATTTTACGATATTTTGATTTAATTTCTTGTGCATTTCAAGATAAAACTTCAGTGAAACATGCATGTCTCAAAAAGTTGCATTAAAATAACCTCAATTCCCCGTAATCACTAATAAATTGCAATGTCCCCTGAGAGGGGACATCCGAGTGATATGCTAGAATTCCGATGTCCCCTGAGAGGGGACAGCGGAGTGCAAAGGGTTAAATTACCTACATGGAAATCTGAAATCCATCCTGAAATTTATGAAGACAACATAAAGGATGCTATTTACTTGTGCAAAGTCTCAGGAATCTTGGCACTTCATGTACCCACCAAGTTTCTATCATCCACTTTTGGTCAATTATCTCATTATACAAGTTAAAGACAGGAGATGACAGGCAAAGCACTAGAAGGTGACACAGGTATGTCTGCTTCACTCCTACTGGCAATGTTTTCATTACAAGCTGCATTATGTTGGTGAAAGATAAGAACTATCACTGATATTTGAAAAAAATTATGACATCATGATTCCCCAGAGCAAAGAAGAAAGTAACCTTAGCAAACACACTATCAAAACTGACACCTCCAACCTTGTTCCCATTCCTATCAGGCCCCTTGCCATTAAGTATGATGTGCAAATTTGTTTTTTCCTAAGGATCTGCGTGTTCTATTCACTTCTACAACTGCAGTGCCAGTTGCACAGTTTACTCGGTAACTGTTTAACAAACTGGAGAAAAACCCTGGAAGTGCCCAATTATAGACTTTAGTTTCTACAGGAAACATACACATGACTGAGATTATGTCCCTCTAATATGTATCTCCTTAATTGCTTAAATGTACCCAAAACAAAACAAAACAAAACAAAACAAAAACAAACCCACAACACCAAGCCAAAACAACCCTCACAATATAGATTTCAGTGTCAGTCAATGTCTTGGAGGATCTGAAAGATACAAAAAAAGTAAATGTGTAACTTAGCTCAAACACATAAATGTAGAACTTTAACTCACTTAAGCAATATTACTGTGCAATAATTCATTCATGCTGTGCAGCACTTCAACGAATTCTTTGGACTTGTCCAAGAATTTAAAAAAAAAAAGGTTTAACACCTCACTATCTAATGAACTGTGAAATTGCATAAATGATCCTTTGAGTTACTGATTGTTGATTTAGGGGTAAGTCATTATTACTGAGTAATTTCTAAGTTAGCCAAAAAGAAGACTTGCAGAGGGGTTTATAAAACCTGTAATCTTTCATGCCTCAATATGTCTCCATATAAAGTTACTATCATTCACTACAAGTCATATACTCAAATTCTCACAGTTCTCCCTACAGCTGTGAAGCTCTCATATATAACACACAGAAAGAATTTTCCAAAACCTCTTTTCAGCTACCACTCTTGCCCCACAAAGCAAAGTGACTTTTTTTTTTTTTAAAACAGCAAACAGACCTTATCACTCCCCGGTCAACCTCTCTGAGGTTTCCTAGTACACTTCAAAGTAGATCCAGCTCCTCACCACAGCCCCCAACTTCCCTCTTGACCTTATCTTCTTGTGCTTGAGCCTCCTTGACCGTCTGTCTGCACCGAGAATGTACCAAGACTGTGCCCCTCTCAGAGACGCGGCGAGTCTGGTCATTGTTGCTACCTGAAACGTTCTTTCAGTGGTTGGGTAGGCGTAAGCCTGAACAGCACCTCCTTAGAGAAGAACCTGATTACCCAAGTAAAGCAGCACCCACCTACCCACAGTCTGGTCACTTCCTATCACATTTCCTTATTTTATTTATTTTTTTAAAGATTTATTTATTTATGCATACAAGATCTGGGGTACAGGCCAGAAGTGTGGGGGGTGAGAGGATTCACCGGAGACAGAGTGGGGAGAAGAACAGGCAGATTGACTAAAATACACTGCTGAGGGGAGCAGCAGGTGAGTCAGGAGAGGTCTGCTGCGCCATGTGGGTCATTTCCCTGGCCAGGGATCCAACTCATGCTGCAGTGGCTGCGGATAGCTTCATAGGTTGTGTCTTAACCCCTTGTGCCACCAGGGAGGCCCCACATTTCCTCATATTACAGAAATTTTTTACATTGACATATCTCTATTTAACATACTTATACTTCCCTCTAATTTAGTGAATATATGGAGAAGCGGAGGGTGAATTAACAATTGTTGAAGGAGGGCCTCCCTGGTGGCACAAGGGGTTAAGCACCACACTATGAAGCAATCCGCAGCCTCTGCAGCACGAGTTCGATCCCGGCTGGCCAGAGAGAAACCCACATGATGCAGCAGACCTCTCCTGACTCACCTGCTGCTCCCCTCAGCAGTGTATTTCAGTCAGTCTGCCTGTTCTGTTCCCCAGTCTGTCTCTGGTGAATCCTCTTACCCCCCACATCTCTGGCCTGTACCCCAGCTCTTGTATGCATGAATAAATAAATCTTTAAAAAAAAATGTTGAAGGAATGAAAGCATGAGGAAAACAAAATGGTGCCTACTAAAATGGAGTTGTATTCTAAATCTCTGGATCTTGCTAATCAGAGAATCTCATTTCATTATTAATAAAGATTTATATCCAAACAGCCCAAAGCCCAAAGAAGTAGCAAAAAAATTCTGGCTGTCTGTTTTCAGTTGTCATGATCATATTTGAGACAGTTCTCCTGGCAGATCTATCAATTAATGAATTAATTTTAGTTAAAAATTTGCCTATTCCTCAATAACTGAGAATAAACAGCAAATCTGAGTATGGATCTTCACTTCAAGTCCCATTTTCTCTAAGAAGGACTTCAAGTCCAAAAAGACATTAAGTTTCCTAAACCCAAAGACTTTAAGTTATGTTCACAGATCTGTTTCAAAAGAATGCACATATGCCGTCCTGGATACAATTTAGACATTTTTTATTGAGCACCGAGTCATGAAGTCTCATGGTGAATATTGTCTTACCCAATCTTGTTGCTTATTTTTATTTAAGACTCTGCACTTACAGCAGGCTAGTATTTAGTTTTAAAAGAACTCTGGAAAACCCATCTCAAAATAACAAGGATGGTGGTAGCAGTGGCCTATTCATTCTCCATTCACTCTGGATAAACAAGAGTTGGAAGATGTCCCACACCTGTAGACTTGAAATTAAAACTTAAGATGCATCAGCTCAGCCATTGGTGACTGATTTTTGAGACTGCCAACAGAACTAATTTATCCCTTACCATTTTGCCTCCTTTTTTTCCCCCCCTCAGTAACATCTTTTTTTTTTTTTTACAAAGACAAAAGAAAGAATATTTTTAATGTTTAGTCCTCCCCCATAACACAATCCTCATACTGATTAAACGCTGAGATTTTTTAAATTCAGCACTTTTATACAAGATATACTTCTTCAGAATTATAAATACTTTGACTTATACCATCAAAGTCCCTTTAAGCTCCAGTTTGCAATGTCATAATTGCCAATGTGATTTATTTTTTTTAATATTATTTAAATTTTATTTTTATATTCCCCTTACAATTACAACCCCCTTATTTTGACCCCAAGCCCTCCTTTCCCCGCCCCCCACCCCCTAGAGTGTCTCTGGTTCATAGTTGTTTGTTGATTTTGATATTTTCTTTCTTATAGTTATTCTTTTTCCTGGTCCCTTATTTAAGTTTTCTAGATTCCTGCTATGAGTGAGACCATCCGGTATTTTTCTTGACCTACTAAACACAGAGCTTCCATACGATCCAGCAATTCCACTACTAGGTATTTACCCAAAGGACACAGAAACATCAATTCCAAAGAACACCTGCACCCCTATGTTTATAGCAGCACTATTTACAATAGCTAAGCTTTGGAAACAGCCCAAATGCCCAAAAATAGATGACTGGATCAAGAAGATGTGGTACATATACACCATGGAATATTACTCAGCATTCAAAAAAGATAAACACATGCAATTTGCAGCAACGTGGATGGAGCTGGAAGGGATCATGCTCAGTGAAATAAGTCATTTTGCCTCCTTTTAAAATATACACTTGATATAATTTATGTTTTCTAGCTATATACAGATACTTACAACAATGAAGATTCTCATTATATAGAAGACGGCTTTAAAGAGACACTTTCCATGGGTTTTTTAAGAAAGATTTAACCCAGAAGGATATCAGATGCTCAGGCTCCAACCCACTCCCCAAGTATAAGACTCCTATTAGCTCAAGAAAAGAGTATCTACAATGAATCTCTCACCTTTTCTCTTTGGTCAAGGATCTGTGACACAGTCGCTGTCATGCAGAGCAGTATCTGCAAAATCTTTGGTAAGTAAGCACTGATCAAATGACTAATATTCTTCAATACTATTTCAAGGCTATTTAAGACACCATGCTGACGCCCTAAGGGAAGAACTCTAGACAAATCCAAAACTTCTACCGCTTCAATGACTGCAGAACGGCATTCTCCTGGCGAAACAGAGAGGAAGAGAGATTCCATGTTACCTTTTTTAATTACAGCTTCCTTTCATTTCCCTCAATAATATGGCATTTTCTTTTGTTACAATGATTTGTGGGTGATAATGTACTTTATCTTTTTTTTTTTTTAAAGATTTATTTATTTATTTATTCAAGCACTGGGTACAGTCAGAAGTGCGGGAGGGTGAGAGAATTCACCAGAGCCAGAGGGGAGAGTAGAGCAGGCAGATTGATGAGGTACACTGCTGAGGGGAGCAGTGGGCAGCAGGAGAGGTCTGCAAGCCATGTGGGACCCTCGCCCGGCGGCCGGGGATTGAACCGGTGCTGCAGAGGCTGCGGGCAGCCTCGCAAGCCAGCACTCAACCGCTGCGCCAACGGGGAGGCCCCATAATGCACTTTATCTTAAAGTGTTTTTTCTCTTTTTTATTCTTATCATTTATCCAACATTCTAGTCATGATAGGTGTTACTGTCGTCATTTTATAGAAGAGGAACTGAGGACTGAAGTAAGGAACTTGTGACAGAAGTCTCTAAACCTAATTCTGAGCCTATTTAGATTAGGCGTCAAAACCTGAGTTACTAGTAGACTTTTATTCCACTGAACAAAGTCCCATATATTTTTCTCACTCTCAGCTTTCATTGAACTATGCTGAGGTTAGCAGCTGCATAAAAAATGTCCTGTTACATAATAACCTGAAGGTTGAGAATCAAATGTTCTATTTCTCTTGTAGCCCTGGTGAATAAATAAAACAATAGTTCCTTATAAATAGCCGCCAAAATGACTTCAGAATTTACTTGAAAGACTTGAATTATTACTGTTTGAGCTTCACTTCAAACTGACATGAGATCATGAGTGTCTTGACTCATACTACATTCAAATGGTGCATCTACAGAGTATCGTTTACAGTTACCCTCTCACAGTGGAGGTTATTTATTACACCAAACAAAAAGTTTTGTGTTCATTAGAGCCAACTTCCTTCACAGGATGATATTATACTGAATGAAACTCTTTTAAACAACTGGATCCATTATCATAGAAAAAATATAGACAAATGTAACACAGTACCCTATAAATATGTACTTTTGTCTAATGCAATTATAGAACTGAAACAGAGGTTTGGTAGTCAGAAAGATCTGGGTTCTCATCCAATGTCCACCATTTTATAGTTGAGTGGCCATGGGTAAAATGCTTACCTCTCTAAGACTCACTTGCCTTATTTGAAAATGAGGACAGTCAAGTAATGTGGTTGTTTTTAAGGATCGACTTAGTTATATATAAAGGGACCCATCATAATGTCTCACATACAGTAAGCACTCAATAAAGGTTAGCCATTATTGGCAGTAGTAATTACTAACACTGCATGCCAGAGAATGTTTCACAGAGCATTACAGCTCATTGTGTACATTTATTATCTCTTCTTCATTTAGACTGTGAGGATGGGGCAGAGATTATAATTACCTATTTTTCTATTTTCACAGGAGGTATTCAACATATCACTATTCAATTAAGGATAACCCGGGGGTGGGGGGTGGGGGGGGGCCTCCCTGGTGGCGCAGCGGTTGAGCGCTGGGTTGAGAAGCTGCCTGCAGCCTCTGCAGTGCAGGTTCGATCCCCGGCTGCTCCCTGGCCATAGGAGGAGGGTGCCAAATGGTGCGCAGACCTCTCCTGCTGCCCGCTGCTCCCCTCAGCAGTGTATTTCGTCAGTCTGCCTGTTCTGTTCCCCACTCTGGCTCTGGTGAATTCTCTCACCCTCCCACGCTTTTGACTGTACCCAGTGCTTGCATAAATAAATAAATAAATCTTAAAAAAAAAAAAAAAAGTGACTCATGGATCATGGACTCATAGGCAATTAAAAAAAAAAGAATAACCCGGGAATGAAAAAATGCCAAGACAATTAAGACTAACTTAGCAGCAGGCTTATATTTCTTAGAAGAAACCTATTCATTGTATGTGGCTAAGTACTTGCCATTTTCAAACACCTAAATGCACAACAGAAAAAAATATGCATTTTCCTAATCAAGGGATTACTGGCACATGAATGCTGATAAGCCTCAGGATCAGCTGTGAGCTCCATCTAATTCTACCAAAGCTTAAAAAGAATGGCATTTCAGCAAAACGACCAGCATCAAGATTAGAAGGAGTAATTCTACTCCAAAGACTCTAAGAGCAGCAGAAACCTGGCCTGACACATTAAGTCCCAGTTAACAAGATGTATTTGGAGTGGGGTAGCTGACACCCACCGTTCTTGAAGTGCTTCACAGGTTCAAACAGCAAGTCCAAGAATATCTGTATCTCCTCTGGCTGGGTTCCCGCCAGGAACCTCAAAACAATGGACATGCGGGTGCCTGAAGCCGACTTCCCCTGGGTTTTACTCCCAGTCTTGTTCTTCATTCGGCCATACAAAATTCTAAATAGTCAAAAGAACATTATCTGCTTGCATATTAATCCTCAAACAAATCCTTTTTTTGTTTTCCCAAAAGGCTAGAATAGCAACACAACATATTTAAATTGATATAGAACATGGAAGAATGGAAATAGAAATAAAATATTTAACATAGATGTCTAGAAAAATAACCAAGAAAACAAGGCTAAGGGAAGCAGGAAGAAGGAAATAATAAAGATTACGGCCAGAAGGAGGTTCTTTGTAGAAGAAAAAAGCAATAAAACAGGCAGACCAAAGGTAAGCCTACGCAAGAAGAAATGAATACAAGAATATATAAACGGAATAGAAATAAAATAAGAGAATACATTGTAGGTAAAATAAGGAAACTGCAAAGACCTCAGTTAAGGGGGTCATTTTCTGGAAAAAACACAAACATAAATAAGCATAAGGAAGCTAAGAAGAAAACTCATATAGACCAGTAGTCATGGGAAAATATAGAGCCCACTTAGTTTTTACATGTCAATTTTTAAAACCTTCAAGAAAAAATAATTTCAATACTATAAAGTTTCTTAGTATAGAGAAGAAAGGAAATAGTTCTTTCCATTAATGAAGGTGGTATAACTGTGATATTGAAAAAGTACAAAAATAAAACTATATACCAATCCTGTTTCATAAATATAAAACAAAGCATTTTTAAATTCAGAATCCAGGCCTGCACTGAAACAATATTAAAGTCAAACAAGGATCATCCCAGGAATGCTGAGTCCTTAGCAAAGTCTATTACATGATGTAAATCAATGACACACAGGAAAAAGTTAATGCGATCATTTTCATACATGCTCCTAATAAAATTCAACAACCATTCCTGACAATATACTTTAGTCAATATACCTAGTCAAAAAGGCTACTTTTTAAAATATGACAAAACTTTTGTCTTAACATTCAGAATTCAAAGACAGTTTTCAAATTTTTTATATTAGGATTCCTTTATCCTCTTAATTATTGAGGTATCCAAGGAGCTTTTCTGCAATTTTATTTATTTCATATTCAACATAATTAGATTTCTCAGAGGCCCAGTTTAAAAATTAGTCAGAAGAAAACACAAAATGAAAGATTTCATTAAAACCGTTGAAAAAAAATCCTAATACTAATATTTACCACTGTTGTGATCAACTCTTAAAAAATCTTTAATCATGCCATTTGCAGCAACATAGATGGAGCTAGAAAGGATTATATTAAATGAAATAAGGACAAAGACAAAATATGGAATGGTTTCACTTATATGTGGAATGAGAAACCAAAAGAAGGTCAAAGACAAACTTTAAAACCTTGAAAGCTGACTGTACTGACTGTAGATCTGTGGTATCCAGGATTGGGGGCAGGTTGGGGAGGGGGGGTGCAAAGAAGGAGAAGGGGGGCTAAGGAGGGGGTGGGGAGAGCACAATGAGGATCACACATGAGAGGAGAAATCCTCTCCTGTTAAAATAGTAACAGGTATGTGAAACAATGGTATTTCATTCAAAAAAAAAATTAGTTTTTCATGGTATAAATACCTCATCAGAATAGGAAACAGATCTGCTCGGTGGGCTGTTTTCACTACTGTGTTTTCTTCTGAAATGCCAAAATGCACTATCTCTTCCTTAAAACTTCTGTCTTCAAGCAATCGTTGTAAGTTTTCTCTTTAAAAATAGAACACAAATCATCACTTAATTAACAACATTAAAAAAAAGGCTAGATGGTCCTCCCCGGTGGAGCAGCGGTTGAGCGCTGGGTTGTGAAGCTTCCCGCAGCCTCTACAGCGCCGGTTCGATCCCCGGATGCTCCCCGGCCACCAGAGGAGGGTCCCACATGGCGCGCAGACCTCTCCTGCCACCCGCTGCTCCCCTCAGCAGTGTACTTCAGTTCTTCTGTCTGCTCTGCTCCCCGCTCTGGCTCTGGTGAATTCTCTCGCCCTCCTGCGCTTCTGACTGTACCCAGTGCTTGTATAAATTAAAAAAAAAAAAAAAAAAAAAGGCTATGCATTAAAGCAAAATGTAAAAAAACAGGTAGTGAAAAAATAGTCCACATAGTGGTGGACAACTGCAAAGGAAAATCTTTATAAAACTATCTTCCAAAATGACAGGTTTTCAAATTCTAAAAGTTAAAAAGGGATTAAAAGGAGTTAGACTTAGTCAATAATTCAGCTTATTAAGGGTTGAATTAAGAACTTTTCTTCAGTTTTTGCAGTAATTATGATTCTCTAAGTAATCACCAAGATTTTATGGTAAGGAGAAATAATATAAACTTCTCAACATATACTTATCAATTAATTTTCTCTTTCTTACCTTATTACCTGAGTAGTACTCTTAGCAAATATACGTTTAGTTTTCATTTGTTACCTAAAAATAGCATTACAACTACCTTACAAAGAGAAAAATGCCCCTAGGCCTTCACAAAATTATTTTAGAAGAGGTTCTCAAATAGAAAAATAAAAATCAGCTAAAGATTTGCTTCAAACAACTTACCTGTAAGGGAGGAGATGTGGATGCTTATATGTCATTATGCAATCCAGGGTCATTTTTTGCACTGTTTGATCTTGATGTAGTAACAACTAAGAAAGATATTTTATAGAATAAATTGTTAGAGGTCACACACATCCCATGGGACAGTAATTTATTTGTTTTAATTTGCTAAAATAGATTACTAGAACCTACATTTTTAGATGTGGATTAAAGTTGATTTTCCCTGGAGATAAAGGAGGAAGAACAGAGTACGTGTAAAGACAAAAAATGGAAACAAAACTCTGACACCCAGACCCCTGGGTTTACGTCTTTTGCCCAAAGCCACTGCCTATATGAATCGGGATTTACACCAGCGGGGTTGGTCCTGTTCAGAGAGGCTCCTTCCACCCTGTGAGGGTAATGGCAGTCATCAGATGCCAGGGAGGGGACCCGGCTCCGAGGCTTCTCTGATCAGCCAGTGCAGAATTTTATGCCCACGGACAACTGCGACTTGTGAGTTCTAGCTTCATAAACAAGCTACAGCCAATTATGGGTAGCAGATAGACTCATTTTCACTTAAGAAAATTTTAAGTGAGAAAGAAAATTTCCTCTTCTCAGATTGCTTAGAAGGTTCACCAATGTTTACTTTGCTTCTGACATTAAATTTTTCTTGTAACTGTTTTCTGGAATTCAGGGTCAGAAATTGTCATCACTATTCCAACTACCGAGCATTCTGAAATATTAGTGCTCTACAAGGCTGACTTACCTAGAAGTGACAAGTAGCCAGTTGCTCTTGACACAATACCTACTACTTCCTAAAAGCTAATTCCCATGATATAAATACTCACAGCTAATATAACCAATCAATGTTCTGTCACCCCAAATTTTTTTAAATTCATTGAAATTGATAATGTCTGAAAATATTCCTCAAGATACAGGAAATTATGTCTTAAATAAAAAAAACTTACTTAAAATGTAGGCACAGGACCAATTCAAGAATTAATGAAAACTAAGTTATTTTGGGAAAGGACATGCTAGAGAATAAAGTTCATAAAGAATTATAATGGAAAGAATTTATTTTACTTACCTGAAGATAAAGCTCATATAATTTGGACTCTAGATATAAGGCCCGTGGATTTGAAAACTTTGAGAAAACTTGCAAATGAGCAATTAACTGCCTAAAAAATGAAAACAAAACAAAACAGTGAGGTCACTACAGAATTAAAGAGCAGACATTATTTCGAGGTAATAGTTCCCATCCATTTTAATGTCACCAACAAGTCCTCTAAACACTGACTCAGTCTCACTGTTAATTACACAAACAAGCTTTACTTATTTACATTTAGGAAATTATTCTCCAGGAATACCAAGTCTCAGGCAGGCCTATTCCTGAAATCCAGGTTACCCACATCCCAGAAAATCACTTGGGATAGCGTTAGAAAGGTTTAAATTAAACCCCAAGAAGAATGAAAGGCATTTAAATAGTAATACAGTCCCAAGTGAAACACAGATGGCTCCTTATATGGTTTCCAAGCAGTAGACAGGAAAGTGGTGGAATAGATTCTTTCCCACTTTGATATAATATAAACATTGAGTCAGGAACAGAGGCCCGTGTTTAGGGAACCATGGCCCACGCCTACAAAGAAGGAAGAAAGAGCAACATGGGCTGTTGAAATTTGAGGATGTGCCTCCCAGCCCATTACATTGTCTGTAAGGAAGAGCTGATGAGAGCTCCTCCTACATTTGCTGACTCAGCTTCCCAGTCCACAGACTCTCTGAGACTTTAAAAATACTGGAGAAAACAGTTTTCTCTCTGGGTATAATTCATGCCTGACTCGGGACAGCTGACTAATGTCTCAGTCTCAGTTTCCTCATGTTAACAAGGACTAGGTTTTCTGTGAGGATTAAATGAAAGAAGACAAGTTGTGGGCCACTACACCTAAAAGTTTATCCAACAATTAATTGTCCTGCTCCTGGACAAAGAAAGATCACTGTGAAAATTCTTCCAGTTAACAGAGAAAAAATAAGCTGGAAATTATGACCTCCTCAGATACTGTCGAGAAACAGGGACAAGTCTAGCACCAGTGTTTATAGTTCACTAAAACATCTGGTTAGTCTTACTTGTTAACTTGATTAAGTCACAGTACCCAGGGGTCGTGGGTAAAGTATTTTGTAGATGCTGTTGACATGCAGAATTAACTTTAAATAAAGGAGATTACCCTCAGTGATGTGGATGGGCTTCACCCAAGCAGACCTGAAGAGCAAAACCAGATATTTCCCAGAGAGGAAGACATTTCGCCACAAGACTACAACATAGGATTCCTATGAATTTCAGACTCGAGAAATCATCAAATCCTGCCTGACTTTGCAGTCTGCAGTCTTACCTTATAAACTGTAGACCTGCCAGCTCCCATAATCACGTGAGTCAATTTCTTATAAACTTTTAAAACGTTCTGTTGAAACATCCACTTGTTCCCTCAACATTAACTATTTTTATAGCCCTTCCCTTTTTGTAGCCTTAAAGAGCCAAAGAGAACAGGAGCTAATTCATATGTTTTCTATAAATACGTGCCAATAACATTGCCTCATGAAGGATTTTAAACTTGGGATTATGAGTATATTAAGATGGTTCCAAAAGCACGATCATCAATTTACTTGTATTTTCTTTCTTTTTTTTTTAAGTTTTTTTTTTTTTTAATATTTATACAAGCACTGGGCACAGTCAGAAATGCGGGAGGGTGAGAGAATTCACCAGAGCTAGAGTGGGGAGCAGATTAGGCAGAAGGACTGAAGTACACTGCTGAGGGGAGCAGCAGGCGGCAGGAGAGGTCTGTGCGCCATGTGGGACCGCCCTCCGGTGGCTGGGGAGCAGCAGGGGATCGAAATGGCGCTGTAGAGGCTGCAGGCAGCTTCCCAACCCAGTGCTCAACCCCTGAGCCACGGGGTGGGGGGGGGGGGACGGGGCGCGTGGGGGCCCTGCTTGTATTTTCAATGATGGTGTATGAAAGTAACAGTCTAGGTTTGTCTGTCAGGGGCAGAAAAGTCAATGATGAACACACAGCTCATGGGCATAGCTGACTAAGAACAAAAGTGTTAAGATAACACAGTAGCATGAATCCACGGACTCTCTTACACCCCACTTTAGCCAGGTTTCAAGGAAGCTGGAATAACTTCTGAAAGCACAATCACTTTTTTTTGAAGGTTTCTAATAATGTAAGTAAATGAATAACCTAGAGAATAAGAAAATGGAAGAGCATGAAAAAATAAAGTAACCTGCATCTGACAGTCAAAAGGCAAAGTAAAGTGCTGATATAAGAGAGGAGATGTTCCATTATATGTTCCCTCACCACACATAAGTGCCTCCCTGGTGCTGACAAAACGAATGACAAAGGTCAAAGAGCATTTAAGTGTTCTCATCTACAAAAAGGAGCTAAGGTTAGATGGCGCCCAAGAGTCCCCTCAACTCTTTAACACTCTGTGGCTAAACAAGAAAAAAAAAATCGTAATAAGCAAACAACCAAAAATCTCAGAAGACTGACAATTTTTGGGGGGTTGTAAAAGAAAATAAGAGGACGATGCAGCACTTAAACAATCACTGTCTGAGCAGTTCATCTTGTCCAAGGCTGTCTTGCATTAGGCCCTGTAAGGAACGTGCCTCCAGGGTCTTTCAGTTGCACAGAACTTACTTTGCTGCAGCTCTTCTTGTCTTTTTCTTTTGTGAGGGTTCCTCTTGGGGGACCACCTCTTCCTCCAGCTCCTCCAACTCCTCTCCAGCAGCAGGCTCCTCTTCCACTGCTTCCTCCTCTGCTACCCCTTTGGTTTTTCTTAGAAGATTCTGGGTTGGAGCAACTTGCAGATCTGCTGGGTAATACTCATTGCTATATTGTAAAGAGAGTGATACGAGATAGATGAAGCTGAAATGTTCATTCCTGTCCATGACAGACTACAGCCACGATTCACAGAATTGGACAATGAGGGATATTAGAGGCAAGTCAAGCCTCTTCTGTAGTATTCTCTTTTCCTTTTTTTTGCTCAGCTCCTCTTTAAGTACCGTGTTTGACAATTCAATCACTAACTGCAGAAGATGGCCCCTTTCATCGCTATGCTGTTGAACAATGCCTTTTTAACTCTATGCATAGCATGTTTGCTCCTTCTTTAAAATAAGGTAAACCACACAAGCCACTTCCTAAGGGTGATGAGCACAGAGTGAGTGCTCATCCATTAAGTGTCACCTATCACTGGGATGTTATTGCCATTGCCAGCTTTTTGTTCCGGCTTCTGGTTTGGCTCTCCTTGGAAAATGTTTGCTGAAGATGCACAACTTAGTTCTAATATCAAATTATTTGAAACATTTTTAGAAATAGAAATTCCTAGCTAAAAATAAAAAGCCCATGATATAGTTCATTTGGATAATTTGTAATAGCATTAGTTACAGTAACTGGTGTCAACTAGCCTTAATTCAAACATTTTCAAAAATGGCGTATCTTTAGCTTTTAAATCTTCTTAAACTCAGAGGCCCACTTGGACTTACAGGCTCCTCTCACCACCCCCAACCCATGCATTTTGTACTATTAGAGAAAAGTCTTATCCTTAGGCTAAAGGTCAACCTACGTCTTTTGTCAGGAGAAAACTTGGAAAACTAATATGGTAGGAAATTCATATACCATTAACACCATTAATGCCAGCTCACCTACGTGTAGGCTTTTGCAATTCATATAACAACTGACAAACATTTTATCTGATCTTCAAAACAAGACAAAGATGCTAAATATCACTGTCCTCATTCTATAAATAAAGCCCAAAGAATATATGAAAAAAGAAAATCGTTACTCTTTCATAGCTGGCTCTACCAACATGCCTGCATCTTTGTTTATAACCTTTGCCAGAATGAATTATTCACGCAAACCTTTTCACTCATGCACCAGGTCCTATCTCCTTGTACCCATTCAAAGCTATGCTCTAGAAATTTTATCCCTTCTCCTGCATTACGAATCTTCCCTCTCCTCTGGATCATCCACATCAGCATTATATAAATACATGCTGTTTAAATCCTAAATAGCAGCCCCACCAATTAGTGCTCCCTCCACATCCTCTCCCTCCCTATCTCCCTCTACCTAGTCTGGGCTTGTTTTTGTTTTTTCGTTTTGTTTTGTTTTTTGATAGAACTGTTCATACTTGCTGTTTCTCTTTTTCTTCTCCAGTTTTCTTAAGATTCTTTTAATCAGGATTTCATCCCTACCAGGTTAACTTAAGTAACTCTCACTCACGTCATTTCCAAAGTCCACCAATAATTCTTATTATTCACATGACTGAAAGTTCCGACACACGTGATGCAACTGATTACTCGTTCCCTGAAATATTCTCTTCCAGGACTACTAAGTGGTCTCGGTTCTTCTATCACTTTTCCTGGCCTCCTTAACTGGTTCCTTAGTCTCCCAACTTCTAAATAGCACTGTCAACCCTTAGAAGTCCTCTCTCTCTACAGTCACACCCAGGTGACCCAGGTGTGGCTTCATTCCATGTCTCATGCATCTACTGGTATGTCTCAAATGTATTATCTTTAGACCAAACCTTTCTCCTGAACTTTAAACTCTAAATTCAGCTGTCAACTTGACATTTCTGCTTAGATGTCTGCTTCGAGTTCCAAAGTTGACATATCTAAAAATGAACTATTGATCTCCACAAAGTTGCACACTTCTGCAATCTTCCCAATCTCAGTAAATGGTAGACTCTCTTGTTTGTGTTACCCAGGATAAAACCCTAGAGATATCCTTGATTCCTCCCCTCCCCCTCCCTGTACAACACCCTCCACCTGATCTGGAGGCAAGTTCCACAGGTTAATCTAGTTGCAATTCTTCAAAAATACATGCTGTTGATTTGAAAACCTTCAGTAAAAAACAGAACAAAACAAAACCACCTCCAGAATCCAACCACCTCTCATTATCTGCACTATCACAGCCCTGCCAATTCACCCTCATTTCTTGCCTGGATTTTTGAGGCCTCCTAATTAGCTTCTCTGGTCCCACCACTGTCACCCTACAGTCTATTCTAAGAAGTTAGAAAAATTCTTAAGAAAACTGAAGCCATGTCACCCTTCTGCTGGAACCTTCCTGTGGTTTCCTATTTCACTGACAGTGAAAACCAAAGACCTGCTATCAATTAAAGACCCTCTGCAATTCGGTCTCTGTTCACATCTGCCCTTGTCTCCTGTTCCTTTCTTTCTGGAGCACAGCGCCATAAAAGGTCAGACATCCTTGCTGTTCCCTGAACAAGCCTGCTTCACTAGCCCCACAGCATTTTCCGGCATAATGAAAAAGTATTGGTAGACATATGTTTTGTTGATTAAGTAGTTTTACATACACCACACCCATTCTTCTTATAGAGTTTTTAAAAAATCTGACCCTCACACAGCCCATCTAGTCAAAATAAAACAGAAGTTTCTTGTTATTTTTTAAGAATACATTCCTCAGCATCATGGGAAACATTCAAGAGTTCAGAAAAGAGTGAATGGGGTTGGGATTGGGTTACGGGAAAATACTTCTAAGCCCCAGGCAGGTGATGAAACAACAAACAACAGGGCAAGGAATAACAAGGCCTTTGTCCATTGATCTAACTTGGTATGGCCCTTGTTAATTTGTGCACTGGAATTTGTTATTAATGCTTAGTGTAAAATTAAGAGGTAAACGAAACTAGTTTAGTCCTTATCTGACTGAGCAGGTGCTTTGTAGATGTGCCAATGATTTAGAATTCCATCACGAACTCTGTCAATTTGGCAGCTTAATACTTAATACTTACCATGTCTCTCTCACACCCTATCAGGGACACAGTTCTAAAAAAGAATACTTACTTGATAAATCTCAAGAAAAGTGGGGTAAGCTCCCTGGATCTTGGCTCAACCCTCTCAGGGAATTTTGCCAGACCTTGCCAGAGCAAAAATCGGAAGTTGGTATAGTCCAGTCTTTCCTGGCAGTCAGTTTTCAATGCCAACTGCTTGCAATAAAGAGCTCCAACTTCTCCTTCCTGAGTCTGCTCCCAACTTTCGTCTCTGATAGATTTCTCATCTCTTCTATCATTTTGCAGCTCTTTCTCTGCAAGAAAAAAGTCATCAGAACCACTAGAGACATGGCGACACTTGTTCTATGTGTTTCCTCAAGGTGGGGTATTCCCTTTTCTATTAATATAAGGAAACAATAAACCATATCCAAAGGTTATCAAAGACATTTGTTTCCGATTTCATGGTGATTAGACAGTCAGAATCAAACAGCTCAAAAACCACTTTGCTTTCCGTGTTACCTCACATCCCCTTAACATACCAGCATGGGAAGCTGCTTTTTCTAGATGTTCATAGTAGACTTTCCAAAACTGCTTATTTTCCATTTCATGTGCATGAGAACTAAGAGAAAAGATCACAAAATAAAGTGTGTGGTATGATCCTTATTTTGAGATTATAATGGAGGGCACACAAGATACATTCCCAATCTGACAAAAAGCCAGAGTTGACCATCTGAAGATAAATGTTGACAAAAGGAATTTTCTTTTTAGGTATGAGGCACAACAAATGTACTTTCTCCATGATTGTTGAGGTTCTTTTTAGAGCTAAAGGGATTTTGAACACTAGACATTAAAGGTTTTAAAAGGTCTGATTTTCAAATTAATGTTTGGCTCAATAATTTAATACCTATAATTTTGTGGAAGGAGTATTCAATACCTTGTCATTGCAAAAAAAAAATTAATACAGAGGTATCATATAAAAGAGAAAGCCCTTCAAAATTATTTCACTATACAAAAAGCTATACAATAACATTTGAACTACTGAAATATTTGGCATTGGAGTGATTAGTGTTTAGTTTTTCATCACTTTATCCCACAAAGGATTTAATGTAGCTGTCAGTACTGTAAATACCCATTCATTTAAATCACACCTAGATGGACCTACTTACCTTATGAGTTCAATAACAGGGTCCCAGAGTGGACTGAAGTTAACATATAACATGCCTAATAAGTAACGAAGCGGCACCTGTAATTATAAAACTCTTTAGAAAATGGGTTTTGAACAACAGTAGAATGGCACTGAATACAGATAACCTGACTAAGGATATCTTAAGGTTTAGGAAGAAACTGGTGCTTTTAGAAGAAAGATGGCTGTATCAACCCGTAACCGAGTATATAATAATTCCCCACCTCTTGCCAAAATGCCACTTGCTATTTAACATAGAAGAATCACTAAAGCAAACCATCTTCATACTCCACATACTCACACATAAATGATATATTTGAATAAAGATTGGACTCAAGATGAAATTCCCTCCAACAAACACTGTCATCATCTAATAGGATAAAACCTGGACAGTATCAGCAAGGCAAGATGCCCAGGAACCCAAGGAAGTAGGCTGTGAATGGAAGCTGAGGCTTGACTTATCAAAACTATGTGTTATCGGAGGTCAGCTCAGAGGATCTAAAGTTGCCTCCGTCATCTTGTGGAGTGACAGTCATTATTATGGGCATCAGCATGTGCTGGGCAGGCATTGTGAGATTTGGAGTTTATTGTTTTGGGGAGTGAGGTGTTTAGCAGCATTTTCTTTTTCCAAATGAAGTGTGTAACATGGGACACTAATATCTGAAACAGGATAAGAGCAGAACTGCTCTGATTCAAAGGGGAACACCTTCATTTGTCTTACTCCTAAAGAGATTTGTGATACATAAAGGGTCAGGGATGGAAAATTCCTGATTAAAAAAAAGAGTAAGGCTGACATCCTAGGGCAGTAAACAAATTTGGAGAATGTCAGGCTTTGAACTTGACATTGAGTTCTCCTGTTGCCACCTAACTTCATCTACTACACACACATTCCGGGGAAGAGCAGATTGCAATTTCTATCTACAGATGAAAAGACTGGTAGAGCTGTCTAACTCAAAGCATCTAAGAGTGCTGGGGATTTGCCTAGTTTTAAAGATATTACTTTTTGTGATTACTTGATATGCTTTTCTTTTCAAAAGTCAGCTAAATGGGTCTTACAGCATAACTTAAAAGAAAAAGGACTCTGTGTTATACCTCCCGTAACGGCCCCTCAGGGACAGTACTCTGCACCACATCATGTCTTAGTTTCCTCAAATGAAGAAGCTTCTCCCTGTAATCATTCACGGTCGCTGGCACGAGTTCTGCTTGGCGTAATATAGCAAAGGCCGACTGGCGGTCCCAGAGCCCGTCATCCTGAACAACCAGAGAAAACCAAGGAGGCAGGGAAGTATTTTGATTTTCTAGAAAGAACATTCAATGTGACCAAAGGTCTACAAAAGAAAAACTGGCATATGTTAATGGTTTAAATTAAATAGGCAACACATTTTTTGGGTAAATGATTCATTTTACCTTGTTGCATTTACTTTTTGGTAGATAATTTAGCTGTAGTGTTTGGCATAGAAATGGTAATAAAAACCAGGAAAGCAAATATCAAAATAACTTAAAGTTAATGGTACCATGTAACCATGAAGAAAAAAAATATATATCTCTTTCATAAATATATCTATCTTTCATATATATATATATATATATATCTTCACTATACAGTTCTACCTTTAATAGAAATGATTTCTATTTCTAGAAGTAGCAATTTGCATTATGGATATATTTCCCTATGCAAAGATAACCTATGTAAGGATGTTTGTTGCAGTATTATTAGAAATGGTGAAAAACTACTGTAGGGTAAAGAAAATATCAGGCTTTTCTGCCCTTTCGCCATCAGGATAGATGATGGATCCTTGTCCTGAATGCATGCCTGATGGCAGGCACCTGGAATAGGGTGTGGGCATAGGTAGATGGGATTCAGCTGAGCTAAGACTGTGCTTTTTAAGGGCGGCATCACGGGGACGCCAGCAGCAGCAGCAGCAGCAGCAGCAGCAGCAGCAGCAGCAGCAGCAGCAGCAGCAGCAGCAGCAGCAGCAGAAGCTGAAAGAGAAGCCGAGAAGCAGCAGAACGAACGCTAGAGAGCCCAGATAGAGTGAAGACTTGCTGGGGGCTGGGAGTCTGGCAGGCCTCCCAGCCCCCCAGCCAGCACTCCTGCCTGCCATATGCCTGGTGAACCCCAAATAAAAAGCCTGCAAAACTACTGAGGACTCTGACTCCTCCTTTACCCGGTCTGCATGGGATCAGAAAACCTGCACTGTGTCCTCTCCTGCCTCTACAACTACAAATAACAGAAATTGGTTAAATAAGATGTATGAAACTCTGGGGTACTAGCCAAACTTTGAAAGAAACGAGCTAGTGGCTTTGTGGGATTTTCTGTAAAAGTATCATTTTGGAAATTAAAAAATATATCAAATTATGTTTTTAAAAAGTATACAAATTGAATAAATTACCCCCATCAGTTCCGGAAGTTTAACTTCGAAGTAGTTTAGGATCCTTATTGTCAAAAGCCGAATCTAGAAAAAGTGACAGGTAAGTTTCCAAATTTAGCCATTAGATAAAATTAACAGTCCATGAGTTCTAAGTTCTACAAAATCAAGAAAAATATATCACTTGTCAGAATAATATATGCTTATTCTACCCCTTATTTCTTATTCAATACTAACCAATACCTTATTCAAATAACAGAAGTAATTAATGACCAGACTAGACTGAAAAGGTAATGCCAAGTTGTTTCTCTGAACCATGATACTATAAGTATCCCATATAAATAAGTGCTGATTAAGTTGACAATTTCACTGAAATTAGAGATTTTTATTTCTAGATAACGTATCAGGAAATTCTTTACACTAGAAGAGCAGCAGAATCACCTACAGAGTGATTTACACAACTGCAGATTTTTCAGTTCAACCCTTGCCAGATTGAATTAGTATTCTGGGGTGTGGGAACCCAGAATTTGTACTTATATAATGCTCCCCAATTAATCCTGCTGCATGCCATCAGTTTGTCAGTCAGTGTTGATCGGATTCAGGTTAGGAACCACCGCTTTAAACAGACATCATCCCACGCAGCATTTTCTGATTAAGGAGCTTGGACAATCCCTGGCCATATACAGAAACAAAATATGAACTGAGAACACACCACAAAACTGTATCATTACCTTAGATATACCACTTGAAATATTGGCTTGTAACTTGGGAAATAATTCCATTAACGCTTCCTCAGAAAGTGGTCCTTTGCAGCCATGTAAGGATAATCTCTGATAATACAGATCAGCCAACAGCAGCACAGATGGCTCCGAAGGAAGCATTCTGCAACAAGGTACTGATTAGACCCAGATGGCACCATACCCAAGTCTAAGACTAGAATTGCAGAAAATTAGCACTGATGGAGAAAATGTAAAGGCGGCCAATAACAGTTTTCCGTAGGCATTGAGCATCATTTTAGAGGAGGGAGCTGAGGCCTACAACAGCAAGTGAGGTGCTCACGACACACAGCTCAGTGGAGTAGAGGTGGGATTAGAATACGTAAAACCTAAAGCTGTCTTTTCAATCCATGCAGGTGTAAATGAGATTGACATTAAGGGGGATAGGTATTTACTATTTATTAAGTGTTTTCCATGTGCCAGGTGCTGTGTTAGAGAGGGAGCTAGTGCAGGACCTGGCATGGGCTCTGGGGTCACTGAGCACCTCTGGTTTGACCCAGTCCTGCCATCTGTCAGCAGTGTGACCTTTGCCAAGCTATTTAACCCATGTGCCATCCTCCTCCAACAAATATTTACTGAGTGTCTATTACATGCCAGTGACTTTTGTGGACATAGCAGTAAACAAAAGACAAAGTCCCTATGCTCCTGGAGTTTATTTTCTGAGGGAGGTAGACAATTATTACATCAACTAATAAATAATGAGTATTTATAGATATGAGTGCAGGGGAGAAAAATGAATCTGGGGAAGGAGGCTGGGGTGTGAGTGGTGTGTGGGAGGTAGAAAGGGAGAGGGGTGGGGGTAAAGAGGGGGCAGTCATAGATGGCAGAGACTGCAGGAAGAGAAGTGAGCCATGGGAAATCTGCAAGAAAGCATTTCAGGCAGGCAGATGGAAGAGTGATGCCTTGTCCCAGACGGTGTGTTTGTCTGAGGAAGGTCAAGGAGACTCGTCCAACTGGGACCCAGTTAACAAGAAAGAGTGGCTGGGAGTGAGGCCAGACGCAGACAGGGATTAGAACACACCAAGAGCCCTACGAGCATGTTAAGGACTCCGGGGTAGAGCAAGGTTTCTCAATAGTGGCACGTTGATAGATAACTCTTTGTTGGGGGGTGGGGGGCAGGTGGGATATTTGAGCATTCTAGATTGTTTAGCAGCATCTTTGGCCTCCGCCCTCTAGATTCAGCCCCCAGTTGTGACAAGCACACTTGTCTCTGGAATCACCCCTGCATTGTTGGCAAAAGTGACATGATCTAGCTCTCATCTCAAAGCGTCAAGAAAACTCAGGAGGTCAATGCAATATTCCAGATAAGAGATGGTGGTTTAGATCAGGGCGACAGCAGGTACTGGGTAGTTAAGATTCTGGGTTCATTTTAGAATTTTACTTTCCCTGTCTGATGAGAACAGTCCTTACATTTCATGGAGCTGTCCTGAGGATTGAATTAAGTAACATTATGTGAAATACTCAGAACAGTGGCTGGCACATAAGGACACAATAAATGCAATTTATGTGCTGCCATCACAGCAGGCATTGTCCACCTTAATATGCATGAGTTAACTAACTGAGCCATACCAAAGTAGGTGGTAGAGACAAGGTTCAAATCCAGTTGTCTTGGCTGTGAAACCTGTGCGCTTAAATAGTAACTAGCACAGTGCTGAGCACAGAGGCTCATTTAAAAATGGAAGCTTATACCTCTACCCTCAAAGTGGATCCAAGCTACCTGGCTGGGAGGCCAGTTGGCCCTTTGCAGGGGACACAGTAATCCCACTCTGTGTTATATGCTCCCTTCTGTTTCAAAAGCTCTACGGTTGCCGTAAAGAGCTCCTACTAAAGAATAGAATATGAGAAATTTAAAAGGAAGGATGAAGAAGGGAATATGTGAGTAGGGTACTAGCAAAGAAAAAACTCTCCTCCTTAAAAGAATTTAGACCAGTGACTTAGCATGGAGAAAGCCAGCTTCGCTCAGATTTAGAAATGCAGAGATGTGGGGACTACTACAGTTGAGACTCCTAACAGGTCTCCTTTACTCCTCATTAGGGTGATGTCACACCCCCACCAAAAAACCCTCGTGTGGCTGCCTCCCCATCACTCAGAGGCTAAGGCCTGACAGGTCATACCTGGCATGCCCCTGCACCTGGATGTCCCCTTCACCCCTTACCCATGCCTCATTGCACTCAGCCACCACAGCCTCCTGCAGCCAAGCATGCAGCATGCCAAGGGCACTCGTGTCTCCCCAGGTCTGGAACACAGAAAGCATTCCAGATCCCAGATATCCTCTTGGCTTACTTCCTCTCCACTTTTAGGTGTCTGCTCACAGATCTTTCTTGGTGAGGCCTTCTCTATTTACAACTTCTATTAGATCCGACTTCCAGGTTCTCCTCACCCACTGACCCTGCTTCAATGTTCTTTACAGCACTTATGACCATTTAACATGCTTTACACATTACTTTCTCACTTTGCTTAGTGTCTCTTGTTTGATTGTTAGCTCCACGAAGGCAGGAAACTTTGTTTCATTCACTAACTAGAAGAGAGGTCTGGTCCAAGGGAAATGTCACTGAATACTGGTTGAAGTAAATGAATCTGCTTTTAAAAGCATGGCAAGGGCCTCCCCATTGGCCCAGCGTTGCGAAGCTGCCTGCAGCCTCTGCAGCGCCGGTTCTATCCTTGGCACTGGCGAGGGTCCCACATGGCGCACAGACCTCTCCTGCTGCGCCCGCTGCGCCCCTCAGCAGTGTACTTCATTGGTCTGCCTGTTCTGTTTCCCACTCTGGCTCTGGTGAATTCTCTCACCCTCCCACGCTTCTGACTGTACCCAGTGTTTGTTTAAATAAATAAATAAATAAATCTTTAAAATAATAATAATAATAATAAAAAAAGCCTGGCAAGAAAATTGACTGGACTCCAGAGAAAAAAGCCAACTACTCTTGCAGATTTTTGAAAGGCCCAGCTTTTACAATGGTGCCAAGCAGTGAATGCCCACAGTGTAGTGCTCTTAGGTTCCTACCAAAATCAGGAGGTGGGTAAAATGAACTAAAAACAAACAAAAAAGCTGGATTGTTTTGGAAAGATCATGTCAAGCTGTGATAGAACACACAAGTAGTAGAAATGTGTGTGCTGGAGGCACTAAAAAGTTCTAAAAGGTCAACACTGCAATGTTGTGACTGGGAGTCATCAGCATTATTTACACGCTACAACACTAGCTTACACACACATAAAATACCCCCTGACAGATGTGAATCCATATTTAAAGACTGTCAAAACTTTACTTATTTTAATTGGAAGACATAAATCAATTAACACATTTACTATGTGGGATATGTATATAAAGTAGATCAAAACAAGGCCTGCTAATATGTCCAAGATTTCCCAAGGATAGGAGCCCTCACATATTATTAAGTTTTAAACTGTGTAGAATCTATGTTTACTTACAATACTAAATTCTTCACACGTTCCACAGGAACCAAATGAAGAAGTTCAGAAGATTCTTCCAAACTCAGCAGAGCATTTACAGCTTGATAAAGAACAAATAAGCTTCCTAAGGAAGTAAAACAGGAGACACCACATTTCTTATTTCTTTGACACAATAACCATCAGACATCACATTTATCTAACACTTGCTATTTATAAGAAGTTCTTACAGTAAAATTTTGCCTCATAAAGAATTATCTGTCAAATGCTAGAATATAAAAGAACTGAAAAGGTTCCAAGTCCTTTTAACTTTCTTAGAGAAAAATACATACAAAAATACAGAGTGAAAATACAGACTAAAAATCATAACTGAGATGAAGAGGTTCAATGGGTCTACCCACTGGCATTATCAAAACTAAAACATCTGAGGGGAGAACACCTGGACTTTTCAAAAACTAAGAAATATTGATTTTATGTCTCCTATTAATAAGTCACATATCCAATGACTAAGAGCAATAATATTAACACTAATTAGATATTTAGTCCTACATGAGCAGTGGCAAGCTATGGCACACAAGTAAGAAGCCTGATTTTATATGGCTCCTCAGCTAAGAATGTTTTCTATAATTTTGAAGGTCATTTAAAACAAAACAAACAAACAAAAAGAATATAAAATATCAAACACTTAGTGTCTGGTCCTTAGATAAAAAATGTTGTCAATCCCTGCTTTAGACTATAGACTATACTTGTGCAATCCAACTTTCTGCCATGTCTGAAATGTTGTATACTTGTGCCAATGGGGAGCCAGAGGCAAGTTTGGTAACCACTAGTCACATGTGGCTACTGAACACAAGTCTACTTTGTTCTCTAACATGTTTGCTTATAACCCAACATAGAACCTACCACAGTAATACTTAAATGAATGAATGACTACTCTCTACATATGTTAGCAAAAAATACTGTGCTAGAATAAAACAAAATATTACTTTGAAACAGCTATTCTCAGGCTTGTAGGGGAGATGTCCTGGTACATAACAGAAAATGGTAATTGGGGCAGGACAGCCTAATCATTCTGACTGAAAGAGTCATGAAGGCTTCACAGAGGTGTTAGGATCAAGCTGAGTTTTGAAAGATCAGTAGTTTCACCAAATGACAAAGATCTAGAAAGGACTCTAGACAAAAGGGATATATGTCCAAAGCTTGCTCAGGGTAAGGAAACAGAAATGCCTGGAGCACAGTGGGGTAGAGTGAACAGGGACACGGGGAATTCCACACAAGCTGGGGTTCGAAAGTGGGCGTCCTTGGCATCCTTTGGATACCTCGCCTTCTTCCCATTCAGCTCATGTTCAAGCCACCATGACCTGGCTACCATGTTACGAAGTACAAGTGGAACATCGGCACTTGGCCTCTTTCCCTGATTTATCACACAGGAGGTTATGTCAGGACACGATGTCAGTTCTATTCTCTGGTATTCCACGTGTTTACAGTTCCTCAGTCCTTGGCATCCTTTGGACACCTCCCCTTCTTCCCATTCAGCTCATGTTCAAGCCACCATGACCTGGCTACCATGTTACGAAGTACAAGTGCAACATCGGCACCTTGTCCTCTTTCCCTGATTTATCACACAGGAGGTTATATCAGGACACGATGTCAGTTCTATTCTCTGGTATTCCACGTGTTTACAGTTCCTCAGGGTATGCCAGAAAAGAAAGAACAAACGGCAATTGTAACTGACCTTTTCCAAAGCTCCCTCTGTCAACAGTGGTGAAGAGTGACTCTACGAAGCATGCAACTAGTGGAATCACCTTCTCTCTCTCCAGAGGTCTGTTCAAGTCATGGGGAGAAAAGGGAAAAGTCCAAACTGGCATTCAATAGCTTGTTTTTGGAACCACAACGAATGGCTAATAAACGTTTTAGCCAGCACATTATGCATAGCTTTCAAAATGAAATGCTGTGTGTTTTCTTACCTGATGTGAGGTAACACAACAAGGGCTGCCCAAGAATGTGAAAGGCAAACATCTTTACTAGGGGGTAACTGAATTATAGATAAAAGACGATCCAGTACTGTTTTCTGCTCATTTCCTCCCTTGGATCTTATCCTCCTCTGTCTTATATAGGATCTGAAGAAAGAAAAGATAAACAAGTTGGAAGTAAAAGAGAATGTAATCACTCTTGCCCTCTGAAGTTTGTGATAAAATTGGTTCCTTTCCATGTGTGGAGGAGCATTTGGGGTGTTGGGAAACTGGTGGGGCTGTTGGAAAAAATAAATAACTAAACAAATGTGAATCATTTACTGATTTTGAATGAGAGGCTTTTTCAACCTCTGTTGGTTCCACTTTATCTATTTTAATTTGCTTCACAACTTAAACCAAGTCTTTCTAGTTTTAGGTATTTCTAAATTTTGTGCTAATGGGCACATTTGTAAGAACTGGAATGAACTGACTAACTGCATCCCCTTTCCTTTACTACTTCACAAGTGTAGAATGATATAAAGTTACCATGGTGAATTTGACAAGTATCACTAAAGCAATTTAGAAGCAACTTTCTCTGCTACCTTAACCTAATAAATGGTTATTCAGCGGTGTTTTCTGATGTGACATTCAATTTTAGGTATTTGTTACTATGGCACAATTCTTGTTTGTCTCTCTTAACTTTTTCCAATGACCATCACTTCAATCCTATTTGAAAGACAGAAATATAATTAAAAAAAAAAAATCAGTGATATGTATGAAGAAAACATTGTAATCCTGGCATAACAAAGGACTTGTATCCAGACTATAAAAAGAACGCCTACAACCTGAAAAGAAAAAAAGGAAATTTAAAAATAGAAATATAGGGCCTCCCTGGTGGTGCAAGGGGTTAAGCACCGCACTGTGAAGCGATCCGCAGCCTCTGCAGCACGAGTGCCATCCCCGGCTGGCCAGGGAAAAACCCACACAGTGAGGCAGACCTCTCCTGTCTCGCCCACTGCTCCCCTCAGCAACGTATTTCAGTCAGTCTGCCTGTTCTCCTCCCAGCTCTATCTCTGGTGGATCCTCACTCCCTCCAGCCAATGCCCCCCGCATCTCTGGCCTGTGCCCCAGCTCTTGTATGCATAAATAAATAAATCTTCAAAAAAAAAAATAAATAAAAATAGAAACATATATGAACAGACTTTATAAAAAATATATACAAATATCCAATAAGCACATGCAACGGTACTTAACATCCTCATTCACCATGAAACTGCAAATTAAAACCAAAATGAGAACCACTCCTTGCCTATTAGAATGGTTAAAATGCAAACTGACAATACTACACATTGACAAAGACATGGAACTGGAATATTCACACATGACAGCCTTACTCTTGTCACAGACCTTATCCAGTAACTCTTTCCTATGCCTTGAAAATCCTTCAGCTAGCTTTGTTTGTAAGGCTGGATCCTTCCACGACTACAACCATCTAAAGGCCCCTTCTTTATTTATTTATTTTATTAATTTTTTTATTTTAACATTTATCATTTTTTACATTTTTTTTTAGACAATATTTGCTTCCCCCCACCCCTTCAGACTGAGTCTCCATAGAATTTCCTTCCCCAAGGCACCCCATGTACCATCACCACTAAAGGCCCCTTCTTTAGAAAAGAACATTCCATTCACTCTCCCTCTCAACCTCAGGTTCTATTTTTCCCCCCTCACTATCTAAAATGATCTTGTTTGTTTATCTGCCTCATATCCCTCCTTCCCCCACTTGGAATGTTATCTCCCATGAGAAAGACCCTTTTTCTTTTTCACTGTTACACCTCAGTGCCTAGAACAGTGCCCATCACAATAAATATTTGTCAATGACAGAATAAATTTATCTTCTGAAGTCTTTTTATACCTATTATTTCGTGTTATTCCCATAATAAATCTGTGAGAGTGGACTGATGTTACTAAGGATATTCAGACAAAGGTGACCATTCACGTATACCCTACCTGTGGGGGTGGCAGAGGGATGTTTTCTTAGAGATAGGCACACACAAGTGGTGGCATTTGCCTTGAGTTAATCTATCTACTTAATTAGTTAATCTATTTATTTATTCTCATCAAGCCACATTCCAAGGGGGATTTGAGACAACTGAGACAACTGCATGAGGTCTGGCCGTAGGCTATCGGATCCTGGCTGTCACCTCATGGAAGCTAACAAAGCAGCTTCACTTTCATTGTCCTAACCTAGTAGTAGTTTTGGTCACCTGTAAGGAATATGCTGCTGGAAGCTGGCTTGGATGTTGCAATATCAAGAGAGTATTTCAGAGGGCGAATTCTACTGGAGATTCTCAAGACCCATTTCTTAGGAGTCAGGGCTCAGTAAAGAAAAAAGCCAAGATTCTGTTAGAAAAACTACTATTTTTATGGTTGGCACAAGAGTGGCATGTGAAGAAGATGGTTTCCTCCAGAATCTCAGTCTGAATGGACTCAAAACCTAACTCTGCTATTTGACTATGGGACAATGACACACACCTCAAGAAATGCCGTGATGTTCCGCAGCTGAGCGTTCAGCACAAACTCAAGGAATTCATCTATACTTCTAACTAATGCAAGAGAAGTAAAAAAATTAAATATGAACACATAAGAGTTGTAGAGAACTGGTTTCCTATGCTACCATTTTCTAGCGATTTCTCAAATATTTAAAAAATGCTAAGCAGAACCCTCGCTCACATTTAGATACTTAGTCTCAACTTCTAAAGGGTCTCTATTCTTTTTTATTTTTATTTAAAGACTTATCTATTTATTTGTATAAGCACTGGGTACAGTCAGAAGTGCGGGAGGGTGAGAGAATTCACCAGGGCCAGAGCGGGGAACAGAACAGGAAGAGTGACGAAATACACTGCTGAGGGGAGCAGCGGCGGCAGGAGAGGTCTGCGCACCATATGGGACCCTCGCCGGTGGCCAGAGATTGAACTAGTGCTGCAGAGGCTGTGGGCAGCTTCGCAGCCCAGCGCTCAACCACTGTGCCACTAGGGGAGGCCCCAAGGGTCTCAATTCTTCATGAAATTAAGAAAATAATCCATGACCCTTTAACAATTCAAACAATGCAAAGGTATATTACTCCAAAAGTCAATAGTCACTTCTTTCCTTCCCTTACCATCCTCCTGATATAAATAAAGTTAATTTTTGTGTTCCCTTAAACGCCCTTCAAAATTCAACTATAGATTTAAGGCAATTCCACACAAAATCCCAATAGGGTTTTCTTTTGCAGACATAAACAAGCTTCTAGATAAAGTTAAAACAATTTTGAAAAAGAACAAAGAGGGAGGACTTTTTTAATTTTAAATTGTTCCCAATTAAGTTTATTGAAGCAGTGTTGGTTTATAACACTGCACTGTATCAAAACTCGACAAATGTGTATTTTCACACCATGTCTACCACAAAAGCCCAATAATCCCGACCGTGCTCCACTGGGCCCCCTTGTTCCTACTCTTCCACCCTCACCTTCTGGTTGCCTCAGTTTCACAGTCAGAGGGAGAACTTGTTAAATTTTTTCCAAGATTTTAAAACTCACAGTTACAGCAGTAAGATAATGTGACATTAGAGGTCTGACACAAAGAGCACTAGAACAGAATAGAGAATTGAGAAATAGAGCCATGTACACACTCAGTTAAATTTTTAAAGTGTCAGATCAGTTCAATGAGGAAAAATGAACTTTTCAACAACTATTGCCAGAATAGCGGCCATCCAGAGGCCAAGAAAGGCTTGACCGAAACCTCACACCTTATATGAAAGCTAACTCAAAAGGGATCATGGATCTAATTGCAAAACATAAAACATGTAGAAAAATATGAGAAAGTACCTGGCAGAGTTCTGAAACTTGACATCAAAGGACTGTCCATAAAAAAACAGCTGATAAAATCTACCACTTAACTAAATTATAAAAATGAAGAAGAGATGGGGGTTCCCAGAGGCCAGGGAGTAGAGCAGGGAGTGTCAGGGTGACCTGGGAATGACATGACATGTTCTCTTCTACTACTTGCTTTTTTCACACAACTGTATGTTAGGAACATCTTTCCAGTGATACATAGAGATTTCATTTTTTCAGTTTTCTCTCTGCATTATTTTAAAATGGGTCATCCGGCCGACGTTACGGGGAATAAAGGCTTAAAACTTACCCCACTGTCTGTGGTGAGAAAACCAGAGGATACTGAACTGCCATGGAGCCAACGGTAGGAGGTGAGGCTTTGTTCACAACAAGCTTGGTCAGAATGGCCAGAGCTTCATCTTGAACTGTCTCGTCATCAACTGAGAAGCAACTCTCAACATATAAGAGAAAGCTGGGTAGAAAAAGCTAAAAATAAGAGAGGAATCACATTTACTAACAGGTAAAATTTCAGAACAGCTAATGAAGGGAATATTCTTAGACTTTTAAGAGGAAAAAAAAAAAGCATCATAAATAAAGAATCAGGAATCAAAAATGGCAGGAGACCTCTCCATAGGAACCTCCATTGTTCCTGTGGTACATTAACTCAGCAATTCCACTTTTGGGATTTGAAGGCTTTTGGCACAATGCCTTCAAAATTGTGCAGGAGGGGCCTCCCTTGTGGCCTCGGAGTTAAGTCTCAGCACTATCACCACTATGGTCTGAGTTTGATCCCTGACCAAAAGGCTAACCCTCATATGGCGCAGCACATCTGTCCTGTCTGTTCTGTCTGTCCTGAGCAGATCTTGTTGCTCCTCTTAGCAGTATATTTCAGTAAGTCTGCCTGTTCTGCTCCCCACTATCTCTAGTGAATCCTCTTACCCGCTGTGACTCTGGCCTACACCCCAGTTCTCCTATGCAAAAATAAATAAAATTAAAAAAAAAAAAAACAAAAACTAACAACTGTGCAGGAGAATGAGAAATCTGGAATTTTATACCCCATGTACCAATAACATAGCATGAGGAGTGTATAAAGACTGGTTCAGAAGTATTGAATCTCAAAATTTCACTTACATTTTCCCTTTCTTAAGAACCTTTGGAGACTGTCTTTTATCAAAATAAGACAGTAAACTCTAGTGAGAAAAAGACATATGATCAAAGAAACAGGAGAAAAGCAAAAGGAAATCTTATTATGACACCTGTGCAGTGGGCTGAAAAAGCAACCCATTCAGACTTGAATTGCTCCAGAGAATGTTTCCAAGAAAGAAAACAAACAAACAAACAAACAAACAAACAAAGAAAAAAAAAAAAAAAAAAACTGAGCCGCCAAAGTACCTGACAAGTTGCCATTGAGAGGCACTTTACAATGCTGCTGGAAGACAGTCTCATTGATGAGCTAGCTAGTCAAAGAAAACAATTTGGGATTCTTAAAGAATGAGGTAATTAGTAATCTTGGGGAAAATGAGAAGGTATAATAAAAAGGAAATGTAATTATAAAACACTCCTTATTTACAAGGATCAAGTGCATGGTGAATGTGAATTCAACCAAAATTTGTGATGTGACACTATTGGGGAAAGAAGTGTCAAAAGAATGAAATTCATCCACCGAGGACTAAAACTAATGAATCAAGGAAAAGTAAAATGTTCCAATAATTTAATTATATGAAGTAAATACCAAAGAAAATAGCTAGATAATCATTAGATGTAGTTGGTTTCCTGTGAGTAAGATAGGAATGGAAAGTGACTACCTTTTGGCCCTGTTTGACTTTTTAAAACTATATGCACATAGCACTCTGATAAAAAGATTTTTTCAAAAAGACCAAAGGGAACAAGAGAGAGGGAAAAGATGCATTTGTTAAGAAAAACAGAGAGATGTGAGGACCCCCACTGGCAGGAAGGAAAAGGACTATTTCATATACGAACAAGTTTTTCTGAGACAAATGAGAACATATGTTATGAAAGACTAAAAAGAAAAAAAAAAGAGAATAGCTACATAATAGGTTTCCATGAAGAGTACTGCAGGATTACTAGTTGGAAGGAGTGGCAAATGTTTGATGGGGGTATGGAGAAAGGATAAAATAAACTCAGGATTTGATGAACAAGATTTCTACTTCATTCCATCAAATACCTATTTTATAAAATGAATTTGCAAACTTGTTCCAAATTAACACAAAAGTGCCCTAAACTGTTCTTTATTTTTTCAATTTTAACACATGGTTCTGTAACTTCCTAAAGGATTATTATAAAGCAAGTTAGTTATTTAATATTATTTGAAAGGCCTTAGCATTATGAACTAAACTTTCACTTGTGGCTAAAATTGGAATATAGTGCTTTAAAGAAACATGGACTGAAATATCCAATGTGTTTTGTTTCTCTCCAAAAAAAATTGCATTTTAAGAATGATTATTTTACCACAACAAAATAAACCCAAAACTTAGTATCTTACTCACCTGCTCAAACTGCTTCATGGTAAACATGCCTTCGGAAAAATCCAAAATTAAGTGCCTTTCAAAACTGCTGTCAAAAATCTGTAGACCACAGGTTAAAAAAAAAAAAAATCTTCTTAAGTACACAGTGAGTCATTTCCCCATTCCTGAAAATAAAAAACACCCAAGCCTCCCAGGTCTTCTGCCTTGCAAGCAGGTAGTGGGGTGCTTGACACAAGTAAATTGATAGCATGTGCACAGGTACACACGCAGGTATGAGACAGGAATGGGAGGGAGGGAGGAAGGGAAAGGTGGGCACACTTCAACCATGTTCTGTCCACAGGGGTGTGCACAGAGGTGAAGGACAACGTGCTTCCCATGCTGACACGGGGCTCTGCCCAAGAGCTGCTGCTTCATCCTTTCCCAGGTACACAGTGTCACAAAAGGGTAAGCAGTGCCATTTCTTACCTTCCTCTATGCTTTATCCCATCACACTGCAGGAAGCTGGCAAAACCTAACTGATGCTTCTATTTTCAATCCCCCTTCTCTCCATTCCATTTTCTAGACTCACTAAATGCAAATTTCATCAAACCATTTTCCTGCTAAAATTTCTTTCCAGTGCCTTCTACTGCTTGCAGAAGAAAATCCAACCTAACTTTTCAGGGCCAAGCAGAATCTTGCTGGTATAGATCATACTTCCTCACATGTCCATGTGCAGACAATGTACACTTTTGAACATACTGTGTGATTTCACGCTCCCAGCACTTTTAACTCCTTCTCTGATAGGCAGTTTGCTATTTAACCTATTTAAAAGCATTCTCTGTTCTTCAACCCCAGGCAGAATTAATCATTACATTTCAATATGGTCTCAACAAAGGTCTTACTTCCCTAGCCATCAAAAATCACAGGAACCAGTTGTCCACTGCAGAAGACCTGGTCTATAACCAATATGTGGTAAGTGAGATATGTCTACTGAATGTTTACTGAACAGATTTACTTTCTCTACACTGTTTTGTTCATTTCTATTACACATCCATAACAGGATTACAAATTACCTGAAGGGATAGCCTTTGGTATACTTCATTTGTATTCCTCAGGAGGCTTCCTCAATGTCAAACATCTTATTAACTATTCAATTAATATTTGTTGAAATAAATTACCTTTTCAATGGTTTCTTTGATGAGGGACTCTGGTAAGGAAACATTTTCACCTAGGATCAAAGCAGAAATTACATCCAAGAGGGTCTGCAAGCAAGATGTGGAGAGATGGGCTATCTGTAATGATTGAGACAATACCTATAAAATAAAAGAAAAAGCGAAGCACACTTAGTGATCAGCTTTTCATGAACAGACGCCAAAGAAATTAAGTTGGGAACTCACCTTGCAAACATCAACAGGTTTGGTTATCTTAGATCCATTTCCATGTTTCACAAGTATCAGATAAATTTCCAACAACCTTTTCACCTGTTCAGAACTTTCACCAGAGTTAGTTTTGGTTACTTTTGTATGTAGATCCAGGAGTGATTCCTGAAAATAAGAAATTTAATGGAGAGAAAAACTGTTAAATATCAAACTCATCAATCTAAAAATGAAGAGAGTATGTGAAACAGTTCAAATTTTCATTCTTTAGCTTTGAAAGATAAAAACACATTTACTGGCTCCTTGTCACTAGTGATCATAACAGCTGACATTTCTGACCATGCTGTTCTCATCCTTTAAGTATTAACCTATCAACCTCACAGCAACCCTGAAGGGATTATTATTATTCCCATTGACCAGAAGGAAAGAATGAAGATTAGAGGTTTAAAATACTTTCCCAATTCACATTAGCACTAAGTAATAAAGCTAATATTCAAACAGAAGCAGGCTGGCTGCAAAGCCTTAAACACTATGCTCTACCCAGCTCAAGATAGCAAATCAAATTAAAATAGTGCATGAGGTAAAAGAAGAAAAGTCCCAATATATACGTAAAAGCATAAAGAAAATAATTATGAAATACAATATGCAGGAGTGGTCTCTTAAACTAATAATACTCAACTCTTCAACTCCTTTTTATATACAAATCCTTGAAAAGTTGAACTCACTTGCAAACATTCAAAAAATACACCAAAATGTTCCTTGTAGATGTAGAACACAGTGGATCTGACCATATTTTTGAGTGTTTCTCCAATTAAAATCCAAGGTAGTTGAGCTTCTGTTTCAGTAATTGGTCCTAATTTTTGCAAAATTAGCTTCACTGCCTATGGGAATCCAAGAATCATGAAAATGAACACATAAATTCATTTTATAGTATTAACTGTTACCTCCCACTCTAACTATTCCACACTATATTAAGTTATCAAAGTCTATCTGAAATGACCCAGGAAGTGGCCACATTGATGGTGAAGTTAACATATGTCCCAAACTAGATTTTATCATATGTAGCCCACACGTTGTTCATTAATTAATTTCTGTTATCTGCTAGGATTCATCATGAAGAATAATGATACTGGAAGTAAAAATAGTCACCCAGAGCCCCAGGTAAGCACTGTTATTAAAGCTCTAACGGTTCCCATTGACTGCTTTCTACTTATTCTAGGCTATGAGTCTCTCCACATCATGTGCATTTATTTTATCTGTTTTCTTTTTAATCCCTTTCACACAAACTCAAAATATTCCTCCTGGTTCTTTACCGTTCCTGCACAAGAGTGAAACATATTCCGAACTCCTTTGCACATTTCAAAGAGCAACTGTCCAACGCCTTCTACCTTGTCTGGATGTTTGTGGAGATCAAGAAACATTAAATTGAAAAGTGCATTTTTATCAGAAACCTGAAAGACAAAAAATGCAAAGGGAAACTATATTTACAACCTACACACATCTAAATGAAGAACTGTTACCTGCTCTTCTGTATTAAGACAAATTCTGAAAGGAATATACTTGCAGTATTTTCAAACTACTGCAACAGTAATACTATCACCTGTAATTGGATACAAAGAAGAGCTCACTTCACTGGTGTATTATAAATGCATGTACCAAGGAAAACTATACAAGGCAGTCATCTGTCTTTCAAACCAATCATATATTTTACAATAGATTTTCATACAAATAGATACATAAGATACAAAAGATTTTCATACCAATGTTACCGTTTTATTATAAAAACCCTCAAAATTTTATGGTTGAAACAAATACAGATGACACTATAAAATTGTTTCTTTAGTAAATTATTGCCAAAATTCCTATGAATCGCGCTGTTTATACCTTTCATGACTTGAGTTAGAGGGCACTTTTGGTATATATACACTAACTAAAAGTCTAAATAAAATAAAAGGGTGGCTCAAATTATTTCACATTAGTGAGCAAAGACAACCTTATGTGAGATAAACTCAAGGGGTAATAGGCTTTATATAATATGTATACACACATATTAATCCTTATTAACCATAACCATATTATAAAAAATATACATTTCTATTCATTAGATTTTGAGAATTAATGAGCAAAAATATGTAAAATATCAGACTAACCTTTCTCATCAAAAAAGTAAAGCTTTCGGCAGCAAAATTTCTTATATGGAGTTTTTTATGAGCCAAGAGTGTACTGTACATGCTAAAAATGAGAAAATAAGACATGTGGAATTAATCATAATTTTTGATATACTACACAGCAACTCTATATTCACCACTTTGCTGGGGAAGCAAAAAAAAAAAAAACAAAAAAACACAGCAGGTATGATATCAGTAGTTTAAGGTATCATTCGATTACCAAGAACCCACATGGTAAGCAGAAGACTGTAGGTCACAGAAATTAATCAGTGGTGATGATCTTATAGTAAAGAATACATGAGAAGTTGAAACATGTAGTGAATCTTAGAGGACAGGAATAACTCAGGTATGTACCAGGGTGCACATTACTAGAGATAAAGCAAAACCAAAAATGAGGTGGGTAGATCAAGGTCAAGAACAATAAGTCTAAAAGAGGAAGGATGATGTGTTTCGGGAAGGCAAGTGCAGACAGATTTGCCCTGGTAAACGTGACTGTGACCATCAAGCAGGCGAGACTAGACTCTAGCTCCCATTCATGTGAGGACTTACTCCAGCCTCCTTTTCTACGCAGCCCAACTCTGTGGGGTAGGTACTGTTATTGTTCCCACTCGACAAACACTGAAATTGAGGCAGAAAGGCTAAGCAATCTGCTCGAGGTCGTATAGCTGAAAATAAATATCACTTATATAACTACATTGTTTTAAGTGTTCTCCGTAATGATAAAAGACCATGGAATACAATCTCTCCTATTTTTGCTATATCCCCAGGACAAGGATATAGAGGTAGCTGGTGGCAGACAGTAAGGCAAAGGGAAAATCCAAGAGACATTTCAATAGTCTGCAATGGAGACAAAGACCTTAGGGCACCCACAAGGCCCTTGGTGATCAGTCCTCCTGCTGCCATGTCACTGCCGTCACCCGATTTCTCTCCCATTACACACACACGCAGCTCCACACCACCCAGGCCTCCTTGCAGTTCCTCACAAAGGCTGGACATGCAATCAAGATGTCCACCCACCACTAAAATGCAAACTTGGCATGAAAAAGGGTGTTTATCTGCTTTGTGACTGTATCTCAAGTGCCCAACACACCACATTCCATAAATATTCATGAAACTGAAAGAGAAAGTGAAGAACAGAATCAAGAGAATTTGGAGTCCTTGAAAACAACAGGGTCAAAGGTGGCTCAGGTGACAAGAAAGATGGTGTCACTGTTAGAAACTGGATGATCAAACAGGGTCACACAGTAAAGACTTGTTTCTCAACACATGAATGACTGAAAAGAGATCATTTGAATGGGGACATGTTGCCTCTGGTTTCATAAATGCTCAAGTGAGTACCTCCACAAGGTAATACTAGTTTCTAATACATTCCATCCAAAGCCTCATAGAGAACTTAGCAAAGGCTGGAAAATATTCCGTTCTTACTCTGCTCAAATAGGGTGATGTGAAGGGTGGGACAAAGGAGAATAGTATGAAGGGAGGGTGGGACGAAAACAAAACCTACAGCTTTATACCATACCCACCCTTGGGTGTTTAGGGGGGTAAAGAGCTGGTTATACATATTCCTGTGACAATTAAAGTATGTAGAAATAATCAAGACACCAAGTAAAGTCCCAGATTAAAATGGAGTATATACAATCTTTTCCTAACATAGTAACATGCAAGTAACAAAGTTACTATGGAATTCATTTTCTTTGCCTGTCTAAATTTTGTTCACAAATACCGTGTCTTTTGTTTTAATAATGTTTTATGCTATGTGCTGGGGAAATGCAGATATTGAAGACGAGAGTCTTCAAAAGTTTACAGATTTACAGAAGGCACCTTTACATTAAGAACAAACAATTATATTGGGCCTCCCCTGTGGCACACCGGGTTGAGTGCAGCGCTGTGAAGCTGTCCACAGCCCCTACAGCGTGGGTTCGATTCCTGGCTGGCCAGGGAGAAACCCACGTGGCACAGCAGACTTCTCCTGTCATATCCGCTGCTCCCCTCAGCAATGTATTTCAGTCTGTCTGCCTGTTCTGCTCCCCGCTCTGTCTCTGGTGAATCCTCTCACCCTCCTGTGTCTCTGGACTGTACCCCAGTTTTTGTATAAAAATAATCTTAAAAAAAAAAAAAAAGAAATCCAAGTGTTTAAAAAAACAAACAAACAAACAATTATAACAGAAGTTGTGTAACATAAACTGGTAGAATACCAGAGAGATTCAGAGTACAAAGCTTTTACTTCTTCTGGTCAAGGTACCAGGGAGTATTTATGGAGGTTATAGAATCAAGCCAGGCTTTGACAGTGGAGATATGTTTTTAATAGTAGAAGAGATGGGAAGGTTAGATCAGTGCAGAGTGGTGTAGTAGACAGTTGACCACTTTGGCTAGAAAATCAACTTCATATAAGGACATAATTAGGGACTGCACTGGAAATGTAGTTTGGAGTCAGAAGCCAGAGAAAAGGCAATTAAAGCTTACATTAGCATCAGGGAGCCAGGTTTGCAAGTAAGCATGACTAGTGTTATCAGTGTTGTTATTAAATGCACAATGTGAGTCAGAAATTCTCTCTTGCTTGTCAGTATCAATCAAAACTGCCCTTAATGGGCCTCCCTGATGACTCAGGGGCTAAAGACAGTGCTATCAAGCTACTGCCAGCCACTGCAGCACAAGTTTGATCCCCAGCCAGGGAGCTGACCCACATAGCACAGCAGATCTTTCCAGTCTCGCATGCTGCACCCCCCAGCAGCATATTTCAGTCAATCCACCTGTTCTGTTTCCCCACTCTGTCTCTTGTGAATCCTCTCACCTCCTGCACCTCTGGCCTATACCTCAGTTCTTGTATGCATAAATAAATAAATCTTTAAAAAAAAAAACAAAAACTGCCCTTGACCAAAAAATAACAATTTATAAAACTGAAATGCTCAAAAAAAATCTTTATTGAATAGGCCCATTCTATTGAGAGGCCTCAAGCACACAAACGTTTTCACCAGGAATCTTGAATGTACTGAATATATGTGCACATTGCTTTTGTTCTCAAAATTGATGCAGATGGAAGCAGGACTGACTGTGAAGGGGGCATGAGAAATCTTTTGGGGATGAAGAAATGTTCTTAAACTGGCTGCAGTGATGGCTGCACAACTTTCTAAATTTACTAAACAGCATCAAATAGTAAATAAAATGAAGTTTAAAAGAAAAGCAATTCATCCATATTAGAGTAAGAAAAGGGTTACCTGTATATACTGGCCATGTCCTTCACCATCAGTCGCCATAGATATTTGTAAAGATATGACAGTGAGGTGAAAGCCCATTCTAACAGCTCTGTGTTCTGAGTCTCCAAGATTGAGGTGATGGTGAGGAAAAAATCCTGAAAATGCGGATAGAAATCTGTCTGGAGATCTCGAGCCAATTGTACAACTAAGCTGGATTAAAAATAAGCAGAAATTACTATATGTAAGACATACAGGTAAAAAAAAAAAAAAAACAAGACTGCAAATCTATTCCACAAATGAGAGTAAATCACCTAGGATCACAGGATTAATTAAACTTTGCAAACCAAATTTCAAGAGAGGTATATAGTTTTTCACATTTTAAGAATTCAGCTAAGATATCAGACTAAACCAAGAAGGTCCATTCAATCAAGTTATAGTCAATCATTTCTATAGAGAAAATGAGTTCTCTTAAAAGCATAAAATGAAAGCAAAAAAAAAGCAAGCCCCTACAGGTCAGCATTATGGTGATATACTAATATTCTAATCTACCAAAAAGGTAAATCCTTGATTTTAAATTACAAACACCAGACCTGAGGCAAATGTAGCTATGAAATACAACCTTTCTTGAAATTCAGATAAATGTCATCAAAGTTTCTTTCAACCTTCTACTTACTCCAAAAGAGGCTGATAGGCAAAACTGTTCTTGATTTGTAGATGAGTCTTCAAACTTTGAACTATCTCGTTTTGATGATAGACCAACTGATTGAATGATTGGCATTTGTCAATAACTTCTTTGTAAAATTTCCCTGGGTTTAAAAAAAAAAAAAGAATATGTTCTACTTTTCTACCACTATTTAGTTGTTTTGAACAGATAAAGCACAAATGATAGGTGAATAAAATAGAAACAAAATTAGGAAATACCAAAGTGTTCCGTTAGGTTCAATTCTCTCCATTTCAGTAGACTCTCAAAAAAGTAAGTTTCAACCTCCTGTCAAGATTAAAAGCAATACTTTAAGGCCAGTCCATTAATTAGACAACTCAAAGAAAAACTACAAAGTAAATAAGAATAATGCTCTTAACACGATGATAATCAACAACTTAAAAACAAGATTTTTTTAATAAGGGTTTTAACTAACCATGCTTAAAAAAAATAACAAGAGTACAATATATGCAGATGATTAAAATGAAGTGTTTTGTTGATTTGGTTGCAACAGGTAATTCTTTACAGTCACACCAAGGAAGAAAAACTTTTTCTGTGTTACTGCTATAACCTTGTGGGGAAGTTTACATGCATTTTTGTTCAAGCTAAAAACAGGTACTCCCTTGGAACAAGCAATTCCCATTTTGGAAGCATCTCTTTAAAAATCTGCAAACATACAAGTCTAAAGATGTTCATTCAAATTTATTGTACATAGAACAGATGAGAGGAAACTGTTTAGTATAACTAGAGTATATTATGTGGTTATTAAAACATCTCTCTAATGAATTAGGATATATACCCCCAAAGTGATAAAAGCAAGTTACATAATCATGTGTTTAGCAGAATCCAGTTTTTCCTTTTTAAAGAAGACCTCTTGAAATGTTAGCACAATTTTGTATGAAAAAAAAACAACACACATACACCAAACTCTCAATATTGGTCTCCTAGGCAAAAAAGAATGGGAAGGGTGAGATAAAGATTTTCTACGTTTACACCATATTGTTTAGCTTGTCAACACCATGTATATTGTTCTTTGAAAGGTAAAACCAATTCACTTTGTTCTTTGAAAGGTAAAACCAGTAAGTTACTACCTTCCGTGGATATGTACACCGTGAACAAGCAAGAGCAAGTGAGAACAAATAACTCCATAAGAACATGTACAAATAGCATGCAAATCTTTTACAATCTTAAGAAAACTAAATCCTTACATTGTGCTTTGTCAGTCTTCAAAAAAAAAAAAAAATGAAGGAAAATCAACAGGTAGACAGAATAGAAAGGAAGAAAAAGAATACCATTAAATTTTGTTCCTAAGGCAGAAGGGAAAGATACCTTAAAGTTTAAAGCCTAAACCGAGGGCATTCTCAGTCTAGTAGAGGAATTGGCACATGGCAGTCATCTGGGATAGACTATGTCCCGGTCCTATGCCACATGACTTGCATTCTCTATGCCAAAGAAATGGAGTCTCTTTCCTCACCCCTTGAATCTGGTCTGGCATCACGACTTCTTCAATATCTAGTTCTACTTCTCCAACATCTCTGGAATCTTTCTCTTTTCTTTCTTAACTACTGCAATCATAATCATTTCTGACCTAGACAACTGTCACATCCTCACATCCTCATAGCTTGCCCTGAAGCTAGTCCTATTCTTTCCTCCCCACTAAAACAGAGATCTAAAACTTAAGCCTGATCATGTCACCCACTCCCTGCCTTACAATCCTAGAAAGATACCCCAATATTTTTTTAGGAAAAAAAAATTTAGCTTGATATATTAAGCCCTTTATGATCCCTGATGATTTCTTCAGCTTTCTCTCTCTATCAACACACCATCAACACAAACACCGAACACACAAATTATAACCACTCTGAATTGCTTTGCAGTTTCTTGAGTGTGGTATGCATTGTCTAGCTTCTGGTCTATGACACAGACTTCTACCTTAGCTAGAAACATCTTTTCCTGTCCTATTTGCTATGCTAAAACCTTTATGAACAGTAAGATTCAGCTCAGGTATTGGCTTGTCTATATCCCTTGTTTAACAACCAACCTTACTCCCCAGAGAATTTAGGTTAGGTTCCATCAGTGCATTCCCAAGACATTATATTCTTACTTAGATAATATCACTTAACATGCTGAATTCACACACTAAGACAATGCATACAAAGAGACATAAACAGAGTGTGACTGAAGCCAAATGAAGAATAGTAAGAAATGAGGTTGAACCCCTAAACCAAAGGCATGCTATACAGGACCTTAGAAGGCTAGCAGAGACATAATGAATTGATGTAGATTTTAAAGTAGAGGTTTGACTGAGTTAGAGGGGGATTAGAATTGGAAAAAAATATGCAGTCTAGCCCCTTCCTCTTTATAGAGGAAACCATGCCTAAGAAAGGTGACTTGCTTAATATTTCTATAAAATTGCCACTTAAAAATAAATAAATAAAATTACAGCTCAAGAAATATGTATTTGCAGCAATGCTTGAGAGTGGACATGTGAAAGGGAAAAGCAGGAATCACAGATGCTCAGCTGAGTGTCAACTTAATTGTCTAACACAGCATCATTCAACAGCACTTTCTACAGTGAAGGAAATCTTCCATATATGCACTTGTCCAATATGGCAACAATGAGTGACATATCTAATTTGCCGTATGTGGTAACTGAATTAGATAGTCTAATACATTTCATGTTAAGAAATGTTAAGAGTAACCTGAAAAACACACTACAAACCCTACAAACCCTTACCTCATCATAGCTTGCAGTTCTGTCAATCCGGTGAATAATATCGATGTTCACATTCCCTAGTCGTTCTGCAAATGTAAGAAACTGGGGGAAGGAACAGAAAGGTGTTAAGATGTGTTATCATTAATACTTATCCTATCTTAATTATATTTGTTATATAATATATTTGTTATATAATAATCTCATATGCAATAATCTCATGTTACTGATGAAACGCAAAAATGTAAAAACAAAAGGAAAAGACAGTCTTGAATGCACTGCACTATACGTATATTGAATTACAGGAAGATCATGAAATAGTTCTAGGAATGTGTTTGCATAAATTGTTTCAGTTATGGCATATAATTTCCATGCTAGCTGGATGGACGTAGAGGTAAGCAGAAGTGGCTTTCACACCGGCCCGCCCCTAGCCTCGCCCCCAACAAGCACAGGGACCAGTTCAAGTCGTTGCAACAATACTATTTTAAAGCACATAAAGAACTACCATTTTGTAGTAAAGAAATAACTCTCAAACCCTCAAGGGCTAAACATAAAGTAACTTAGTAGCCCTGAACAGGAAAATCAACTCCTGCCGACAACCCTTCCCTTCCTCGAGTCTGCAAAAGAGCAAGGGGAGAACGTACTTAAGCAATTAGCCTACAATCAATCATTTTACACCAGATTGAAGGAAATTCCCACACGGGCCGGACCCCACAAACCAAGAACAAAATCTTCCATCCAGACTTCTTTCCCCATCTCAAGTTTACTATACCCGGAGAGTATCCCACTTTTGACAGAGTTCCCCAACAAGTGATCCTCGCTCGGCCCTAATCACCGCGCCCCCGGGAGGGCTGTTCAGAGTCAGTTTCACCGCTGAGCCACTAGGAATCCACAGTTTTGGCCCAAGATTCTCCGCTTACCCGGTGGGTGTTCTCGGTCTTGTGAGAAACGGGCTTTGTCTTCATGGCTACAGAGGGGGAGCGGCCGCGAGGGCCTCACCAAGGGTCGGAGGGATGCACCCGACTGTAGGGGAGCGAAACTGGCTCACACTTTTGCACTCTCGGAGTCCCAGGCGTGGAGATTCTCACGTGCGGGTAGAGCCTATGGGCGCCGCCATGTTGGAGGCGGGGAGGAGCCTGAGCCGGTCACGTGGGCGGAAGGAGCGGAAGGCGCAGGCGCACCCGGCTCCTGGGTAGCTGGCGCCTGTTCGGGAGAGGCCGCTACGCGGACAGGTGGGCGTGGACTTGTTTTTACTCCTCAGTAAGGGTGTGTAAGAAGAATGTGTATTTTTGTAATGAAGAAAACATCTGTAATTACCATCAGCTAACAGTCATTGCCCCCCACTGTGTGCGCCGACCGTGCAAAACCCTTTACCTCAGTACTTTTCACAGTAAAGCGCGTTGTGAATAGTAATTATAAGTGAGGTACATACTTTTAAGCCCTTTTGAGACGAAAGGAAAGCAAGAATGTGTGGTTGTAATTGCCTGTTTGACAGAGGTCACTTAGCTCCAATGTCTGATATTCTTAACCACTATGATTTACATAAAATAGAAAAATATTACAAAAGCATTTTAATTTTTTATTTATTTTATTTAATATATTTTTACATCATTTTTCATTTTTTGCACAATGTATGCATTTTCATCTTGGTTATAGTCCTCATACAATTTCCACCTCCCTTGTTTTGATCCTGCTCCATCTTCCTCGGCTCCCCCCACCCTTGTAGTGTGTCTCTGCTTTATAGTTGCTTGTTGATTTTGATTTTTACTTTATTATAATTAGTCTTTTTCCTGGTCCTTTATTTAGGTTTTCTAAATTCCTGCTATGAGTGAGACCATCTGGTATTTTTCTTTTTCTAACTGGCTTATTTCGCTGAGCATGATCCTTTCCAGCACCATCCATGTTTATCTTTTTTGATTGCTGAGTAATATTCCATTGTGTATATGTACCACATCTCCTTGATCCAGTCATCTATTTTGGGGCATTTAGGTTGTTTCCAAAGCTTAGCTATTATAAATAGTGCTGCTACAAACATAGGGGTGCAGGTGCCCTACAAAAGGCATTTTAATGAAAACTCTTTTTTTTTTTTTTTTTTTTTTTATAGAGGCATGTTTTTTATTTATTTATTTATTTATTTATTTATTTGTTTGTTTGTTTTGTTTATACATGCACTGGGTACAGCCAGAAGCACGGGAGGGTGAGAGAATTCACCAGAGCCAGAGAAGGGAGCAGAACAGGCAGAGGGACCGAGGTACACTGCTGAGGGGAGCAGCGGGCGGCAGGAGAGGTCTGCGCGCCATGTGGGACCCTCCTCAGGTGGCCGGGGAGCAGCTGGGGATCGAACCGGCGCCGCAGAGGTCGCGGGCAGCCTCGCAACCCAGCGCTCAACCGCTGAGCCACCGGGGAGGCCCTAATGAAAACTCTTACTTCATGCACAACTTCCGAGAACATTGTGGTGTTTTTCTTATGATGCTAATGTCATGTTAACCAAATAAATTGTACAAACAGTTGTGTCTGTAGTATATATTATATATGCATATTCATGATATCCTTCATTTGACAAATATTTTTATGGGCTGGGCACTGTTTTTCTGAGTTGTACAGGACAGATAACAATAATAATAATAATAGTTCTGTTCAGATATTCAGTCTGAGATGGCTACATCTTAGATAGCTAAGGATAAATACTAAGGCAATTGAATACATTTCTGCCTGGAGGCTGAAGGTGGTGTCTTAAATATACTTAACTGCTGCCAAGTGTGATGTATTTAAGGCAGTGGAACTGGATGAGATCATTTATGGAGAGAGTGATGGAAGGAGGATGCAAAAGGAGGATCCTCACTGAATCCTGGAGTGCGTCAACATTTAGCAGTGAGTGACCAGGAAAATGATTGGGAAAGAGAGCCAGTGAGATAGAAACAGACTCATCTGGACAGGGAAGCAGACTAGTGACCTAAAAAACTGAGAATAGAGTAGTGGCTGCTGGATCTGACAAGGTAAAGGTCAGTGGTGGTCAGAGTAAAGGACAGGAGGCAAAATATGCATGGATTGAGGACTCAAGAAGTGAAATGGCTGTAATAGTTTCATAGTACTAGCATTACAGTATCAACATCTTCTGTCATCTGGTTGTTGTAAACAGTTTTAGTGGCTTGATAGCCTTTGTGGATTTTCCTTTTAAAAAAAACTATTGAAGTAGTATTGGCTTATGGGTTTTACTTTTTAGTAATAAAATATGAACTTGCCCAATGTTTGGCTGGCTCTCAGTAGACTAACTGGCCTTTTTTTCTTTTTTCTTTAGACGGTACTTCGCTTTGATGGGTGACAGATCCTATAAAGAAGTACAAGAAAGTTACAGAATCTCAGAAAAAATGCATGTAAGCTTATTCGCACTTAAATGTTTAGATGATTTCAGAGCGTTAGAAGGTAAGAGCCCTCACTCTAAGCAATGTTCTCAACTGATTGCTAAAATCAATCTCATATAATTATACCCTTTTCCTACTGTATTATTTGTTTTTATTGTTTAGAACAATAAGGAGTAAAGAGAAAAATAAGAATCAAGGACACTAAAAGAACTGACTCAAGTTACATATCACATTTTTACTCATTTTATGATTAACAGCTCTCACTGAACAACGTATTAATATCACATAGTGGTTAAGGGCATGGTAGCTAGAACCAGACTTCCTAGGTTTGAATCCTAGATCTGCCATTCTTAGTGGTGTGACTTTGGGGATGTTACTTGGCCTCTCTGACATCATTTCCTTATATGTATCATGCTATCCAATAGACCTCATAGGGAGCTGTTGTGTAGAAGAAATGAACTAAAGCATTAAAAGTGCTTAAGATGGTGCCGGGGACCATAATTGCAACCTCTGACAAGTAACTGAACTTTGCTGAGTCCCAACTTACTGATCTAATAAATGAAGCTGATAATAGTATCTGCTTTTTAAAGGTTTGTGTTAGCACATAGAATATAGAATAAACATTAGCTGAACAGGTAAATAAGTGACCATCTGGCTACCTGACAAGTTCCTTAAGGACAGAATTCACATAGTTTTTCAACTTTATATCACCAGTGCATCTTTTGAATTCAAGAGTTGTTTGATGAATGTTTTTGTAGAATTAAAGCATATGATACTTTGTTTAACCCTCACAAGCTCAAGAGTAATGTAATTTCTACATTGAATGTGGGTTATGCTGGGTGGTTTTTGTTTTTGTTGTTGTTGTTTTTTTTTTTTTTTTAATCAACTACCAGTGGACTATTATTTTGGAAACTTCTGTGAATTACGTAGGTATTAGCTTCCTTTCTCCCCCCCCCCATCATAAAGAGTCAAAGAAGCATCTTAACATATAAAATCTCTTACCTAGTTTTTCTAAAGTCTTATGTTGAAAAACTTAAATAGTGTCGGTCCTTTACACAAATACTGCGTTTTCACCATCTGCCCTTATGCTCACTATAGATTTCTCCTCCTTCCTGGGGGGAAAAATGGTCAGTGTTTGTGCTGTCTTTTAATCAATGCATTTCTCAATTATTTCTCAATTATCACATTGTCATTCCCCACCTGATACTTTAGCAACTTGATTGTTGGATGTATTTTTCACTTGGCAAAAATTCAGCGTGGCTTTGTGTGGCATGTCTAAGCATCAGAAACACTAATGTAAATGTTCTGGTTTTGAGAGGAAAAAATACATAGAGATGCATACATTCCTGGAAGAACAAATGTAGGACACTACAAATGTAGAAACTACTTGGTTTTAAATTCTGGGGCTGTCCACCATCAAGGACTGCAGTGTAGCCCAGAGCATAAATCTCCACAGGAAGAAGTTTGGTCAGGTGCTGTGAAATGACAGTCTAAGTGTATCAGAACAGAAGGGGCAGTGTAGGTGATTAGTGGTGAGCAGTAACCTGTAAAGGGTCATGTATGGGCACTCCTGCAAATGCTCTGTCAATCTGGGCACCAGGGGAGGAGGCAAGAGGTATCCTATTGAAATATGCTTCCATCTGTAACTTACCCAAGACCCCAGGTTTCCTTGGCAACATGATTTGCAAAGCCAAAATGAAGTTACGGTCATTCTAGGCCTCTCGGAACCTCTCAGAAGGTTCATTGGGGCCATCTCAGAAGGCCAGCGTATGCCAATAGAGGAGCAGTTCTACCCAGAAGTGAGTGGCCACGAAAGTAGTGCTACCTCATTCTTTCTTGAGAGAACTGTGTGCTGTTCATGATGGTGTATACATAGGGAGGCAGCAAGATCATGATGTTTGGATTCAGAAAAACAACTGGGTCCTGTTGTAGGATTTTCCACGTTATTAGCTGATAGATGGACTAGGTACATAGTATCAAAACCTCACATTTTTCATCTTTAAAATAGGCATAATAACCAAGTTTGCCTTTTCACTTGCTGATTGGTTAGGATATTCTTTGACATAAAACAGATAACTTCTACAGAACTTCTATATTTGTATACGAACTATTGCTGTTTATTTTTCAACATGTGACCATTCTTCAGCATTGGGATTGCAGAGCATTGGTTCTCCTTTCCTTCATTTAAAACTCAGGTATCAAATCAGAGACAATAGACTAGAAGTTGCAAATCCGGGGCCTCATAGTCCCGTGTAGCCCACAGGTTCATTTTGCTTACAATAAAAAAATATTTAATTTGTTAAAAATCTGGAGATTTCAGGTGAAAGATCCAGATTTCCAGCTTTTCTTGTAAAATAAAATATCTACAATACTGGGCCCATATTCTGAAAAGCCATAATCACCTGGAATTGGGTAATGGCTGCCCCTACCCCTGACCTGTACCCTGAATGGTAGCATCCACCTCACCCCGTGGGCATTTCAGTTTGCAGCTCCTGCATTCAGTTCTTCCTCAGTGGAAGACAAAATTTGGTTTTAAACCTGCCTCTTGCAGATAGCAGATCTGGGTGGGGACTGAGAATTTGCATTTCTAACAAGTTCCCCAAACAAAACACCCTGATGTTTAATAAGGTGAGTGACTCAACTTTTCATTGGAAAGTTGGTGCAATTTTCAGTTGTTAAAATATTTGTAACACCAATCCCTGAAACATCTCCACACACCATTGCCTCTAGGTTCAGCTTGTTTTCCTTCCTCACTTTCACCCACCATTTGCTTTTCTGT